CACTCCTCCCAGTCTGCTTCACGGCGATACTGACTCACTGCACACTCCTTCCAGTCTGCTTCACGGCGATACTGACTCACTGCACGCTCCTCCCAATCTGCTTCACAGTGATACTGACTCACTGCACACTCCTCCCAGTCCGTTTCACAGCGATACTGAATTACTGCATAATCCTCCCCAGAGTTTACTTTCAAGATGACAGCTGCATTAAATGTTTGTGCAACTGGATCTTCCAAAGATTCACTGAGGGACCTTATGTGGGATCTCTCTCAATCTTTGACCTTCAATGCATTACGGCTGTTACTAATGCAGTTTACGCTCATTTACATGAATTTGGTGTCCCCTGACAAGGCCAGCCCCGCAGCCTGTGTTTTGCCAGCATCTTTGTTTGCCATACAAGTCACCTGTGATCACCGGTATCACAGCTAAGAACACCATATCAGGTACTGTGGAAGCTGCCATCATGTGCAAAGACTTGAATTCTCATATTCCTGCTTCATTTCAAAGGCCAGATGATTTACTGGGAGGTGATGGCTACCATCTGTGATCATGGCTGATGACTCCATTAAATAACTCCCTGACTAAGACTGAGGGTAGATACAATACTGCCAGTCCTGCAGTCAGGGCCATTGTGGGAGTCAATAATAGGCCTGCTGAAAGTGAGGTTCTGAAGCATGTACGAGTCTTGGGGGGTAGTGTTCTTCCAATACACTCCAGACAGAGTGTGCTCCATAATCCTAATGTGCTGTGCTGTGCACAACTGGAGCAGGTAAAGAGGGGAGAGCACTCCTCTTCTGAGGAGGAAGATGATGTGCTAAAGGAACGTCATCTTCTGCATAATTGAGTGCTGCATTGGGTACAATGAGTTGGGCAGGAGTTCATGGACACTCGGTTCCATCAGATGTGAGCTGGCTACAGTGTTTGTCCATTGACTGTAAATCTGTTGCTGCTTGAAAGACAAGTCGTCTCTGTTTCCAGAAGCAAATGCAGCTTTTGTTTGTTCTTTCTTTACTTCAGCTATTGTGAACATTTTCAATTTTTTGAACGCTTTGTAGTGTGTGAGGCTCGTACATTGAACAATGAAAAGATGTCAGGCTACACCAGGCACTGGGGAATGGGTAGCATTGCCTTAGATAGTACAGAAAGTGGGACATCATTGTTACAGCTGTACAATACATTGGTGAGGCCACGTTTGGAGAACTGCGTACAATTATGGTCGCCTGATAGAGGAAGGACGTTATTCAACTGGAAAGGGTGCAAAAAAGATTTACAATGATGTTACCAAGACTGGAAGGCTTGAGTTATAAGGAGAGGCTGGGACTTTTTTCATTGGAGCGTAGGAGGCTGTCTTTATAGAGGTTTATAAAATCATGAGGGCCATAGATTAGGTGAACAGTCGAGGTCTTTTCCCCAGAGTAGGGGAGTCCAAAACCAGAGGGCGTAAGTTTAAGGTGAGAGGGGACAGATTTAAAAGGGACCTAAGGGCCAACTTTTTTATGCAGAGGGTGGTGCATGTGTGGAATGAGCTGCCACAGGAAGTGCTGGAGGCTGGTACAATTACAACATTTTAAAAGACATTTGGACAGGTATATGGATAGGAAGGGTTTAGAGAGCTACGTACCAAACACAGGCAAATGGGACAAGTTCACTTTAGGAAACCTGGTGAGCGTGGACAGTTTGAGCTGAAGGGTCTGTTTCAATGATGAATGACTCTATGACAGGGTTCTCAACAAGGATGGTGAGCTTTGTAACTCGGTTCTTAAGTAGGAATACATTTCTGAATATGCACTTTGCAATGAAGTGTCAGCCGTGCCCCGAGAGGCATTAGTTTTATGGTCCTCTGCACCATACGCACTGTGAAGGGTAGCTCGTGGTTTGGCAGCGCTTGGTCTGGTGCATGCTGGGTTTTAGTACCAGAAGTCCTGGTATTGGCACGTACATCATTGCTGGTGAAGGGGAAGATGGTGTGCACGGGATTTCATAGAGCTGTAGTGCAAAGATAATGAGATGAACCTCAGACTCATGATGCATGAGACTCAGACGCATGAAGAAACTCACTGGAGATCAGTGAGAGAAATCTTACATAAAACAGACTGGAATTGACACTTACGACTGAATTTTGCCAGAAAAAGGCCAAGTTTTAAAAGTAGTTCATTGTCTGTGGAGCACTTTGGGATGTCTTGAGGTCATGAAAGTGCAGTATATGATCACAAGTCTTTTTGTGGAACCAACTGATAATTGCTAGAAATTAATCAAACTGCCATATCTATCCCACAAACTGCGTTTCGTAGAGAGATGGATTCTTTATTTTGCAAGTTTAATATCTCTCTTTACTCTGGAATCAAGAGTCCTCACATTTGGGAAGTTTATTAAATATAGATCATCTCAATATTCGTGTTCTACAAGAACTCTTACGGATTTGCACATCCTGCAGTCAGTCCTTCTATACAGTGCAGAACCAATTAGATGGAAGCATCTGTAATACCAAATTAACTTGATTATGTTTTTTAGAAGGAGAAAATCCACACTAGGATAAATATATAGTAAATACTGTGGAAATGAAGAGGGAATCCCTATGAAAGAAAAGACCTTTAGAAAATCTTGTGGTAGAATATATTCATGGAATTACATTTAGATTACTTTCATTTGGTTATCACTGTCTTACCAATTGCCAAACTGTTGTTCTCATCACTGTTACTGTTACCTGACCTTTTATTGGCTTTTCTTTAATATAATAGTTAGAATTTTAATTGTTCATTTCTTTTAGTCCATTCATTCTCCTTCCCTTGCTCTCAAAGCACAGTTAATATCAAATATTATAAATTTCTTCTGAATTGGTAATAAGATTGAAACAAAGTGAGGAAAAGTGTGGGAGTGAGGATGTGGGAATGGAGACATGTACATTAGAGTGCTCATGTATCGGTGCCTTTTCAAACTGCCGGTACAGACTGAATCTAGTCAGCACTCGTCAGTCACATAGGAAAATTAATTATTTACTGTTAGAAGTTATGCCATTAGTTCTCAGATGTGAGAGTTCAGATGCGCTCTCGACACTCTAGTATGGTATGCAGTATTAATCGGAATTGTTTTAGAAATTTACTTGTTCACAGGATGTGGGTGTCACTGGCTAGGCCAGCATTTATTGCCCATTTGGAAGTCTGAAAGTTTGGAGTCTCGTGTAGGTCAGACCACGTAAGGATGGCAGATTTCCTTCCCCCGAAAGGCGTTAGTGAAATGGATGGTCGACATTGGTTACATTAGGCTGGCAATTTGTTTGATTTTTTAAATTGACTTTCACCATCTGTCATGGTGGGATTCAAACCCACGTCCCCTGAAGTTGAATCTTGCGTTCTGGATTACTAGTGCAGTGACATTACCATTATGTCCCCACCTCCGCTTACGTAACATGGTCACCTGAAATGTAGTCACTGTACAGACTGACACAGACTTTTGAGAGAATGAGTACAGTTTGCTGTCTGGTTTTGATCTGTCCGATATTAGTTTGAAAATAATTTGGTAAACGCAGACTTTTTATGGCTCTAGGTATCATGGTTTGCCTGATTGGTCAGACAGTTGAAGAAAGAACATTTTGTATATGTCCAGTTTCGTTTGGAACGGTTGAACAAAATAATGAGAAGAGCGATGTCTTGAGGAACAGCTAAATGGTGCTTTTGGCATCTTTAATAGGCATGAGTGGAGTAAAAATCTAAATTCTTTCAATTTTCTTATGCTTCCTGTATATTGCTTTTAATAAGATCTGAATAACCAGATTTTTGTGATGCTGCACTGTAAATGGATACTGATCACCATGGATTTGTTCCAGTAATATCACATTCCTTGTGATAGCCTAACCATCAAAAGGCCTCACAGCTTTGAAATTTGTTTTTGAGGCTTCGCATCCTTTCTCTTTGTCTACTTTTGTAGCTTTTTTCACTTCCCTCCCATATGGAAGGCTAAGCTAAACCAAAGATTGGCTAAACTAAAATCGATGATTTGGCAGTATCTTAGTGAAATTTCTCCCAATATTTTTGTGAGCCCAGGTGCCAAGATATCTCTTTTGTTATTGTCTGAGATAAAATTAAGTGTCATAATTAATATAATCTGAGTGCTGGACTAACTTGGTCTTCTGTATTGCAATAATTAATCAGCCAGTCTGGCTATATACTATGTTTTAGCCTATACAGTTACTCATTCTGTGTATCTTTGTATTAATGTAAACCATAAATTGTGTTGAATAAGGAACATAAAAGGTATGAATGTAGATATGATCAACACTATTTTGTTATTTAGTCATGGGACGTGGGCATTGCTGGCTGGCCAGCATCAATTGCACATCCCTATTTGTCCAGGGGTGCAGTTGAGAGTCAACCATGTTGCTGCGGATGTAGGTCAGATCAGGTAAGGATGGCAGATTTCCTTCCCTGAAGGACATTAGTGAAACGGCTGCGTTCTTCCAACAATTGGCAATGGTTTTGTGGTCATCGCAGATTCTTAATTCCAGATTTTTAAAATTTATTATTGAATTCAAAATCCACTGTCTGACATAGCAAGATTTGAACCTGGGTCCCCAGAACTTTAGCTGACTTTCTGGATTCAGAAGCTAGCAATAGTACCACGAGGCATCGCCTCCTCAATTATCCCAAGTTGTTGTTGCATTTTTATAATTAACAGTCCTCTCTGCAAAGATTAATTGGATAAAGCATCATTGAAACTTACCCATATAAACTAGCTTCATTATATCACAGAATGCTTATGGTGCACAAGGAGGCAATTCCAGTGTGGCTCAGTGGTTAGTACTGCTGCCTCACAGTGTCAGGGAGTCCGGGTTTGATTCAGGTCTTGGGCGACTGTGCGGAGTTTGCATGTTCTCCCCACGTCTGCATGGGTTTCCTCCCACAGTCCAAAGATGTGTAGGTTAGGTGGTTTAGCCTTGGTTAAAACTCCATGTGGAGTGTTGGGGGGGCCTGGGCGAATGCCCTTCAGAGGGCCAAATAGCCTCGCTCTGCACAGTGGGCATTCAGTGGCTTTTATAACTCCATGTTTGGCCCATTGTTTCTGCACTGGCTGTGCATTTTAACCAATTTCCTACCTTTTACCCATAGCCCTGCACATTGTTTCTACTAAAATAACCATCCAAAGCCATTTGGAATACTTCAGTTATAGTCCTTGAGATTAATCCCAACAGGTTTCCACCTGATATTGTGCATAATCCTTTAACTTTTTGATTTGTAAATTGAGTGAAAGTAATAACATTAATTTTTAAATAAATGGAAGAATTCTACCAATGATAACCGGATGGGATGGTATAAAGTGGTGACAGACATACTTGTGTTGTGGACTGTCTTCCTAGTCTATCTTTATTAAAAGTGAATTTCATATGTATTCTGCTATTTGATACAGGTCCAAAACTGTGTTTATGCTTCATGTATTTAACTACAAGAAAAATTGTTTACGTAAACTGTCAACCTTTTAGCACAAAATTAATAAACTACAAACTGGGAAAATAGTAAGTACAAGTAAACAGATGGTGTTTAAAAATTGACATACCACCACCCTTTGTTTTTCTGTCTGTATTTCCATTTCTGTTTTTCTTACTTACAGTTTTATTCTGCTTTTCTTGTCTTAACTTTTTCTCGTGTTTTTGTTTACTATTCTCTGCTCACGAAACCTAGAAAGGTGGACATTTGAAGATGGGGAAACCCTGAAGTGGAATACAAGTGACGGTCAGGCTTCAACTTTAGCAAGATGGTTGTCACCAATGGGGTCACCGTAGGGATGTGGAGTGAGATCAACTGTACCTGCTTTGAAGGTGTCAAATTTGACTTAGTGGTAGTATTCTTTCCTTGGAATCCAAATATTGTGGGTTCAAGTCCCAGTCCAGACGTTTGAGTATGTAATCTAATTTAACACTTTACTGCTGCGCAGCTGATACAATTTTAAACCAAGACACTGTTTCCACTTGGGGGTGGAATTGAAACTGTACTTCATTGACTGTAGAGTGCTTTGGGGCATCCTGAACAGTGCTATATATATGCACATCTGGTTGTATATGAAAGTGAGTACACCTTCCTTCTTGATTTTTAAACTGCATTGTATTGTTAGAACTGTTACATGTAAGCTCACTCTCAAAATTGCTGAACAAACTCTTACAGATGGCTGATTTATCTTTCAAGTATAATTTCTCCCGTCACATTCTAGGTTGAGTTCCATCCAACAACCACAGTGTTGTTATTAAGTAATGAACTTACAAGACATCAAATATATAAGTCCAGCAGGGCATTTCATAGTAATCTATTAGATTCAAACTGGCCATTACCAAAAGATGGAGAGTCGTTAGTGAATCAGTTAGGACTATTTTTATTTTCTCCTTGGTGATTAGACCAAGAATAGCTTTGCCAGTGATGTTCTGCATGCCCTCTTGACCTTAATGGATATTTGTATGTGGAAGGAACTTGCAAAGAATAAACAGGAAGAACTTTTTTTTTAATAGTATAGCCTGTGCCTGTCTCAAGTGGGCAAATAAAATGTCAGGGGATTGAATCATTCTTTGATTAATTTTTGATGATTTCACACAAGTCATTGTTTTTGTTGTAGAGTCTGTCCATATGTATTGGTGCATTAAGTAAATACGCTCAACTCCAGTCCTTGTGGAAGACCCGTGATTCTGAAAAAGTCAGTGCCCTGACGTGGAGCCTGGGAATCTATACTATATGCGGTAAGTGTGACTTTGTCGTAAATTAAGCTCAAAGCTTGACAATAGTTTTGTTTTTGGAGATCTTAAATGGAACATACATTTAAATTTTACAGGATTATCAATGTCAAAATTAAAACAAGGCTTTAATAGCAAGACTTTGCAGGTTTTTAGACATATGGAGAGGTTGAAACATGGCAATAAAAATGTTAAATATGAGGTGCTCATAAGTTAGTGAAGGTTAGCTTACAGGAGTGATGGGCAAGGATTTAGGGCTGCATTTTATGGAACATATTGTTGGTGGGGTGGCTCATTAAATTGGGCAGGTGCACAGCCTCCTAACGTCCCCTCTCCATCCTTAAATCATGGTAGATTGGTAGGCACCAAAAACAATAGCTGTCTGCTATTTTTAAGTAAGGGTCAATGGAGGTTATTACAAAGTGAATGGCCCTGGTGATTCACTGCCCAATGTCATTATAAGGTGATCTGGGAGGTTGACAGGAGGGGACAGCCGGTTTTATTTTAAAAGAACAATTTTTGGCAGTTGAAAAAAAAATGGGCCACTATCTTGACTGAGGTGGGAGTGTGCTAATTTGTGCATCGGGGGCACTCTCTCGATAATACCCTTGCAATCTTCCTCCCTCCCCCCCCAACCTCCCATCTCCCTGCTCAATATCTCTGACTTGTATTACTCCAGGGATCCATTGGGCCACCTTCATTCTCCTTCCTGCTGTCTCAGGAAAGAGCCACAATGAAGCTTTTAATGAACAAAGCAACGAAGCTGGAGTGCCGACGATTTCAGGGGGTGAGACTTGTCCAGGCTTTCTCTTGGTCTGTCAGCTGCCTCTCCCTTTAGGGTGGGACAGGGTATCTGCAGCACCTTTTTCCTGGATGAGGCCTGAAAGGATAGCCAGGTGAATGTTGAAACAGATTACTTTAGTAATAAGAAAGCGCTGTAACTATTGGAACTTTGAAATGCCGGCATTATTCCAAAATAGAGAGCTCTGTATTACTTTTGGCATTATGCAATTACTAATAATTGTATTATTCTTTATACAGCTAGAATTTTCACCACACTGATGACCACATCGGACACTGCAGGTGAAGGGATTTTACATGATTACCAAGTAATCCCAACTAAATTTTAGCTTGAGTTTCTATATTTAGAGAGAATAAAGAAGCAATAATAGAATTAGATCTTTCTTTTTAAAAATGATAGTATCTTTCACATTTTTTATTGAAACTGAGTATTAATGGCGTAGGATCACATACAGCCAAAAAGGAATACTCCTTTCCAAGTGGTATAAGGTATTGCACACGAGTATGCCATTCTATACTGTGCATAAATGGCATTATCAGATGAATTGGGTGACTCCTAAACTGATACCACAATCACAATAACTATTTTCCCAAAGTGATCTACAACTTTCCATTTAATCGTTGCTAATAAAGTTGAAGGTTTTTGTCTTTTATTTTTGAGCAATGATTAAGTTCAATTTCCATTTATCCAGCTTACAAATGTGTAACTCACTATTTGGATTAGCAGGTATGTAGCTCCATACCGAAGTAGCTCTTGGGTTCAGTACATTCACTTTGCTGTAAAGAATTGGCAACCAGAAACACAGGCACTTGCAGAGTGTGGGATGCTTGTATGTTATCTGGTGTGCAGACAATTGTGCATAATGGTCCCAGTCTGTTGAGACCACATCAAAAGGCTGCTACTCCCTTAAATTGTTTTGGTCAGTGGATTCCAACAGCACTTGCTATTGCTGCTACCTAGGCTTATACTCAGCTTCTCTCTTGTAGAAGAAGTTTCATTCTTCTAACCTATTAATAAGAGAGCTGTACGTATAATTTTCAGTTAACAAACCACCAGGAACCTAGATATCAATTGATTCTAAAGTTAATAGCTTTAACTTGGCTTGTTTCCGGATCATTAATAGTATATTTTGGTTGTTTAAAAAAAAATGCTTTAATAGAAATGTCATTTTTTAAATTTAACGAACGCATGCAATTGAAGGTTGTCTTGATTTTGGAATATCTTTATGTACGAGTAGTCTTCTGTTCTTAAGGCAGCTGTAAGATCAGTATTAAGTCATTAAATATTTAAGTCCTTCCTACTTGATGATTCTTAAAGGATGTTCCCCAAGTCTGGAGCTGTTTGTTTCTGTGAGAGACTTCCTATATAAATATTTAAATGAAGGACTGCATCACTCTTCAGAGTCTCAAACGCTTCATTTCAAAGTTATAATTTCATACCTTTTGTGACACAGTTCAACTTATAAACTTACCTCAACAAATTTGAGTCCGATTTTGAATCCTCTCAGGTTGTGTTTAGACAAATTGTTCGTACATTAGGGGAAAGCAAAGTTTAAAACCAGCACCTCATGCTCAGGAGCACCATCTATGTTCTACAGTGTAATGCTCATTACATTTTAAAAATGGACTTCTTCTAATTTGGACTATTCTTCTAATAACCAAACCCTCTGCCTTCTATTGAAATTGAAATGCTATAAATGGAGTGTCATATTCTGCAACGTCTGCACATATTTCCACAGAAATTATTTTTTATTTAAATAGTCTTCATAAGTTGCAGCCAGATACATTCCAACCAGACATTTGTATGATAGCCCAGGATAATTGGGTCAATAAATGAGTAGTATCCCTGGCTCTGGGGATTTGTAGACGTTATTCCCACTCGGAGCTTGGGTTGCCTCTTCCTTTCAGCTGTGCATGAAAGTAACTTCAAAAAGGAGGAAGTGTGGCAAAGGAACTAAAGCTCTTCTGGCTAAATGCTGATTAGAAGTAATGGAAAAGCAGCTGACTGACTGGTGTCTTAACTCACTAATGCTTGGTCTGCTCTCAGAAAATCCAAAGAGGCATTACAGATATCCAGTACAATTGATATGGTTACATTTCCTGGGCTTATTCTTTTGTGTAAGATAATATAGGGCAGCATGAGAAAACTCATATAAAGTAAATACTTTGACTGATTATAGCAGTGGCTGACACCACTGGAGCAGAAAAGGCACTGATGGAATGCTTGTGTACTTTATTGTATTTTGGTTGGCATGTACTTAATCTTTTCTGTTCTAAACTGTCATTAAAGCAAATGACTTGATTGTTCTGCAATGGTCAATGATGATGCTTTAAAAGCATACTCAGTAATGGTTCTAATCTTCTTTCCAGTTCTTATACGTTATGCCGTTATTGGTGTGTTGAATATGTGGGTTTTGACCACCATAATGTACTACAGGAAGACTGGAAAGAGAAGGGAGTAAACATAGTGAGGAGCAGCACCCTGATGAACTGGTTTTCTGGATTAAGTCAAAGATGTGGCCTTGGTGAAAATTGAGAAACAGCACTTTACAATGTATCACAATAGAATAATGACTCAAAGCAACCAAATATGCTGAGTGAATTTTGGATCTGTCAAGGGAACGTTTGTTGGTATAGCCATCATTCTGAACCCTTGGCATAGTTTACAAGTAAGTAAATTATACTGTCAATAACTTGTTAAAATCATTAAATGATTGAAGTAGAAGGTAGGACAATTCTTGATTCAGTTTTATTGTCTATCTGTCATCAGTACGATGTTTAGAAATTTACAGCAGCTCAGTGGATGAGAATAATGTTGTTAAGATTATTTTAAAACCTTAAGCGAAAACACATTGCTGGTGAAACTCAACAGGTTTGGCAGCATCAGCAGCAAGAAAGCAGAATTAACATTTTGAGGCAGTGACTCTTAACAGAATGGATAATGAAAAGTCAATGGAGCTGAAAGGTTAACTCTGCTTTCTTCCCACAGATGTTGCCAGACCTGCTGAGTTTCACCAGCAATTTTTATCTTTGTTTCCGATCTCCAGCACCCATAATTTTTTATTTCAAAACTTTACACTTTGAATAGTTCACAGCTAACCAAAGTGAGATAAAATTAATAGATGGAGGTATTTATTACAATAACAACATTGTAATAGTAATAAACACAAGCACTAGTTTATAACCTGTTAAGTCAAAACTTTAAGGACAGAGCTGTGTAAACGCTTTGTGGTGAGCGTCTATGATCTGCAGGCAAAATCCCAGAACTCTATGTAGGCAAATATAGGTGAAAAAAACTGAATGAAGGTTATCCTTTATTACAGATATTATCTGTTGTATTCACAAAAGCTACTAAATGTAAGTTTTCCCATTTTTTTTCCATAAGCGTTTAATATGAAATTACAGTATAGTCAAGATATAACACGATATTGACTGGTCTTCAATCACTCGGAGGTGAAATGCCACAGAGCTGGGCTATGACATTGTTACTGTAACTTTGAATCCAAATGTGGTTATATGGAAATTGAGATGGTGCAATAGGAAGAGCTGAGGGGATATTCATTCCCCTTGTTTATACGGAGAGCCATGCCAGAATTAGTTAGGCACAAGGAAACACATTTGTGTTGATCATTTGTAGATGATGTTTACATCACATGACCTAAGGTTAAAATCAGATCAATCAGGAATAATACTCAAAGATCTGAGACAAAATACAAAAGCAGTCTCTGTAGGTAGTCCATTAATGCTTGGGGTGATAGTGACCAGGACTGCATGAGGCCATTTGAGGAATAGTCTACAAAGAGAAACCAGTGTTATAAAAGGGAAAATGAGTTCAATGAGAAGTTCTGAAGAAGTGTCTTGACCCGAAATGTCAGTTTTCCTGATCCTCCGATGTTGCCTGGCCTGCTGCGTTCTTCCAGCTCCACACTGTGTTATCTCTGACTCGAGCATCAGCAATTCTTACTATCTCTGAGGAGATTGTTGAGGCCTTGACAGAGATCATTGTATTCTCTTTAACCACAGGTGAGGTCCCAGAAGACTGCAGAATAGCTAATGTTGTTCCTTTTCTTCAAGAAGGGCAACAGGGATAATCCTGGAAACTATAGGCCAGTGAGCCTTACATCAGTGGCAGGAAAATTATTGGAGAAGATTCTTAGTAAAAGGATACACTTGCATTTGGAGAAGAATGGACTTATTGGAGATAGTCAGTGTAGCTTTATGCAGGGGAGGTCACGTCTCACAAACTTGATTGAGTTTTTTGAGGAAGTGATCTTGATGATCAAGGAGGGTAAGGCAGTGGATGTTGTCTACATGGCATTTTACTAAAGCATTTGACAAGGTCCCTCACGGGAGGTTGGTTCAGAAGATTAAATCACATGGAATCAATGATGAGTTGTCAAGTTGGATACAAAATTGGCTTGGCTGTACAAGACAGTGTTGTTGTGGAGGGGTGTTTTTCTGACTGGAGGTCTGTAACTTCTGGTGTTCCTGATAGAAGGATATAAAATTGAGATGCATGAATAAGGTAGTTAGTCAGAGTCTCCCAGAGACATGGTGGACCAAAGGGCCTGTTCCTATGCTGTACTGTTCTGTTCTAGAACAGTAGAAATTTAGGTTTAAGAGAGAATGGGAAAGTAAGTATTAACTGTAAAATGGACTATACGGAAACTTCAGAACTTTGAAATGAGTGCAAGTAAATTCTCATATACACTCAGTCACTCTAGACAAATGGGTAGTGTAAAAGAAGTAATGAGCAATTCATAGTTATTATTTTATAACAACTCTTAGATGTTAATTGACATAACATTAATTAAAGTACAAGAAAACCCATATCACTTTCCACACAAGATCCCATATATTTCAAGTATGAAATCAATATCGTTGAGGCACATGGTGTTTGCAGTATTTTTTCACTAGTGCTGACAGCTACTGTTTTCGGAGTTAAGTGATTCTACCAAGTTCAGAAATTCTGTTACTAAAGGTTGAAGTTTTTTTTTTTAAAAGTTTGAACACGAGTTTTTTTTTAAACTCTAGGACTTCTTAAAGGTTTAAGAAGTTTCAGTTTTGTTGTAAATTTCATTTTTTTCTTAAAATATTGTTTTAATCAAATTCTGCATACAGTACAGCATGCAGATATTTTCATAGAACGTTTTCTTGTGATTTACCTTTAGTTGGAAAGAATTGGAAATCAAAACCAGCTTTTCTTTCCAACAGAAACAATCCTCATGAATTTCAGTTTTGCATTTTTAATGAATATTACAGCCAGGTTTTTAAATATTAGCTTTTCAACATTTATATTTAAACGATCGTAGCAACAAAATTGTTTTGCGTATTTTAATTATACTATGTATTGTTGCACTGCAAGTGAAAACATACTTAAATAAACCATTACCAAAATTATTATAAGTGTAAAATGTGATTTGAGGTCCATGGGGAAGTGCAATCATTGACAGTCTGATTGCTCAATCACAGACAGTCTGATTGCTCAATCACAAGGTTGTAAGAAAAATACAAACCTAGTGGTCTCTATTGGTTGGATAAGTGAACTATTCAGATCTTGTGTATCAATTTCAATATTGTTAATTAGTAATGCAGCAAACTGTGCATTCATAGGGCTACACTCAGTGTTTATATTTGACTTAAAATGAAAATAGAATCTCTGGTAGATACAAACTTTTTAGTCAAGATAAAGCTTGTTGAATTAATAATTCACTCAGTGCCATTCTCTGTTTCAAAAAACTATAATTTCCTTTTGAATCTGCTTCCACCACGCTCACTTCCAGATCTTGGTGTTTCTCACATCACTTTAAATCACTTGTTCTTGATCCTTTTGCAGGTAGGAATAGTTGCTTCCTATATACATCTGTTCCAACACATCATGATTTTGAGTACCTTTCGCAAATCATATCTTGGTCTTTTCTAAGAAAAACAGTTCAAACATCTCCAATCTATTTTCATAACTGAAGGTTTTCTTCCATTGAACCATTCCTGTGAATCTTTTCAATGCTGTCTCCTATGCCTTTATATCCTTCCTGACATGTGCCACCTAGAACTACACTCAATGCTCCAGCTGAGGCTGAACTATATCTTATAAAAATATGACATCGCCTCCTTGCTCTTGTTCTCTATAGCCCTATTATTAAAGCCTAGGATACTGTGACCTTTATTAACTGCTCTTTCAGACTGTCCTGTCACTTTCAACAACTTGTGCATATATGCATCTGGTTTCTTCTGTTCCTATACCCTTTTTGTACTGTCTTTGTTTTCTTCCAATCAATTAAATCAACATTTCTCTGCATTACACTTGATCTGTCATCCGTCCATCCATTCCAGTAACTTGTCTCTGACCCCTTGGAGGTCTTTTGAAATGGATTCATTTTAACGTAATTTCATCTGGGTATAGCTGTCGGGACTAAATATTAATACAAATTACAGATAAGTAATGTGGAATACAGATCATTGACTGATGTAATAGCCTGCTTTTGTACTTGGACCTGCTTTTAATAGCATTTCTATTGTCAATATAGACAAACCTATAACTGGTAAATATGGAACTTAAAATTTTTACAAGTGACTTCATACAATGTAATGTTTCAGGTGACTTTTCTTGCATAAAGCACACAGATAATAGATAAATTTATGACTAATCAATCTGTCTTCATGCCTTATTTTATAAAGCAGATTATGTACATCTCTCATCTTTTCTTAATCTAAGTTTATTCTTGCTTTTTTGGATTTTGTAAATGGTTGTGTATCTCAATTTCATTTTACCGTTCTTGAGAAGAAATTACCACTTATTTACTTGAGACAATTTTGCAATAGAATTATATCACTTCTATGTGTCTTGTTTCATTATGTAGTGGGAGTAGAAAATGCCATGTTTCAGTATTGAAGCCTTAGAAGACGTTGTCGGTGTACCATTGACAAAAAGAATTAATTATAATGTTACAAAACAGGAATAGCAAGCTTTACTATAACTGGGTTTGCAATAGTGTAATGAAAACATTCAACGACCCTCAAAATTGCCCCATTGTTCCTAACTAGACTTTACAAATAACTGCTCTGAAGCAAATTAAGTTATGGCCAAGTTTATTATTAATTACATAACTTTAGCAGAACACAGATAAACAAGAGGTAAACTAAGCTCTAAAGCCCAGTCTTCTTCATAGCCTCCACTCACACAGGCAGGCACAGGAAAGGGATAAATTTAAAAATGTAATCTTGCTAGTACAATAAACCTTTCAAACAATGGATATGAGGCCTTTATGAAGTCCTTCGACAATGTTTATTTTCTTTTAACAGGCCTTGCTTGAATTCCAAAGTTACCAGTTCATGCAAACAGATTCATCAGATCTTCAGAAATACCCACATTTCTTACTGGGATTATTTTCTAGAACATTTAACAATTCGATAACTTGAAATTTGAGAGAACAGAACATAGCAACAGTCTCTAATGCTTCCAAAAAATCACACTCCAGCTTTGGTGGATTGAATTGCACTTGCCATACACTGATATGGGGGTCAGTTAGCTCATTTGGGTAGATGGCAATTCTGGCACCAGCTGTGGTTCCTTCTCAACCTCTCCCCTCAGGTGAAACCAACTCTATGGTCCAGGAGGATTACAGCAACTTTACCCTTACATTGATATCGATACATCCTACAGCTTTCTTCTTCGCTATCAACCACATGGCCACCTTTTGTAATATATCCAAAGTTCACATTTGTGCCCTTTAATAAACAAAACTTTGATTTCTATCATATTTTCCAGGCTTTTCTTTTGATTGTGAACTAACGTAAATGGGCCTGTCACTGCAGGAGGGTAGGAAAAGAAATCTCAAAATTATTTCGAAACCTGATTTTTAAAAAATTGGACAACCTTATTGGACTCATTGGCCTAGGCTGATCACATGGTCATATTTCTAGAAACTTCTGAACCCCACCTGTATAATATAAATACTCCAACTAAAGGACTTCAGCTGTCTGCTTCCAGCTAACACAAGGCAAGAAACCGTGAAGGCCCACTATGCTAAAATGAATGCTAAGACTTTTAATTCCTTTTTCAACTAGCAATGGAAACTTTCATGGGGAAAATTAAAGTTGCACTGTTAGGTTAATAACCTACCCATTAACCTATCAAAATTGGCCTTCAGCATCTGAAATGCCTGACTTTGTCACATGACTAAAAGTGGAGTTTGTTGAATTTCTTAAAATTCCAAAATTCAGGCAGTTAGGGTCTTAACATCACAAGAAGAGTAGCTGAAAGGCTTGCTTTACATCACTATCTCTCGAACATCTCACCTCAAGAAAGAATCATGGACTTCAGCTGCCAAACTGGACTAAGTCTCCGCATACAAGAACAAACGTCGTACCTTTGCCATCATCTGCTTCCCAACTCCCAGGAAAAGAATTGCTATAAGCCAACAGACTTTCAATTGGCTGCTAACTCAATAGAGTCAAAGTCATGCAAACCGTTACCAAGTTTGTTGATTTTGAGAAATTCATAAATTGTAAATTTTTTTCCGCCTACATTGTATGCTTGTGTGTATGAATGAAGTGGCAAAGCAATTTCTCACATTAAATGTTTTGTTAATAAATCCCACCTGTAGGTTCACCTTAAAGGATTTTGTTGTGGGTTTATTTCAACAGTTGGAATCCAAAAAAAGTTTGCAGATCACCTTTCAGCTCACCTCTGTAAGAGAGTAAAAGGGGAAAGGTGTAATTTAAATTAACTTAATTCCCCATCTGTCTGTGACAACTTTAACTCCCAAATTTGTTACACTTTCACCCAAAAATCAGGCCAGAAAATTCACTTGGATTGTTAAAGAAATAGTGGTTCAATTTTGGGAAGAAAGGAGAAGCAATGAGAGTGGAATTAATTTTGGTACAGAAGATGCGAGTAGGAACTATTTAAGAAATATAAAATTTAAGAAATCACTGGTACAATTGGTTTATAATCGCCTAAATATAGCTACATTGCAGGACAGAGCATATATATAAAGCAATAATAGTGTGGCGTATGGAAGGTACTGCAATAATTGGACAAATCAAATTGGTGAAGGTAATCCAAAGGAAATGTTCATAGTGTATTCAGGACAGTATTTCAAAATAATGCATTCTGGAAACAACATGGAACAGATTACATTTACCAGGTAAAGAATAATGAGACAGGTTTAATTAATTATCTTCTAGGCAAAAGTGATCATCAAATGCTGTAATTTCACAGTTTGAGGTGAACCATGTAGGTTTAAAACTAGGGGTCAATTACAAGGGTATGAAGCCAAAGTTGGCTCGATTAAACTGGTTATGGAGGTTAAAGGGTAAGACAGGTGGCAAGGTGCATGCCTGGTTGGGGGGGTGACCCCTAACAACTCCAATCTGAGAACAATAAGAAGGGGTCAAGGGGGTTACTTCTGAAAGCCACCCTTCTCCCACCCGTTAACTTTTTATTGCAGGGTTAAGATTATAAGGATGGTGTTTCAAAGGTAAGAATGACTTACCTTCTCACTGGTTGAGTCTTCATGGAGTGGGCCATGTCTTTAGGACCTAGAAGGGCAGCAGCTTCTAGCGACTTGGGATATTAATGTCAAGGGCAATGATTCTTGCCCTTGCTGCTTGTCAGCTGAATGAGTTGATTGGCAGATAATTGGGCGAGTTAAGTCCCTAGTAAAGTGACGCGAGTTGCCTCCTAACATAACCAAACCCATATTTACACAAAAAAAATCAGAAAGCCCAGCTCATAATTAGCAGAAAAAATAACCTTTGAATTATGCTTGAAAATCAAAGGGCTAGATACAGGTTTATGTTGTTAGTGTTGCTTTTAGCTAATCTTTTATATTTTTATATCTATTTTGTCCCATCTCCCATCCTATTTGTGGGAAATGTACAATGACTAAACATTAAGTTTTTCATTTAAACCACAATTGAATCAAGTTTCAGGAACAATTAGAATTTTAAGTCAGTAAGCTAAGCTTTTCAATTCTCCAAATCAAACCAAGTCGTCTACATATTAAGAGCCAGTTCATTGAAGGAAAACAGAAGGCCAGGACTCTCTCCATTGACCAAGGGGTCGAAGCCATTATTACATAAAAACATTGAAGATAGGAGCAGGAAGAGGCCATTCGGCCCTTCGAGCCTACTCTGCCGTTCTTCACAATCATGGCTGATCGTCCAGCTCAACAGCCTAATCTTGCTTTCTCCCCATAACCTTTGATCCCATTCGCCCCTAGTCACCTCTTGAATACATTCAATGTTTTGGCATCAACTACTTCCTGTGGTAATGATTTCCACAGGCTCACTACTCAGAGTGAAAAAAATGTCCATTTTCTCCATTCTAAATGGTCCACCTGGAATCCTCATACTGTAACCCCTGGTTCTGGACACACCCACCATCGGGAACATCCTGCATCTACCCGGTCTCATCCTGTTACAATTTTATAAGTCTCTAGGAGATCCCCCCATTCATCTGAACTCCAGCGAAAACAATCCCAGCCTAGTCAATCTCTCCTCATATATCAGTCCCGCCATCTCTGGAATCAGCCTGGTAAACCTTTGCTTCACTCCCTTGAGAGCAAGAGCATCGTTCCGCAGAAAAGGAGCCCAAAACTGCAAATGATATTCTAGGTGTGGCCTTATCAAGGTCTTGGATAACTGCAACAACACATCCCTGCTCTTGTACTTGAAACTCTCGCGATGAAGGCCAAAATATCATTTCTTTACCACCTGCTACACCTGCATGCTTACCTTCAGTGACCGGTGCACAAGGACACCCAGATCCAGCTGCACGTTCCCCTCTCCCAATTTACAGCCATTCAGGTAGTAATCTGCCTTCCTGTTTTTGCTTCCAAAGTGAATAACCTCACATTTATCCAAATTATACTGCATCTGCCATTGATTTGCCAACTCAGCCAATCTGTCCAGATCATGCTGAAGGATCTCTGCATACTCCCTCCCACCCAACTTGGTATCATCTGCAAACTTTGAAGTGTTATATTTGATTTCCTCATCCAAATCATTTATATTGTGAATAGCAGGGATCCCAGCACCGATCCCTGTGGCACCCTACTAGTTACTGCCAATTTGAAAAGGACCCATTAATTCCGAATCTGCCAACCAGTTTTCCATCCATCTCATTACACTTCCTCCAATCCCATGCACTTTAATCTTGCACAATAATCTCTTATGCGGGATTTTGTCAAACGCTTTTTGAAAGTACAAATATACCCCATCGACTGCACCCCCCCTTGTCAATTCTACTAGTTACATCTTCATAGAATTCCAACAGATTTGTCAGGCATTATTTCCCCTTCATAAATCCATGCTGACTCTATCTGATCCTGCCACTGCTTTCTAAATGCTCTGCTATAAAGTCCTTGATAATGGATTCGAGAACTTTCCCCACTACCAATGTTAAGCTTACTGGTCTATAATTCCCTGTTTTCTCCCTACCTCCATTTTTGAATACTGGAGTGACATTAGCTACCTTCCAATCTGCAGGGACCATTCCAAGGTCTATAGAATCCTGGAAGATGACCACCAATGCATCCACTATTTCTACAGCCACTTCCTTAAGTAATTTGGGATGTAGATTATCAGGCCCTGCAGATTTATCCATCTTCAATCCCATCAATTTTCCCAGCACCATTTCTCCACTAATATCAATTCTTCCCTCTCACTAAATCTTGCATTCTCCAACATTTCTGGTATTTGATTTGTGTCCTCTTTTGTGAAGACAGAACCAAAGTATGTATTCAGTTGCTCAGCCATTTCTTTGTCCCCTATTATATATTCCCTCATTTCAATCTGTAGGGGACCTCTGTCTTCCATAATCATGAAGTGCATCGAGGCGCTGGTCATGGCCCAAATCAACTCTAGTCTCCCAACCTGCCTACAATTTGCCTACTGACATAACAGGTCCACAGAAGATGCCGTATCCCTAGCCCTGCACTCATCCCTGGAACATCTGGACAACAAAGACACCTATGTCAGATTCCTGCTCATTGACTACAGCTCCGCCTTCAACACCATTATCCCCTCCAGACTGATCTCAAAACTCCATGGCCTTGGTCTCAGCTCCATCCTCTGCAACTAGATCCTCAGCTTTCTGACCAATAGGCCACAATCAGTGAGAATAGGTAACTGCACCTCCCCCACAATAACACAACACTGGAGTCCCCACCCAAGATGCATTCTCAGTCCCCACTGTACACCTACGACTGTGTTGCCAAATTCTGAATTAACGCCATCTACCAGTTCGCTGACGACACCACCGTAGTGGGATGGATATCTAACAATGATGAGTCAAAATACAGAAAGGAGATAGAGGGCTTGGTGATTTTGTGCAATCTGTCTTTCAACATCAGCAAAACTAAAGAACTGATCATCAACTTCAGAAAGGAGGAGAATGCACCCCCATCTATCTTAACGGAACTGAGGTTGAGAGAGTGAAGAGCATCAAGTTCCTCAGAGTGACGATAACCGATGATCTGTCCTCAAGCTCCCACGTAAATGCGACAGTCAAGGCGGCACAATAATGCCTCTTCTTCCTCAGGCAGCTCAGGAAATTTGGCATGTCCTTAAGGTCCCTTACCAACTTCTACAGATGCACCATTGAAAGCATTCTGTCTGGGTGCATAGTGGCCTGATGTGGCAACTGCTCTGCCCTGGACTGTAAGAAACTACAGAAGGTGGTGCGCACAGCCCAGACCATCACATCCATGGGCTGTATTTACACGGTCCACTACTGTGGAAAGGTGGCCAACACCATCACAGACGCATCGCACTCTGGTAATGATCTCCTACAACCTCTTCTGTTAGGCAGAAGATACAGAAGCTTGAACACATGCACAAGCAGGTTCAGGAACAGCTTTCTGGCCATTATCAGACTGTTGAATGGACTCTAGCGTCAAATAATGTAACCTGCGATGTAACCTGTATGCTTCTAAGTCTTTTTGATCTGTTATCCTTTGCTTGCTATGATCTGCCTGTACCACTCAAACAAAGCTTTCCACTGTATTTACACATGACAATAAAGTCAATCATTTGACTTCACCAATCTCTTTCTATTCATGCACCTATTGAAACTCAGTGTCAATCTTTATGTTCCCTGCAAGCTTACTTTCATACTGTATTTTCCCCTTCTTAGGCAATCCTTTGGTCCTTCTTTGCTGAATTCTAAACTGTTCCCAATCCTCAGACATTCAAACCCAGTTATAGAGGTCCCTCTATAATCTGGGTTTGAATTCAGTTGGGACGGTAGTCGTTTTTCAGATTTCTGTTTGGGTGGGATCCCAATTGAAATTAATTTGAAAAATTTCAAGTTTAGTCTTTATAGGCACTGGTGCACAGTGCAAAATAGCTAACAAGTTAAAGGGGGAAAATGGCAGAAAATAAATTTTAAGAAGTTACAGCATTAAAACAAGTCATTTCTCTATACCTAAACTACAAGTAACATCTAAACAATATTTTCTAATGGTACATTATGTCAAGCGAGAGCAAACCAACTTGCTTTCTTCTCTGGCAATACTGTGGGATGCAGAGAGAGAAGGGTGTCCTGGATACGGTCTCAGCTCGAATGTTAGGTGAACCTTGCAACCACTGATTGAAGTGTGCCTCAATTGATCAGGTGTACCATTTCTAACTGTGCTGGATCTTGGAGATGTGGTTAAAAAAAATCATTTTTCAAAAGCCCCCCACACCTTAAAAAAAGTAGGGAATGCTGGTAGCAGGATAGGAAACCTCGTTAGATAAGTTCAAACACCAATGTCAAATTCAAGGGATTTGGAAAGGAAAGGAAGGTTGAAAATGAGGATATAATTTGCAAGAGGATGTGAAGAATAGCGTGATACAGTGTATGAAAAACAAACACTATTAACGTGAAGAATATTTAAGGAAAATAAATGTGCAATGTTGGTATATTCTAGAACTAAATATAATTAAGTAATCCTTATAGAAATGTCAGATTTTTTTTTTTAAAAACAGGTGGTATTTGAAGGTGCCATAACAAAACATTCCAGTTTATCCATCAATAACAGCAGAAAAGCCTTGCAAGATATAATCAGATTCCACATACTCTAGATGAATATTGCAGCTATACAGCCAGTCCAATGCTGGCAGGTGCAGTGTAAGCTGGCAGATCACAGGAGAAATGAAAACAAAAAAGTCAGACTTACATTTTTTATAACAAATTTTAAAGCTTCCGAATGTGCAAAGGGCCTTACAACCAATTAAGTACTTTTGCGGTGCACTCATTAAGGTAAGAAACAAGATTTGTACAAAAGAAAACTCTCACAAAAAGAAAATGTGGTAATGACCAGGTATTCAGTGGTGTTGGTAAAGGGAAAATAATGCCCAGGCACCTAAGAAAGCTCCACCACATTTTCCTTGAAATTGTACTATCAAATGTTTTACATTCACCGATGGGGATAGAAAAAAGACAAAGGTTTAATATAGATGGACAAGCATCAGTATCAACTAATGAGCCAATTTCCATTCTGATCAATGATCACACCTCTTCACTGGCATGAATCAAAGGAAATAGTTGATAATTATTAAAGTCACATTCAAGTAAGAAAGGTTTTAGGGGTGGAACAAACCATCCATGGCTAATTAAAGATTGTATCAAATTGTAAAAACATACAATTCCATGAAGACTGACAGCAGTGAAGGTCAGAAGATTGGATGAGGTATAAAAAGATAGTAAAGAATGACTGTTAAAAAAGGGACAATTAAGATATTGTAGAAAGCTGGCTAACAGCAACAAAAAAGATAGTATGATTTTCTACAGGTATTTAAAAACAGCCAATCACTTTAGAAGTGTCTGGGAATTAAACACGGAAAATAAATGGCAAATGAATTGAACAAATTATGCGTCTATCTCTACTGTAGAAGACACAAAATCCGCAAAATAATTTTAAGTGAAAGAAAGACAGAAAATTAACTACAACCACCAGAGAATGAGTACTGAGAAAGGTCGTAGAACGACAGGCTGACAAGTTTTCAGGTCCTGTTAAATTTCATCCTACAGTCTTAAAAGAAGTTGTTGCTGAGATAATGAAGACATTGATTTTAATTTTTCAGAAATTGCTAGATTCTGGAAAAGTTCCATTAGATTGGATAATAAAAGGGTGGGGGGGGGCGGGGAAGAAGAAACTCATTGCCCAGTATATCGCTCACTCTACATTGCAGGAGGGTATGCCAGGAGCAACACCAATCATACCTAAAAATGAGGTGTCAACCTGGTGAAGTTACCAAACAGGACTTTGTGTGCCAAAGAGCATAAACAGCAAGCGATAGACAGAGCTGAGCAATCTCACAATAAATGGATCAGATCTAAGCTCTGCAGTCCTGTCACATCCAGTAATGAATGATGGGGAACTAGTAAACAAGTCACTGCAGGAAGATACTCCATAAATATCTTCATCTTAAATGATGGTAGAGTCTAGTACATCAGCGCAAAAGATAAGATTGTTACAAATGCTTCAATCTCCAGCCAGAAATGCCAAGTGGATGATCCACTGTGGCTTCCTCCAGCCTGCTCCTCACTTCCAGCACAGATGATAATCTCCAACCAATTTGATTCACTTCACGTAATATACAGAAATGGTTGGAGGCACTAGATACTGTAAAGGCTATGGGACCCTGACAACGTTCTAGCAATTGTACTGAAATTGTGCTCCAGAACTTGCTGAATCCATAGCCAAGCTGTTCCAGTACAGCGACAACACAATACAAAACAATGTGAAAAATTGCCCAGTTATGTTTTGTACACAAACGCAGGACAATTCCAAACCAGCCAATCAGCACACTCTCAATCATAAAGGTGTCATTAACAGTGCTACATGCAGCATCTGCTCACTGATGTACAGTTTGAGTTCCGCTAAGGCCACTCAGCTCTTGCCTTGGTTCAAGCATGGACAAAAAAAACTTAATTCCAGAGGTGAAGTGAGTGTGACAGCCTTGATATCAATGCCACATTTGACCAAGTCTGACATCAATAGGAATCAGGGGCAAACTGTCCAATGGCTGGTATCAAAGCTTGCACATACGAAGGTGGTTGTGGTTATTGGTCAGTTGTCTCAGCTCCAGGATATCTATGCAGGAGTTCCTCAGAGACAGTGCCTCAGGGCCGACCATCTTCAGCAGCTTCACCTGATGGAGGTCAGAAATGGGGATGTTCACCAGTGATTGTACAATGTTCAGCACCATTCGCAACTCCTCAGATACTGAAACAGTTCATGCCCAAATGCAACAAAATCCAGACAATATCCAGGTTGAAAAGTGGCAAGTAACATTCACACCACGCAAATGCCAGGCAATGCTTATCTCCAATAGGACACAATCTAACCATTACTCCTTGACTGGCACCAAATCAACAAACATTCAGTCACTCCATCAAGAATGGTCAGTAGCAGCAGTAAGTACTATCTACAAGATGCACTGCAGAAGTTCACCAAAGACTGTCTTCCAAACCTATGACCACCACCACCTAGAAAGACAAGGCAGCAGATACATGGGAATATCACCAGCAAGTTCCCTCCAAGTCACTCACCATCCTGACTTGGAAACATATTGCCGTTCCTTTACTATCGCTTGTTCAAAATCTTGGAATTCCCTCTCTAAGGGTTTTGTGGGTCCTACAGCACATGACTGTAGCAGTTCAAGGAGGCAAATAGGGACAGGCAATAAATTATGGCTAGTGACGGAATAAACATAAGGAACAGGGAATTTAATTTCTTTGAATCTTCTATTCAAAAAAAGAAATCAGAAATCAGGAAGATTGTTAACTTCTGTCAACAGGAACTGCTGGAGTCTATTATAATGGAAGTTATAGCACAGCATTTCCAAAACTTCAATAGCGATCTGGCAGAGCCCAATGTTTTTTGAAAAGGAAATAGTGTTTGAAAAAAAATTAAGTCCTTCAAGAATGTAACAAGCAACATGATTAAAGACAAACCTGTAGATGCTATGTACCTTGAATTTCCAGAAGGCATTTGATAAGACACCACAAAGATTACTAAGCAAAATATGAACTCACAATGTCAAGGATAACACATTATCATGGACAGAAGATCAGTTAGCTGACAGGAAAACAGTAGGCATTAATGGGTCATTTAAACTTGCTAGATTGTAATGGAGTGCCATAACAAATACACAAGCAATCATTATTGCTTAAAAAAAATTAAATTGCAGTCATTCTAAACCATTTACAGGCTATAAAAAATTTAATTAAGGTGAGCAACAGATTATATTAAAATAGCTCTGCCTGAAATAGTACTAAGTTGGGAACGGCCTGAAACTAAATTCATCATGAGTAAAAGTCAGAAATGTTAACTGCCGTGGCCTAACCAACTACACTTTTTTTCTACATGAATTTTGTTTAAATTGTTAGGTTGTTGAGATCAACGGGTATCTATCAATAAATACATCTTTATTTGATAATCACAGTATCACAGAATCAGACAGTATGCTGCTCCACTCATGGCTGAGTTAGTCCAGACAGAACAGAAATATTTCTTGTCCTGGTTTTGCATTGGGTTAGCTTTTCTCAGCCAAGCTATTGGAGATAAATATGACATTATGCCCCTGGAAAGTAAAGTAAAATGCTGCGGTTGCTGAAAAAAACTCACATGCCTGGCTGCATCGGTGGAGAGGGAAGCAGAATTAACATTAGCTGAAGTGTAATATCGGACATGAAAGGTATTAATGACTTGGAACAAATCAAACACCGAACCTGTCATTCAACTGCTTCAAAAAAAATTGACTCAATTTGCACTGATATAAAAGAAATTTATGATGCTGTCAAGACATGTTCCCAATTAAAGCACAAGCACAAATGTACTGATCTAGAAGAGGGAATGAAAAAGTCACTGACATATGAAGGTGGGGCATAAAGTGCAAACTGTGTGAAAAATAAGCCAGGCAACTAGAAGCCAGTCAGTTTAACCTCAGCAGTGGCAGAGCTTCTAAAAATAACACCTCAGGGAAAAACTAATAGTCACTGAATTGTATGGATTCAGAGATTCTGTAAAATAGGATGAATCAATGCTTTTTTAAAGCAATAGGCTTACAAAAAATTATTGAAAAGTTTAAACAAAACTGGGTTTCATTTGTGTGAGCATAACATCTCTCTAACAATAATATTAAAGACTTTATACAACAAAAAAATGGAAGGCTACATATGGTTTTATTGTCAAATATGTTTACATTATCTTCAGCATACTGTAGTTGTATAAAACATGCATTTCAGGATGAAAGCCTTTATAAATACAAAATGGCCAAGCCAATATAAATTATGTATTTTGTAAGATTGCATGTAAAATATATATGTACGAATGCCCCATGTGCAAGGGCTCAGCTTTCCAGCTACACATACGAGTCCTCATTATGAACTACTGCAACCGTGCTAGAGTCTACACTACAGCTACAGTAATAGAGAACTTTATACAAACTTTTAAAATACACCTACAGTATGACTTTAGTTAAATCATTTTAGAGTTTGTGAACATTTTTATATATGTGCTGTGAGAATGTAGTAAAAATAACAGACACGGATGCTTTTTTAAAGAAATAATAATGAAAATAAAACATCTAGAATGGTACACAAACCCAGGCAAATAAGGTTTCATAGCACTTAGTGAGTCTAACGGATTACAAATTCCATAAATTTGTTATTACAGTAATATAACTGAAAGGGCTGATACCATGTCATTCCTTGTATAATTAGTTTTCAATGGGTAGTAACAGTTGTACATTAGCTAGCTCTTTTTACTATTCCATACATGAAATATTTTCTTCAATAATTTTATAGAAACACATTCAAAATTGGCCAATGCAAATGGTTACATGTAAAAATAGTGCACTATTTTTCTTAACAATAAACTTTCATTTAATTTCCATTATAACAGTCATCAGTAAACTTCAATTTAACAAGATGGGCAAACATTTAGAAAATGTTAAGTTAAGGCGTTATTTTGATATGAAATGAAAATCACAAGTTGCCCATTATAAAATGTGTATTTCTGACTGATAACATTCTCAAAATTTCCTCAACCTGAAGGACTGCAATTTTCCCCACATTCCTTTCAGATACAGCTTCCTATAATATGCTCATAAGCAAATCTGTTAAACTCTATGGCTTTATACAAGTGCATAGATGCAACTGTGATAACAAAGGCTTGTTCTTTATACATACCATGGATGTACTTTGTGCCAAGACAACTGTGGTTTCCTCTGACTAATTACTATTCTGAATACAACTGAAAAGTATGACTGATTCAATTCCAAAGCTCTCTTGGGCTGTTCCAAACAACATACTTTCATATGACCATCATATTTGGTTTCTTATTCAAGTTAAGCTGATGTAACCACCTCAAGTTCATCATTCTGCTTGAAAACATTTCAGTTTATTGGGCAGTGGCGCATTTCTCCATCTTGCGTCCCAACCAATCTAGTGTTTATTTCACTTGGTTGCCAAGTAATATCACATCCAAGAGAGCTTTTTAGCGATTATGCATAACAACCAACCTGGGGGCATCTTTACATCAATTTCTATTGCTGTCTGGGCTTGCAGCAAACCAATACTGTTCCCAGGTTTAGAATTTTACATTGCTGCAAAGTGCTGTAAACTATTGTGAAACTTTTGATCTGTAGACAGTCATGTTTAGCTCTTTTCATATAAAATAAATTGCAGCATTTTGTGCACTCTTGTTTGAATGTCAGAGTATTCTACACAGTCCAATTTTTTTCTGCTGAGGATGGAAACCCATAATCTCGTACATTGCTGCATTCCCCAGCACACAGTTAGCTGAAAAAGAAACAAAGATAAATAGAATTAAAACATGCCTTCAACTCAGAGTTGACTACCAAACAACTTTCACAATTGTTACAAAAACAGAAGTTGCTGGAAAAGCTCAGTTCTGAGGAAGGGTCACCTTGACCTGAAACTTTAATTCTTCACAGATGCTGCCAGACCTGCTGAGCTTTACCAGCAGTTTCTGTTTTTGTTGCTGATTTACAGCATCCACAGTTCTTTTGGTCTTCACAACTGCTAATTCATGAACTTTGACAACAAAGGAGGATAAAAATAGCAGATCCACTTAATGCTGTTTAAAATATATCATGCTGGTAGCATACTTATATTCCATCAGATCAACATTAATCATCACGTCTTGATGAAAAGTGGAAATGTCAAAATTCTGCATGTTATTACTATCAAAATGTTGCCTCATCCTACTTTTGAAGGAACATGAAAGGAATGAAACATGACTGAAATATAATCAATGACATTAAGGGGGAGCTTTCACTTAGAATACCTCATATAATATTTACTGTACAGGAAGGGTATTCATTTCAACAGATCCAAGCTGGTGTTGATGGTCCACACCAGTGTAACAAGCTTGATGTTTAAGAAACTTGATGTTGTACTTTCTTCTCAAAGCCATCAGAACAAATAAATTACTGTCAAATGCTCAACGAAACAAATTAGTAAATTGGATTTTTCACAAACAGTAATCCACATTGGCACAAATGAAAAACTACATGGGTTCCACACATTTAATAAAAAAATGTGCTCATGTTTAGGTAATTAATATAATGTATATATTACTAAGTAAGCAAGTGTTTCATATAATTTGTGTCAGCTATGGTAACAAATATCAGAAACAGACGAAAGCATCTAAGGTGCCATCCCTGCTGGCTCTCGTTAAGATCACAAAAGCAGATCTTTGAGTTAGAAAACGTAAAGCAAATTAACTCAAACAAGCTTATCTGTTCCAGATTGCCATTTAAGAACCAATGCTAGCTGTGAAATTAGCTGTGAATAACTTGTGCCAGAAGTCAGAAATCACCAAAAGTGAGTTCCTGCCTTAAAAATTCTACCTCAGCTGGTCACTGAGAAAGGTCAGCTGTTTCTTCACAAAAAAAATGACATCATCAGAACAGGTGCTTTTGCATAACTTAGTATTTGATTGCATAAGATATTATCGGGAGTCGTAATAATTATATATTTTGCATTTCAAAGTTTCTCACACAAAGGTGATACATCTCAAATCAGTGCAAGATAAGTTCCTGGGAAGGTGACATGGATTTTGCATCAATGTCAAGTATTGGTATAACTACAAAAGACCATAAGATATAGGAGGAGAATTAGACCATTTGGCCGTTGCCCTAAATAACATGAAATCTATCAGCTGAAATCCAGTTGATTCAGCCTATGATGAGCATACTATATACATACCATCCTGTATTAATAGCACATGCATTTTGATCCAGCAAATACTTTGTGGCTTAACTGCTGTGTTAAACATTAGATAAATTCATAATCTGCAACTTCACAATCTTTGCCGCTGTAGACTGATGGAATTAATATTTTTTCCTCATTTGCTAGTTTTATTGCAAACAGTAAATCTCAGAAATAAATGGGTGGATTTCAACAAACCATTGTACACTGATAAGGTATGGTGTAAGTTCTGATTACTTTGTGGTGAAGGTACAATTCCAGTTTGTGGAATTTCTTTTTACAAGACCAGTTAACATTGGGGAACAGAGCAAATCGACTTTAAAAGAAATGTGGATTGTCTCAGCAACCGAAGTGGAATTTGGCTGAGCCATCAAAACATGAGCAGTGTTTGCAGGGCAGGTTGTTAGATGTGATTGGTTAAAGCCTCCACTTTGAGTTCCCTTTAAGCTGCACAACTGCACACACACTTATGAGGTTTCGTGCACATCAGTGTGCTGATGCAGTGAATTCCAGCTTCGGCAATTGCTGCTGCGCACAGACCTTGGAGGTCCATGCACCATGAAACAAAATAAAGCATTGCTCTTTGATGAGATGAAATATGTTAATAAAGCCACTTTGCCGTTACACCACATCAACTATATAAGGAAATGCCTCAAAGAAGAGATGCATGCTGTAATAAAATTGACAGAGTGGCACAGCCATGAAGTCTAATAACACCCTCTTCACTTGTTAACATCTGTCGAATTTAGCTTTTACAAAAAAGAAACTCCCTTCTTATTGTTTTAAAAAATTTACAAATTGTTTAAACAGAAACACATGCATGGTGAAAACAAACACACTACACACAATCATTTGCATGCTTGTAGTAAAACAAACATATTAATGTGTGCCATATTTACCAGTGGTAAATGCATATGATAACAACAAGCAGTAAGTCATTAAACACACAGATTGACAAATCAATACAAAAAAAAACACTCCAGAACACAAGTTAAAACTTCAATTAAATGTGATATTAGTAAAATAATTTTAAACAAATTCAGTATAAAAGTTTTATTGTTTAACATCATGAAGGCTAGGGGTGAGATAATTACCCACAATTACCCATCAGATCAGTTTAATTTTACTAAAATTTCACTAGTATGTTACAATCGCTGTTATGATGACATATATTTTAGCTTGACCATGTTACCTAAGGAGAGATTGTCCTGGCTGCGTTCTGGGCAATCACCCTCCTAAAATATTCAATTACCTCAATAAGATTCTCCACTTTTTCTGTTAAAGTCAATTAAAAGCAGTGTAAAAACAATTTCTTTTCATTTTTTTTATTTTAGATTGTGGACAGAAATGGGAAAGGACTGTTTTATAAAGTAAAGTTTGTGGAGAAGATTACTGTTCTTTTTAAAAGCAAGTTCCCTGACACTTGTAAGTGTTGTTTACACTGCTGTTTGCTCAAGCAGTCGGGGAGGCGGGGGGAGTCTATTTGCAGACAAACTGGAGCCTAGCACTCCTGAATAGAGTTTCAGTCGGCAATAAATAGCTGACGGCTCTGAGGAATGCCTGCCAGCAACTACGGGATTGACTTCTACATGGCTGAACATGTTTGCGTCACAAGCCATCGGACTACTAAGAAGGAAGGATCTATCCTCTCTCTGCAGTTAAAAAACTTAAGCCTTAAGGAAGTCAGTTTATTTCGCTTCATCAATTGCTGCAAGCTGTGGCTCTTTAACAACATGCCAGAGATGTTATAAATATGAATCAGCTACTCTCTACCTCCTGCACAGAAGTTAAAGTATCTGGAGAATGAAGATTGAGTAACAGCAGGAACTGACAAGCCAAAAGGATCATCTCAGAAAATTCTGTTGATAGGTACTACATAACTTCCTTTCCAGTCTTTCTCTCTGCCAATGACACCCATTTAATTTTGTGTCTGCCAACCCGTGTGTAGGGGGAGTCTTAAAACAGGTTAGAGTTTTAACAAGTAGAGTTATATGTTGACGGTTCATAATTGCTTATCTGCAGTTAGAATCTTTTTTTAAATTTGTAATAAATACAATATTCTTGGTAGGGAAGGAAACCTAGTCCATGCTTTCTGTCAATCTGGGTCTAAAATAGGTAATTTATGAATTTTGTGTAATTTTATAAAATTTTTATATTTTGTCACAGATCTGGAAATAACGAGGCTCGAGTTTAAGCAGTTGAAGACTCTGGGTCGGTACGTGATGGACTTTAGAAGAATGAGGCAGAACCTGACTAAAACTTACAGGATACTGAGAGGCATGGATAGATTGGACATGAAGAAGATGTTTTCACTAGTAGATGAGACGAGGACACAAAGGCACAGCCTCAGAGTGAAGGGATGACCCTTTAGAACTGAGATGAGGAGGAATTTCTTCAGAAAGAGGGTGGTGATTCTGTGGAACTCATTGCCACACAGGGTTGTGAAGGCCAAGTCATTGAGCATATTTAAGACAGAGATTTATAGGTTCTTGATTAGGAAGGGGATCAAGGGTTACAGGTAGAAGGTAGGAGAATGGGGTTGAGAAACATATCAGCCATGATTGAATGGTGGAGCAGGCTCAATGGGCTGAATAGTCTAATTCTACTTCTATGTCTTATGGTCTTAATCCTTTATCTACCTTGAAGGTGATCCTCAGTAAGGACTGTTCTAAAATAGCCTTCCAGTTTTCATATATTTAGAAAGAAAGAATGCTTGCCTATTTGTTTACAAGGTTACAAAAAAATCTCTACAAATTCAAAGGAAGCTCATAGATTGATTGCTTCTGTCCTTGTGGAGTAACATCATTTTTACTGAACCCTGCCTTCAAAAATATTGAAATATGTTTAATTCACATTAGTATTTCATGGTAGATTGTCGATGGTAAAGAAAAGGCAACACACTTAGCTGTTACAAGGAAACACTAATTGGTAGGATCTGTGTGTCCAGAAACAAAGCTTTCATGACTTCTATTTTAAAAAAATCAATTTGCTGATTAATTGCTTGTAGAAAGTCCTGAGATAAAGAATTCTCATCACTATTTAGTGATGAAAACCAGGCACTGAATTATTAGACTGTTCTGCTATAGCTGCCAAAAAAAATAATGGAACTTGAAACTATGTGCATGGTTAAAACAAACTATTAAAATCGTCTATTTTAGCAATCACACTACTACAAAGCTGGATTTTCGCAATTTCAACTTTCAAAGAAAGTTACAGAAGCACTCAAGCCAAACCATGCTTCAGATAAACATCACTGCAGACTTCAAAACCAGTATTTTGATAGGTTACCCCATTCAGGTAAAATAACTTCTTCAAAAATCAAAAACATCATCATCATCATCATCATCATCAAACGGCCAGTCCCAGTCTTTAAAGGCCATATCAAGCAATCTGCAACAGTTCAGGGAATGCAAATTGATTTAGTGAATGCACATCATTTCAACTATCATTTTTTTACACTTCTTTACAATGAACAACATTTTTCCCAATTCTACAACTCCTGTCTAGATACACATATGGAAAATGACAATTAGACAAGGCATCAGAACTCTGCTTAAAACTATGAAACTGGGTCACTGTCTTCAAGAAATAGGAATAAAGTACATGGTTTATATTTCTCCATCAAAAATTCAAGAAATTGCACAGTTGACAATACCTGCAGTGTTATTTTTGCTTCTACAAATAGTGGAACTGATTGAATTCAGATAATTTTAAGAGATATTTGATCTAGAGACTTTTAAGAGTTAGTCAAGATTGGTATCAGATTTCAAAGCATGAATTTGAAATGAAAAGTATAATTTCCATTTGCATGCAGATTACAAAGAAGTTGCAGGTGCAAAATTATCATGCAGGATAAAGCAGTTAGGGCAAAAGTCTTAAATTCAGCATTGGCACATGCAAAGCAAAACTACAGTGACCCGCTAAACTTACTGGTACAATTAAAATGTATCAATGTAGGATGATTCGAAGAATGGGACCAGAGTCAGAGCTACAAGAATAGCAATAAAGATGGAAATGAAGCAAATATTTACATGTTAGAGAAGTATTAAAAACATGGTAAGATAGTATTTGCATAGCTCCTTCCTGACTTAGTGAATTTATCAAGTAGCAGAACCATATAGATAAACAAGAGTACAAAACAGATCCCTGGTCTACGTTAGGTTAGCTGATTATACAGATAATGACATTAGATGCAATTCAAGTGATCTCAGAGGCCTGGATTAAGGAGTGAAAAATTGGTCAAAGCTCCTTATTCCTAGATCATTATGCCATAGAAATGGGTAGGTAGATTTAACAGTATCAGAATTGGTGTGATGCTCATTGGTGCCAATTAATGTCAAAGCTCATACATTTGTACTGCAATAGCTACTTCAAGAGCGTCTAGGAGGATGGTTGGAAATCATATCCTTGCAAAGAAATTAAGTTTCAGTAGAGGGGTAGGATAGAAATTTTAAAAATGCATGCAATCACACCTCAGAATGTGAAGTATTAGTACTGGTTCACTGTTTTCTCTCCCTTAGACCAAGAGTGGTCTCCTATGCCACAGGTCAAAGCAAATTCTTACAATTAAAAATATTGCAGTTCAAAGCTGTTTAGCACCAAACATTTCATTTAAATGGTGGCCAATTTTAATTAAGAAATAGGATTATGAGGACAGGAGTCAAATTGGTTTGCTGTATTGGTAAAATGTAAATTATACAGTGTGCCATTCATTTGACCATAACATTATCGCATTACACTAACAGCAAGTCAAATTATTGGCAGCAAATACTATAGCTATTCTGAAAAAGGATGTTAGTGCTTTTCATGTTGCAATAATTAGCATGTGGTACTTTAAACAGGATCACTGAGAATGTAAGAAGACTAGGCTACATTCTGAAAGGCTTGTCAGGGCTAATCAAAGCAATCTTATAGGGGAGTGGTTTGCGGAAATGGAAGAGTGCAAATTAGTTGAAACAAATAAGACAAGAAGGAGGAGAAGACATACTTGAAGTCATTGGGTTCTGTGAGGTTAGTTTAAACAGTAGTTGAGAGAAAAGATACGGACAGGGAAAGTAACTAGGTTGTTGACAAGAGAACACCTAGGTTTCAACACTGGGATAATCTAAGTGCAGAATAAGAATAAAAGGATGATGTTAAAAAATTGAAAAAAACAACAAAGATTAACTTTATTTGTGTCAGAATGAAGAATGCAGTTTGCTAACTAGAACACAATTTAAAAGGAAAGTGGAGGTAGGAGGTGGTTTCCAAGGAAGAGCTGTTCAAAAACAGATTCCAAAAAGTATACCTTTGACAAGCTGACATTTATTGCCCATCATTGTTATGTTGAGGATATTAAAAGTTCATCACGTTTATTATTCTACGTAGGCCAATGCACATAGGGACGTCAGGTACCGTTCCCAAAAGACAACGATGGGGCAACTGGGTGTGGTTATCAACTTGTCTGTTTCTGTTGCACAAGTTACGAGATTCAGTGTATTCAACTTCACAACTTGAAATATTGTGAATCAACCTCAAGGCCTTTAGGTGCTTGTTGAATAATATAACCACTCCTTGGGAACTGAGTAAATGTATATTGAAAGCGATTATAAAATCAGGAATTATCACTCATTGATTTGTAACTTAACGTGAGCACTCCTTGTTAAATGTAAGAAGCATACATATCTGCAAGCAGCAGATTGTTTGGACTGACAAATGTTACAAGAATACATTGTTAATAGCAGAATAGTGAATAACTTTGTGAAGGCTAGATTGCTTGGTTATAATGATTTTCAGTCTACAATTTTCACTGAAGTGACAGAGGCTTAAACCTAAAAGATCAATAGTATTTACCTGGGCTTAGTTTGTGGCAGCTGTCGGCTCGGCCTCCTCATGGATTGGTTAGGAGGAACCCGCATTGAGGACCTTGGAGAAGATCTGTGGAAGTTGGGATCATGTGCAGGAGGTTTCTTTGGAATTTTTTTCACCAATCGACTCACCCATTTCTGTTGTTCTTCTGTTGAATTAGCTAGTAATAGCAGATCTTTTGCAGATGAAACATCATAATTCACTGCAAAAGAGAAGGAACTAGATTAATGATCTTCAGTACTGACTAAATGTGAATCTTGTATATGCCTCTCTCAATCAGGTGTCGCAACTATTTAAAGCCTATGAAGGCTAAGGAGAAGAATAAGACATTGAGTTCTTGATGCAGATCACTATTCCTGTAGAGTACAGAAGCAAAGTACTGCTAGAAATCTGAGATAAAAACAGCAAAAACTAGAAACATAGAGCAAGTTTAGCTGTATCTGTAAAGTGTGTTTTACACCTGTGACTTTTCATCAGGATGGTCACTCATACACTTTTTGTTGCATGTTGAATGCCAGGGTGAAGAACTACAATTAAACAGGCCACAAATATTCAACACCAATAAGAAAATACCAGAAGTTTGTTACATGGGAGATAACGAGAGGAACAAGAGACATGGAAAGGGAAACAGACAAAGAAGAGTAGAAGTCAAGTAATTGCGTGCATACAGAAGCTGAGTGAAACAGAAATAGAAAATGAAAGGGCAAGTGGCAAAGGAAATGCATTTATAAGAATGACAGAGGGATCACCAATACTGAAATAAAGATATACAGATGTTGAGGTTGGTTGGCTCGCCGAGCTGGTTTGTTGTTCCGCAGACGTTTCGTTACCGTGCTTGGTAACATCCTCAGTGCAGCCTCTGATGAAGCGTCGGTGCGTTATCCCACCTGGCTTTTAAACTCTGGGGTCCGTTGCAATGGGTTGCCTCACTTCCAGGTTTCCTCCGTAGTGGAATGTATATGGGGTCGAGTTCAATGTGTTTATTAATAGCCTGCTTCGTGGAGTGCCATGCTTCCAGGAATTCTCGTGCTTGTCTCTGCCTAGCCTGTCCCAGGATCTTGGTGTTGTCCCAGTCGAAGTCGTGGTTCTCCTTGTCCATGTGGATTGAGATGAGTGAGTATTGGTCATGTCGTCGTATCCATAGCAAAGACTGGAAAGGACTGCCCTTCCGCAAATCCAACCTAAACTATGGATACGCGACGTAGACGACACTTTTGTCATCATTAAATGGACCAAATTAGAAGAGACACACAAACTCAAACAACACCCTCACCGGAATAAAACTCACCAGAGAGGAGGAGAACAACAAACAACACCCATTCCTGGACGTCATGGTAGAGCGCAAGACAAATAGAGAACTGCAAACGAAAGTACACCGAAAAGCCACACACACAGACCAGGTATTGAACTTCAACAGTAACCATCCCAGCACACACAAACGAAGCTGTGTGCGAATGCTATTTACAAGGGCAACAACACACTGCAGCAACATGGAACATGGAACACCAAGAGGAGGAAGAATACCTCTTCCAAGTGTTCAAGGATAATGGATGTCCAAAGAACTGGGTCAGGAGATGCCTACAGGAACAACATCAGAAAGATCCTACACACCCCGACACACTCGTCACACTACCCTACATCAGGAACACGTCAGAACTCACCAGAAGACTTCTACGACCGCTGGGCATCAGAGTGGCAGACAAACCCACATCAACCCTACGACAAGTGCTCACCCGAACTGAAGACCCACTCCCTGCCCTGGACAGGACCAATGTCATCTACAAGGTCCCCTGCAGAGACTGCGAGAAACACTACATCGGACAAACAGGAAGGAAACTAACAACAAGAGTACATGAACACCAACTGGCTACAAAAAGACACGACCAATACTCAGTCATCTCAATCCAATCGCAACAGATCCCAGAGTTTAAAAGCCAGGTGGGAAAACACACCGACGCTTCATCAGAGGCTGCACTGAGGATGTTACCAAGCACGGTAACAAAACGTCTGCGGAACAACAAACCAGCTTGGCGAGCCAACCAACCTCAACACCCACAACCCGAGCTACAAATCTACTCCAAAACCTTAAAGATATACAGAGACAGTTGTAGGAAAGAGTGCATTATCAAATGTCAAAAAGACAGAGGGACTGAAGACAACAGAGCAAATTCCTGCAGATGTAGGGATTGGCAACAAAATCAGTAAATACTGGAAATGTTCAAGTCACACAGAATCTGCATTGAGACATAAGCTTACAATTTCTTGCTTCTTATCCCATGGAATGATTACCTCCTACCTCAACACTACCTCCCTCTCCCTTTTCCTGTGTCGTTCCATCTACATCCACAACTGCTCAACAGCCTCTATCCATTTTACTAGTTTCTAATTTCCTTTTAGAATCAAATCCCCTAAACACTTGCATCATTGCTTCAAATCCACTGCCCCAAACTGTATGCAGGACAGATCAAAGATCCCTCCATTTGCTCCAGAAGGCCATCTTCTGCTTCATTGGCTGGCATCAAACCTGACACAAGGAAGATGGTCGTGGCTTTTGGAAATAAGGCATCTCAACTTCAGGGCAAGTCTACAGGAATTCTTCAGGGCCCAACCATTTTCATTGATGACTTTCCCTCCATATTAAGGTCAGAAGTGGAGATGCTCGCATCACGTTCAGCATTATTGCAACAACTCAGATAATGAAGCGGTCTTTGTTCAAACTATGTTCCAGCAAGACTTGGACAATATCCAGGTTTGAGCTGACAAATGGCAAGTAACATTTGCACCACGTCAGTAACAGGCAATGACCATCTTGAACAACAGAGAAACTAACCATTGCCCTTCGATATTTAATGGCTTACCATCACAGTGAATTGCCCACTATCGATATCCTCGGAGTTACACTGACAATAAACTCAACTGCACTAGCCATTTAAGTGCTGTGGCTACAAAAACAGGTCAGGGCTAAGAATTCTACAGTAAGTAACTCACCTCTCACTCCCCAAAGCCTGTACACAAGGCACAAGTCAGGATTGTGACGGAATATTTCCTACTTGACTGGTTAAAAGCAGCTCCAACAACACTCAAGAAGCTCAACACCATCTAAGCCATAGCAGCCACTTACTCAGCACCACATCCCCAAACATTCACTCCTTCCACCAAAGACACGCAGCATCATGGGATTCCAACATGGGGTCAAGGCCCTCGAGCCCAAAGCCGTGAAATGGACTAAGTGGACTTTGTCTTAAATTCTCTTTTTTAAAAAATTGTTTTTCTTTTTTTAAGGTGTTTTATCATTGGAAGACTGTTATTCTGAACTTTTATTTCTCTATTTTCCTAAATTATTACTACAATTTTGTATTTTTAAATGTCTGTAATGTCGTACTTTTGTAAATATTTTTTTCCCTAAGAATTTGTACTCGAGAATCTGTACCTTTGTACCTAAGATGGCACCATAAGTGGCGACTTGTAAACTTTTCACTGTACATGTGATAATAAAATTAATTCAATTCCATCAGCAGCGCATACCATATATTGTATTGCACGATTTCACTCAGGCTCCTTCAACACCATAATCAAACCCACGATCACTACATTTTGAAGGATAAGGACAGCAAACACTAGGAAAACTGCCACGTGCAAGTTCCCCTCCAAGCCACTCATTATCCAGACTTCACTGTCACTAGGTCAATTCCCTCCCTAACATTGGTGTGTATTTACTAAATGGATAGCAGTGGTTCAAGATGACAGCTCACCACCACCTTCTGAAGAGCAACTATGGATGGGCACCAAATGCAGGACCAGTCAGCAAAGTCCACACGCCATGAATGAATAAAAAAATCTCACCACCCAAATCTCACCATCTCACATTGACAACTTCTCCCTTGACTCCATTCAATTTCTCCAAATTAGAGGTGTTACTATTGGTCCTCGTTAGACCTGGCTTTGTGGATGATGCAAAACATTCTTCGGTCCCGTCTGACTTAAGGTTTCCCCAAGGACTTCTTCGACCAGTGCAGTTATGCATGTATCAGGGCTGTTTCCTGCACACGTCCTTCTGACTCCAACAGCTACCTTGACTCCATTTTGTCCTCCCTCACTTGGTTCAGACACTATCTATTCTCCCAATTTCTTTATCTCATCATCCATTTTGACAAAACTACTTTCAATAAGCACAATTTCAATAGTTCTTTCATTTTCCTTAGGGAAGGCAAATGGAATATTAGTACTTATTTCAAAGAAATGGAATATAGGAGGGAAGACTTGCTAAAACTACAGAACATACTAGTCAGACCACATCCAGAATACTGTGAACAGATCTGGTCCCCTTATCTAAGGAAAGATATACTAGCAATGGAGACAGTTCAGAGAAGGGTCATCCCTTGACAAAAAGGCAGTTTGCCGTTTCCCCTGCTGACAAAATGCAAAAGAGCTGTTCCTAGCCCCACCTTCTGGTTCCCTGCTGGCTGTCGCCAAACACCCCTCTGGGTCCCCAGTGGTTGCCTTGTTGTTGGTAATAACATACCTAGTTACTCATCACTCCTCTAATCACAGGTTGCTTCTCTTCCATGATTGTTGTTGATAGATTTACTAGTAAGTAACGAGTGAATCATCACGTGAATTAAGCACAGCTTCTCACTCTTCTCCTCAAATCTATTTGATGGTCTGATCGGTTGCTTGAGATTGAAATTTTCCAGAGGATTTCTGGAGTTTGTGGCTAATTCATTCTTTGCCTTCATGGATTTTGGTCACTAAAGCACATTTACCACACTGTAATAGACTGGGTAAACATGAATTATCTGGTGACAGTCCTGATTTTAAATAATTTCAAGCTTCTTTCATTCTCCTCTTGTTTTACTTATGAATTTGTAGAACCTTTCTTAATATGCTGACATTAATTTAAACTAGATTTTCAGAGTACGTCAAACAAACATAGCTTGAAGCATGATGCTCAATCCTCCATTCCCTGACAATTTTCTGTAAAAGATCTGATGGCACGACTGAAATGCGGGGGACTTAAACTGGAGCCCTTGTCTATATTTACCCTGCAACAAGCATCTTTAAAACAAGTTCACAATGGATATAATCTCAATGTAACTTTCGGGACTGGGCTGTGATAAATTCAATGCCACATTTCTGACAAAAATAACTAAATTCCTAAAGTAGTGAAAATGTTAAATAAACTGGGATTTACTGATGCTACAAAAGGCGCAGTATAAAGGCACAGAGAGTACTCATTATTGACTTAGACACCATAACTTCTAATGATCAAAAATTAGATCATTAGATCAAAAACAGACAAGGAAACCTACTGTTGATGACCAGCTAACACAATAAGTCAGTATTCCTCCATGCTGATTACCACAAAGAAGAAGCACTGAAAGTGGTAGGGACACAATGTACACTGAGTTGAGTACTTCAATATACATCAGTCACGAACAGCTGGACCAATACTGATTGAAGTATTCGGCTGAGCCAGCCGAATCCCTCAGAAAATCTGTCAGACTGGGCCTGCAGCAGATGGTGAAAGGACCAAGAGAGAAATAGCTTCCTGATCGTGCCCTCACCAATCTATTTGTTACAGATGCATCTGATTATGACAGTATTGGTAGTTGTAGTTTTTCCAAAGACCAAGATCTGTCTTCACACTGAAGACACCCTTGCCATCATGCTACTCAGACTACCATTGTGTTGAATAGGATAGATTCATAACAGAGCTACCTGCTGAAAACTGGCATCCATGGGACGACATGGGTAAACAGCTGAATTGCATACAGCAATCTAGAACAAGGCAGAGAGTAATTTTGCTTTTTGAGGCCCTTCCTTAGAGATTTTTCTCAAGGACTTTTTCTTTTGGTTTTCTACTTTTCATTCTCACTTACTTCTTTATTAGGTTATGGACTTGAAAGCATTTTGAACAATATGTGTAAGTGGCAAGTTATTTTGGTTTCCTCCTGAGGTCCAGGATCATACAGGAAACCTTCAGCAATGTGACTCACATCATATCTAGAGACGGGTTCATAAACTGGATACAAGGAAGGCTTTGAGCCTTAACAGCCATCTGAGCTGTGGTACTGAGGACTTACAGCAAGAATAAGCCAATATGTCCTAAAACAAAATGTCACATGGACACAAAAGGAGATTCTGGGGAGTTTGTAACACTATCTTGTTCTTTTAAAAACCTAAGAATGAGTTGTACTGTGCTATTTTTCTTCACTTTTTTCATCTGTATAATATGCATTCAATTTGTTATTTTAATATATTTTAAACAAAGATCAGAAAGTTACTTGTGGATGATCTGTAATATTATAAACATTATCCAGGGGAAAAAGGAAAATTGTTAATTCACCACACTCAAAAGTTATGCTTTGGTGTGATGACCAACACTAAAAACCATTGGGAAAAGAATCACCCAATTTCAACCTACAATATCTTTTTAGCAAATAAATGCAGTTAGAAACAAATTTCTTTACAAATGTACACTGAAGGAAAAAAATGCATAATTACAAAACAAACCTTCAACTACTTTAAATTATTTGCAACATGCAATTTTTGGTGAAATTTATTGAGATGGATCAAATTGTAAGTAAACTGCAAAAACATTTTGCCCTATGCTAAAAAATGTGAAACCTGGACATACCCTAATACCTACCTTTACAAGGTGCTATAAGGTCCTCCTTTTTATCCATATGATCTTTGTGACATTTGATATGGCAACGGCGACACTCCAAAGCTGGTGGGGGTTTAAACATATGCCACAGTGGCTTCGTACAGGCTTCACAGTTGGTTGGGAAATGATAGAGCGTTGGTATAAATTCATGACCTTTGTGAGGGATGTAGCTTGACTTCTCTCCCAAAGCAGGTGGTTCCACTGGAAACTCTTGCTCCTTTCTACTCTCTCCCTCATTAGCATATAGGATCTATACAGCACAGGACAGAGATGTTTTGAATGCCAGTCAGTTTTGAAACTTATAATCAACTGTATACAATTTTAAGGGAACATGTTAATTAAAACAAAGCTCTTCAATAAGTTTCAAAGGCAGAGATTGCAAAGACCCACTTACTTGAAATATTCTAGGAATCTCTTTGGCATCTGCTCTATATACATCACCCTGCGTAACTGGCCGAACGTGGAAAAGTTTGCTGTGAAAAAGCGACATTTAAATGACAAAATAAAAATTCTCAGATGACACTATTCTACCACCAGCCATTTTCAAAATTTTAAAATATATCAGCCAAAAGACATATTGAGAAAAAGTGAAAGCCACTCTGTTGTACCAGACCAGCAGACACCACATCTTTTAAAAACACTCCAAAACTGTTACTCCTTTTGCACTATAATGATTTTACATGACAAGAGGAATTACATTCATAAGCTCTCATTAGATCGCATTTAATCACAGAAAATAAGAGAGGTTAAGCAGAAATCCTGGACTGAAAATTGGCAACCAGAACATCAAAAAAACTGATACATCTTTACGGGTAACTTTTATACGAAGCACACAGATAGAAGATAAATTTAATCTAGATTTCACTTTAATCATTGGTTTAAATACTTGTTGGTGCTCCTATTAAGATTGACGACTTGTAACTATTTACTTATTAAAACTAAAGCAATTTAGCTGCGAGGTTTAGTAATAGCAGCATTTATCCTTGTTCAAGATAAAGTTAGGCACTTAAACATTTGCACCTGTCACTCAAATATTAATCACCAAGAACGCAACACGCTACTTTAAAAAGTGTATTTTTGAGCTTCATTCGTTTGCTATTTGTAACTCTTTTACATAACAGGACATTAAATTTTGTCACTATTTTGGATTACAGAAAGGTTACTTCGAACTGTAATTCAGAGACTTCACAAATTTGGGAGGCATTTGAGAATGCCTTTCTTCTGTGTATGAGCAAACTGTGATTGAAAGTGAATTGGACACACAAAAAATGAAACATTGACTTAAATCACCATGTTAACACTGATAAATTCTACTGCAGCTGCACTTTTATAATATGGACATTTAAGTATAACTTGAGTAGCTATCTAAAACTAACACATGAATTATAGAGTTCTCTGAAGTACAATGTCGATTCACAGTTTTCACTTTCTTGATAGATTGAGATGGCGCCCAATTGTATTTGGCTTTGAATGTTCAAAATCATTTTAATTTGTTCTTGAATTAGGAAACTAATGAACGATTTGCAGAAAGCACAAAAGAAAGCATGACTGTCTCTGTACAAAGAGGGACAAAGGAAATATCTGTAAAGGTGAAGGAGCCAAAGCATGAAGAATGGAAAACACTTTTCACCTTTGGCACTAATTGTCAGCATCAGACACTCCGGCTGTGGCATACCCCAAGCGCAGAGAAAGCTTCCTTAGCTGTGCAAAATTGCAAGCTCATTCAGTTCAAACATAAATGACGTAGACTATGAAAACACTCATGATGTGGAGTGTGCATAACTTCCGAACAGTACAGTTACATTAGCACTTGCTTATTTTCAAATTTGATCATGGGATAAAGGCATCACTGGCAACGTTTACCCATTCTTAACAACTCTTGAGAAAGTGGTGCTAAGTCACTTCTTGAACCACTGCAGTCAAAATGGTGCAACCGCACAACTGTTCAAGGGACAAGCTCCAGAATTTGGCCCCAGTGACTGTGTATGGTAATACATTGCTAAACAGAAAGTTGCAAAATAGTAAGCAACTCACAGATGGTAGGGTTCCCAAGTATGTGGTCCCTTTGTTTTTCAATTTGGTAGGAACTGTATTTGAAAGGTGCCAGTGAAGGAGCACTGGCGATTTGCTGCAGTCCATCTTGCAGATGACACACGCTGCTGCCAGTGCAGCAGTGATGGAGGGAGTAAATGTTTAAGGTGGTGGATGGAGTGCCAATCAAGCAACTGGGTGGTGCTGAGTTTGAGTGTTGCTGGAGCTGTATTCATTCAGACAATTGGGGCATATCCCATCACATTCCTGACTTGTGCCTCAGAGACGGTTTGGATAGCCCAAACACAATTCACCTTCATAACTTAATGTATCATCTATTTCCTCAATACTACTTTTTTTTTTACATATGACTAGTTACTTACTCTATATCCAATACCATTGAAGGATTAGACAATTCCTTGTCCTGCTCACTATCATAAAATAGAATCTTCTTACTGCTCACAACCACATACTGTAAAACATAAGAAAAATATTATCCAAGAGCAGCTAAACTATTACAGTTAAGCTTTGAAGACTTGTGTGTTAAAAATTGTAAATTGATTTTTTTTATTCAGATACTGAAACCAAAATATTTCCATTCCATCTTAATATTAGGACTAATCACCTTATCAACATAAGGAGGTTGCATTTATAAAGCACCTTTAATGTTGAAAGGCATCTCAAAGGGTTGCAGAGGCATACACGGAAAAAAAATAGACACGATTATCAAATTGGCCATATGGTCGAGTTCAAGCTCCCCTGGTAGCTGCCGTGGATCTCACTCAGCAACACGAGGCCAAACCCTGGGCAAAGTTAAAGGAAGGAGGAGAAATGATACAGGGGACTCCATGGAGGGGGAAAACGTGGACACGATCACAAAGGCCAGACTCAGCATGGAAAACGGCCATGATAAGGATTTGAAGGTGCACAGACTCCATTTTATACTTTTATTCCAAACTAAGGATACAATGAGGGGCACAGTTTTGGACAATATTTGATTTATTGTGCACAGCTGTGGGTGTATTGAATGTATTGGAGAGAGAGCAGAAACAATTTACAAGAATGATTCCAGAAATGAGAAACTTCAGTTATCAGGTTAGATTGAAGAAGGTCGGCACGGAGGGCCAAAAGGCCGGTTCCTGTGCTGTACTGTCGTATGTTCCAAGCTGGGACTGTTCTGCTTGGAGAGAAGACGGCTGACAGGAAACAAACACAGAACATGTTTGAGAAACTCAGCAGGTCTGCCAGCACCCGTGGAGACAGAAACAGACTTAACATTGAGTCCAGTCTGATTCCAAGAGATGTGATAGAGGTTTTCAAAATCATAAGCAAGCTGAGTTACAAAAAGAAACAAGAAAGAGAGGGCATAGGTTAAAGTTGAGAAAAAGCAAGGGTGAAGCAAGAAAAAAAAAAGCTTCTTCACTCAGCAAGTTGTTAGGGTTTGGAATGCACTGCCTGTAAGTATGGTGGAGACAAATTCAATTAAGGCATACAAGAGGGCAGTGGATGATTATTTAGATAGAACTAGTGTGCAAGTGAATGAAGGGAAGAGGAGGAGATTGGCATGATGTAATTATGCTCTTTTGAAGAATGGGCTGAATGATCTCCTTCTAGGCCATAACAATTCTGTGAATCTGTATGGAGGGGAGGAGCAGATGGACAGAGGGATAGATTTATACAGTGTACCACTGAAACATCTGCAGATATGGTCACTAATGGTGGAGCAAATAGAGGGGAAGGAGTAGGCCATTCAGCCCCTTCCTTAACTTGTTTACCTGTTGTTCAGTCATGTCTGATCCAAATCTCAACTCAATTTATGCAATGTTGATCGATACCAATCAAAAAAATCTATTAATCTCAACAGCCATTTGGTGGAGGGAGGATGAATAAGGGATCAGAATCAGAAAAAGGAAGTTCTTTTCAGAGTTTTGGAGCTGGACGAGATTCCAAAGGTGGGGATGAGAAAGGCCAAGAATGTAGGCAAAGATGAGAATAAATATTTAATTTATGGTGCAGGTCAACATGGACCACATAATGCCACACCATTTTAAAAAGTTGAAAATCCTATCTACTATGCTAGTTATTCAGTGTGTAAAGGTACTTTTCCCAGCCCAATTTAACTGGCACCTCATCAAATAGAACAGATCCCTCCTTCTACAGTACTGTTGCCAGTGCCCAATGAATCAAATCCTTCACCTCCCATACCACTCTTCAAACCCCAATTGTATCCTCTGATCTGTCTGACACTATAAAAGTTTATTGAGGTCCAGGGAGTATTCAAGAGATTACTGCCTTTGAGATTCTACTTATTAATTTGGATCCTACCACCTAAAACTCCTCCAACAGAACCTCTTTCCACCAACATTACTGGTTTCCACGTGGACTATTCACAACAGGATTTACCCCCTTTAATTCCTTTTCCAACCATAACAACATGCCCTTAACCAAGGCACAAGCATATAACATGGCCTTTGGGTCTCTCTGCAATACCTACAATATTTAACATTAACCATACCGTTCCCATCGCTACCACATTCCCCACCACACTTCGCACTTCAATCTCCTCATACCGCATGGTGTTGCAGTTAGTTTGCATTCATCCACCCAGGCAGGAACAGCCTTGGACATATTGGATAAAAGCCGAGGCTACTCCAGCAACGCACCTGGGATTGCCTTGCAATCTGATCCCTTTTCTCTTCTATGACCACTAATGGGACGTACCAGTTCTAGTCTAACAGGGGAGAATGCCTCCTGGATCAGTGGCCAGGAATTTCTCGCCTTCCCTGGTACCCTACGATGACTGTGCTTTATATTGCAGCTCAAATCTCAGCTGGAGCTCCTTGAGAAACAGTGACTAAACTGCATATATGGCTATCCAGGATTGTATTGCTTTCCACAGACATCACAGCTGGAATGTGGCACTCCACCTGCACTGCTTTCCCTATTTATATTTATTTATTTAACTATATTTCATTTATAATCAACCTGGTATATAATTTTGAATTAATTCCTTGAACCACTTTAACTTATGGTTAGACTAAATTAAACATTTATCTCCAACACAAAACGGAAATAGGAGGCAAAAAGCAGCCCTGTACAGTCCTCTCCACCAAATTCCTATGTTTTACTGTCCTTTGTGAACATGTTCTGCATCAACAGTCTGTGTATTTTTAAAATTTTGTGGCCTTTTTGAACCACACCAAAGTTAAAAGTGCTCACTCAGCCTCATGCTCACGGTAATTAGGCCTTATTCAGACAATTTAGCACTAACAGAAATCATCTTTCAGTGGGTCATTTACAGTTTGACTGCTTTGCAGTTTCTTTTACAATTTTCAAAAGTTTCAGTTAAATTCAATTTCAGTTTGAGACTACACATTCATAGCCTCAGAGAGCCAGATATCATAATTGCTAGTTGGATTCACATCCAAATCCCTTGGATTTGACAGAACAATGATAAGAAGTCGCAACCATATCTACATCCTTAATACATACGTGAAAATTCTACAAACCAAAACGACCACAATCTTCATTTTTACATAAAAACTTTGTGCAAAAATCAGTTAATACTTTTGCATTAAATATTGTATTACTATTTTTCACATCTGCAAATCTGACAAATTGTCAGGATTTAACAGGTAAGCCATTCATTAAAATATCCAAAGCTATATGCTGGTATATTACTCAACTGATCACCACCTATAAACCATGAAAGGCATATCATTGGCTATTTCACTGCAGTCATCACCAGACCCCAGAGACCTACTTATACATGTAGTAACACTAAATTTCAAACAGATACTTTACCCAACTGAAGATTATTAATCCAGATATTCACTTAAAAGGGAAGTTTATTGGAAGGAAAAATCATACCTGTTTCCGCCATAGGAATTTCTTTGTGTTGTTTCTCATGGGTAAGGAAAGCCAACCTTCCAATCTGGATTCTGAGAATAATGGAAATGCAATTTAAAAAATATACTCCCAGTTGACCAAACATTCTGGGCATCTAAATGGAGTAGCATCGATACTTGCTTTCCTGGCAGTTTTGACGCCAGTATCTTATCATTTATAGATTTAAAAAGCCTAATTCAACTAATCATTTTACTTTGCATTTGTAATCCAGCATTAACAAACACAGAGTGTTGAAAAGTTACTGCCAGCTTGGAAGCACATCTTCCATACTCAATTTGTGTGACTATCTTAAAGCGAAGAAATGTAGAAATTCAAACCTGCAGAAATATTGTTCCATCTTCAATCTGCATTTGAAATTGTATATTTTCCCACCATTTATAATACTAAATACTATGCACTAAAGAAATTACAGTAATTTACAATATTTTTTTAAAAGAATCAAATTTAACTTGTCCAAATCACTGGATTTCTTAAATATTAACTTGTTTGAACAAAACAGAACATGCTAGAGTCAAGAATCTGCACTGTAACGAGAACAAAAGCCATATAATTTAAAATCAAGAGGTTAAGGCGATCAGCCATGCCAAGAATTAAATTCAAAGTTAATAAGTTAAATGTCAATATTTTACTGAATCTTTAGCTCAATGTATTGATAAGAAAGGGTTTCTACACATTGGTCAATGCCAATACAAAAGAAGATGACACAGCTTTATGTAAAAGTAATATTTTATCTTCTGTATTCTCCTGCATGCAGTCATAGTCTGCTTCAAACAGCATTTTGGCACCTCAATCTTTGTGAATACAAAGACTATTAGACAAACTCTAATAACAATCGAGCTATTTTTAAAAAGCAAATAGCGTTCAAGTCACATGCAGTACGTCACCTGGGGAATCAAGTTCAAGTTCAGGCTCAGAGCCAGGATCAGACTGTGTACGTACAAAGGGCTCTGCATCTTCATCTGACTCAGACTCAGAATCAGAATCATGGACGTAAGAATAAGAGGGCTTAGTGGCAAGGGTGACAGAGGTGGAAGAGCGTTTGTAGCTAAAAGACATGGACTCCGTCGTATGGGACTGAGTGATACGAACTGAGAAAACCAAGGCAACAGGTAGAAAAGTAAAAATTTTCATTTTTCATAGCTTCAATCAGTGTAGAAAAGGATTAGAGAATGAATAACAAAAATAAGCTGAAATAATCAGGTAGAAAAAAATGGGAAAGAAGTTAGTTAATGGAACTTTTTTTAAAAGTTTATAGATTGTGTTTTTTAAGATGGATAAAACAGCTGTATTTTATATTGCTACACACAAATAAATTATTTTACAAAGAATTTCAAACGCATGTCTCTCAAAATAAATATTGAATTTCTACAGTAATTGAGCCAAGTGCCAAACTCATTTCATTTTGTTACCAAACCACTGCTTTGAATTCACATCCACTAGGAAATGGGTCAAGACTGCGTAAACATATTTTACTACAGATTATTTCAGTACAACTTCGAAGTCTATTTTGTTCTTCCAAACTTGAGTTATTACATATTTGATGTATTTAGTCCCAATCTTACAATGATTTCTAATTTAATCAACAGTGAAAAGGTTTTCAAAGATCTTAGTGATTATTAATCCTGAATATCATCCTATTTAGTTTGACAACTTTCTTTGGAACAGATTCTGAGTAATAGTCATGGGACTCAAAACATTAACTCTGTTGCTCTCTCTATACAGATGCTGCCAAACCTACTGATTTTCTTCAGCATTTCCTATGTTAATGGCAAACTATTCAATTTCCCTAAGGCAAGTTTCCAAATAACGTCTGATCCTCAAAGAGAGCAAAATTTCACAATAATACTTCCCAAAATTTTACTTTTTAATCTTGGCCTGCTGCTCTCAGTCTTGAACACACTCAATCTCTGGAACCCAATATCGCAGAAACTGTTAGATCCCAGTCTGTAGCCATCTACATCAACACTCTTGGAAACAATGACGTAGACTTTGAACTAAACAGTCTCTTTAAACAAAGTGCTATGATTTTGGGCTCTGATTCTAAATTATTTGCTTTTCTTCTGGTCATAAGTACTTTGTTGTGTAAATAATTTATGAACACATAAAATTACAGTAGTAGTTAAAGCAAGAGGAATTGAGGATGGGCTAATTGAATCAAATATCTTCTGCCATGGCGAGTATCATACTATGAAATAACCCTTCATTGATTCCTGTCACATCAGGCCCTACATGCAACCATGTACATCTGCAACCAGATATTTCTTCTTCATTTTTGTTAATTAAGTAATGCATCAAATATTTCTGCCATGTTTTTATTCTACATTTTGGCTTTTTTATAATTTTACAGGTTCTACTATTTTATAGGAAAAGGAAAATGCCTTCAAATCTCTTTTTAATCTCAATGATTTTGATCCACTGCCCTCTAGTTTGACACATTCATTCCAAGGCAAATTAGACTGTCCAGATCAACATTACCTACAACTATCAGTATTCAGTACCTTCCCCATCACCAGAACCTGAAGTTAAAAGTGTTCTGTGCCATAAGTCCTTCTGCACAACTTAACAGTCCCAGCTCCTACTTATCAGCCATATTGCTCTTCCTTTGAATCCTCCCCAGGATATCAGTGTACTCGTTTCTGCACTATCAGCAAGTCAGGAGTTAAGCAATATTTATTGAAACATTATCAAACAGCAAAACAAAAACTCATAAGTACCAATGATTCCTCAGAGTTAAAAGTTTGTTAGAATAATGACCAGAAACTGATTACAAATGTACAAAATAAAGAAATATATTAAACATGTCAGTTATAATTTTCTTTCTGAAAGCTGTAAATGTAGTTTTATATAATTATCCTTAATAAGTTAATATGCACCAAGGAGTCATCGTTGTTGGAATTGAATAGTTAGTCAAACTATGAAAACTAATTTCCAAGTAACGAAAGACAAAATGTCTCATTACTTTTTGGAGGTAAAAAACACATACATACCAGGAAATCCATCATCTGCTTCTGCATCACCTGGCCCACTGCCAATACTAGTAGTGTCAAGTCCCACTTGTACTAATTGCAGCTGAGAACGAAGTTGTTCAATATCGCTGTCTTTGCTATCTAGTGCCATCTGCAGCTCAATTCGCACCTGGCTTTCATCCGCAATTTGCTGTTGGAAGATATAATGTTATAAAGGTGAATTATACTGATAGATAACAGCAAAGCCTTCCCCAATTACTCAAGTCCAACTTAAACCTAATATATATCCCCAAATATCCATCTCAACATTAGTAAAACTTACCCAGTTTTTTTTTAAACAGATCATTTTCACTGACTCTCTCATTTATAATCCTCTACTGCCAATTTTGCAGGTCCTACTATTTTCATGGTCAAAAAAAAGCATTTTGATGCCTAAACCTTCACCTATGCAGTGAACTGCCAAAAAACCCAATAAGATCAAGTTATAAGCTAATGGAATGTAGTCCTTATCGATAGTACTGCTTTATATATTTGCCAGTAGAATGGGCACAGAACCACAGTACTGTTCAGTATAGGAAGCTGTCATTCAGTCCAATGAGCAACTGGTGGATCAGTGAACAAAACATATCACAGTGACTTGTATGTACCTCCTAGTCAGATACTTATTTATCTGTTAACAAACATAAAATTGAAATATGGTAAGAGGGCATTTGGGCCAAGAGGCTTATATCAGGGTTAATTCCCCATATGAGCAGCAGCCCTGATCCCAAGAGACAAATCCTCTAATCAAACAATCATTGACAGATTCACAGAAGTGTTAAGGCACAAAAGGGGGCCATTTGGCCCATCATGTCTACATCAGCTATCTAAACGAGCATTCAACTATGAATAACCCACAAAAATCATTAAACTCCACTTATCCTGTCCACTTTTATGTAGTGAACTTGAATCCTAAAATTCTCTATATTGGCCACTTGCCCCCCACAAAAACTCTTATTTCAAACAAAAAACAAAACAAGAATGCAATCACACTGAACCACACCTTGCTCTTTTCTGCTAATTTCACTAACTTATTGATATCTTCCTGCAGCTTCCTTTGGTTATCAGAGTTATTTTCTTTAGCTCCTATTTCCATCTTATTTACAAACAACCCCTCCAGTTCTATATCCTAGTGTACATCCGATGAATAGTAAAGGTTCAAGAACAGCGCTTGGTGGGACACTGCCATCTATTTTTAGCCCGTCAGAAACCGCCTTTTACTCCTACAATGATTCCTTCCTTCAAGAACTTGCATATATAACATAACTTTAATGCAGAAAAAAATGATTGTCTAAAGGCATTTACAAAGGCTAAAGGAAAGACGGCAAATTCTCCAATATTTTCTCCTTTGCAAACAAACACTAAAATTATCCTTCCAATTTCTGTTTATTCTCCAGTTCACTTTCCAGGCACCCACATCAGATTTAACAACTTTCTTTTCACGAACATATCTGTAGAATATTAGTTTCTATGAATATACTGCTATAAATCTTGAATCCTGGATAAGGATATTGTTAAAGTACATGATTGGTCCTAAGGAAGCTGTTTTCTTTGATGATAGACACTGAAATTGAGAATTTTTTTCTTCAAATAATATTGAACCAGATGAAAATCTGCCTTTTCAACTCAGGAGAAAACAGTTTGCAAGTGGAGTCTTTCACATCCTGTGACAATACATAGGGGAAGCGATGGTCTAGTGCCATTACCACTAGACTATCAATCCAGAGGCCCAGGTATTGTTCTGGGGAGCCAAGTTCAGCTCCTATCATGGCAGGAATTCAACTAAATTCAACAATTTTTTAAAAAATAGGATTAACAGTCTAATGATGACCATGAAACTGCTGTTGATTGTTGGAAAAAACCCATCCAGTTCACTAGTGTCCTTTCGGGAAAGAAATTTGCCATCTGCCTGGTCTGGCCTTGATGCAACTCCAGACCCACAACAACATGGCTGACTCTCGCTGCCTCTAGGCGATTTGGGATGGGCAATAAACACCGGCTTGGCCAGTGACCTCCACATCACGCGAATGAATTTAATAAAAGCAAATCAATATTTGCTTGTTTAAATTTGTGCTTACATATAGGCAGCTTTATGTAGGATTTTCCAAAGTGACAAATTTTGATTCTGTTAAAGTCTTTGATGAAAGGTTAACTAAAAATCTGTATTTAAGGTAATAAAATTTAACTGCAAATGTTTCGATAGTCTCTGCTAGTTAAAACTTATTGCAAACCCTACTTTTTTTTTAATCCAGGTCAGCAGCTCACTCTTTATCTTGTTTTGAAGTAGTTTGCTTTTATCTTTATGCCTCCTGTACCCTAGATCTTTTTTAAGTTCTGTAGAATGTTCGAAGAAATAATCCAGAGATGACACCCTCAAGACCCCCTCACAAAAGCCTGCTTTCACATTTCCTAAAGTCATTTTTCCAGACTTGGAGACAGTAAGTACTGCTGATGCTGGAAGCTAGAGTTAATAAATGTGCAGCTGGAAAAACACAGCCGGTCAGACAGCATCCAAGGAGCAGGAAAGTCAACGTTTTGGCCTGAAACATTGACTTTCCTGCTCCTCAGATGCTGTCTGACCAGCTTTTCAAGCTCCATATTATTCTAATTTTTCCAGACTTTATTGCTTTCTTTTACTATATCACTGCCTCCCACATGAACTGCAAACACTAGCTTTTTGCTATCATGTTACATAAACTTCTCCAGACTTCCCAGAATGCCCCCTACCCTAGCATTTCGAAGGCAACAAAACATCTATGATTCTCAGTGAATTACAAAAGTGCCTTCCATTTAACTATCAAGGCAATAATTAGTGCATTCCAAACTGAATCACTGATTCTTAACCTACCTTCCTCAAAGCATCAAATCTACTTTTTGTGTTACTGCAATATCTTTGATGGTTTTGCCCAGGGTTCTCATTCTTCTAACTGCAAGTTAATACTTCAAAGTTTTCATAAGGGAACGCAATTTACTACCAAAGTTCCTGTTTTAGCCTGCCTCTCTTTGCTCTCCCTGAAATTTCCAAAGCTACCATTTTCCTCCCTCTACAACTACAAGGTCCACATTTTCGAGCCGACTGACTACCGTCAACTCTTCTTGCAGCGACTTCTTTCACTCACTCCACCCATTCCCCCAACCAATGTCTCTAATTGTCTTAAACTCCTGTACAGGCTCAGAGGCCTTGACTTCAAGTAGTCTACTTTCTGACATATTTTGCTTAAATTAACACTTGCTCCTTAGAACTTCCATAATCTGTAGAAACTGCGCTTCATTGTTCTTCCCTGAGTTACCACTCTCAAGATAAATATTAGTCAACTTATATTTCACTTTCTATGCTATCAATTTAAATTACAATTAAGGTACAATATTTTCCCTTTGCTCTCAGGCATACTTTGAATTAAATTCTTGTTTTGCAAGTACAATTTCACTCTGATGTCATCTCATTCCATTACGAACTCACTGTAGAATGTGCTTGCTTTCCACTTGAACTCATTATGGTATTAATATGATACATTTGCTATTTTTCCCACACAGTGTTAAGAAGAATGGAATAATGCGTGCAATTATACGTGCAGACATACATGGATACTTATGTCTAACGTAAGGATGAAGGAGAAAGGAGGAAAACTTACTTGGTTTTCTGCTAGAAATATAATCCTAAAAGTTTCTATCAAGTAAAATGCTCCAATCTAGAAATATATTATAGTAAAGGACATATCAAATGCAACAGTAATCTTTAACAGTGAACTTTTGTCTATCATTAATTGGGTTCTGAAATTACAAGTCGGCCAGACCTTTCCCTTCCACAAGGGCATCAGTGAACCATGTGGCTTTTTACATAAATTGACATTGATTACACAGTTGCTAATAGGACAGCTTTTTATTCCAGGCTTTTACTGAATTCAAATTTCACCATTTGCCATGGTGAATTTTCAACCCAATTTCCCACGAACATTAGCCTGGGGTTTTGGGTTACTAGCCCAATTACATAATCATTGGACCACATTCCCCATATGAATGCATCTGTCCATTAGGTTATTTGCAAAGAAAAGCGACAGCTAATTCTAAGCTAAAGAGGTCACTGTCAAAATGGGAAAGTTTCAAGATACCCAAACTTGCAAAATCCTTTACCCTATAATGAAAACTTGAATTTTTCATCTTAAAGATGTGAGAAATAATCAATTTAGTTTACAAGTTCATCTTTGATTCTATAACTACAATTTTTATATCGGATTTTTCATGACAATGAAACGATAACATTGAAAGAACATTAAGCATTAACACTAAATTTTACAAACTAAATCACTCAATTATTTTTATGAAATGCAAATAATTTCAAACTGCTTTAATGATTTGAAAATTATAATTTAAAGAAAACTATACCAGATCAATGTCACAGCTAGCCCTTCAAATGCATTTAATATTTTTAAATTCTAAACCCATTATGCAGAATATTAATAATGCAGGACATTATTAACATTTTAAATTCACATTTGCTACTTAGAACTTCCATAATCTGTAGATTATAACAATGCAACACTGTCTACATTTAAAATTTCTACAATATTCACCTTTTTTTAAATTTCAGAATGCATTTGTAGAATTTATTAGTCACTATCATTAAAATGAACAGCATCAAAAATCCAAGTACTGCTGCAGAGAATATGGACATAACCTGTACAATGACCTCCAGATAAACTTTTTATGCAATTGAGTTTTCATGTAGCATAATTTTATATGTATTCCTGTATGGCAAACTTCATGCATAATCTTACCGCTTGCATTTCATTCAGCTCTCTCTGGTACTTAATCATCATTTGTGATAGCTTTTCCCGCTCTGACCTCAGCTCCAATTGCAGTTTTCGATTTTCCTTTTCTTTTTTACGAACATCAGTGTCAGTTCCACGCCTGCCATGGTCTCTCTTCATGTCCTTCCGATTCATAATCTCAGCTAATTTATTGACAGCCTAAAGATGATAATTTTCACGTGAATAATCCAAATATTAAATAAAATTCCTAAATTTTCAAGTAATCTCGTAACATTATTCAACTGTATCTAATTCCATTTCTCAGCACTGCATTTACACAAATCCAAGAGGAAAACCATGCGATTGTTTTCATTTAATGAGCAACTCTGTTTATACAGTTTTCAATCCCACTCTAAATCAGATATATAGTCATTTTTTAATACACTATTATTTAAATAACCAGTACTATTCAGCAAAATACATTTGTTCCAATTTCAAGTCTCATTAGAGGCTGGTTTAATACTTGTTTAAGCCCTTGTTCTAGGCTTATCATTGCAATATTTTGCTTGTATCATTTATGTCTCAAAGCAGGTCATCAATGAAAACGAGTGCCATTCCAAATCCTTTCCCATGGCAAACTTTTACAAAGACGTCATTATGACATAACAATTGACAAATTGAAATGATCAATTTTAATTTTTAATAAAAGTTGCAATTTTGATCTGATTTACCTTAGTTAAAATTAGAAAAAAGGTTCTTCTCACAATTTCTTTAATATCTACAATCTTTTCTATTTTGTGGTGCTCTTGAAATTCTTGACTTTAACCTTGAATTTTCCTTTTTGGTGACACAAACTTAGGATGAATGTAGCATTTACAATGGTCTTAACCATTAGAGAAGGAAATCATAAACTTGTATCCAAGACCAAGATTAAACAATGAAATATTTAAAACATAATTGTAATGACACAAGTCAATACTTGAGTTTAAAACTGGTCACATTTTATCAATGGAAGAGCAATTACATTTATTTTTAGGATTTGTAATGTTTAAAATTTTAACATAGTATTAAATGTCATTGCATTGTTTAAATGACTTATTACAGAAAAGTAATTGGAGTTAATAATGAGACTGAACTGAACAAAATCTCCAGCACTCATCTCAGAGAATTTACAAACATAGGTGAGGAAATTGTAAATGGTTTTATCATAACTTTCCAAAAACTATCAATTCTGAACTTGTATCCTCTGATCAGAAAACCGCCAACATCACACAATAATTTAAGTAGGGTAGCAAAGACATTATTGACTTACAGTGTGATGTTCCTTATGTGAAAGTAACTAGAATTTGATCATGGGGACAGAGAGAGCAAGCACCTGACCAAAAATGAATTCATTAGCTAGCACTGGCATGGATTTGCAAGTGTAGGTCATCTTAATGTAACTGCATTTGTTGAGGAGCTTACCAATAGGATAGATAAGGATAGTATTTATAATATGCTCCCACAGACATCTGAGGAAGTTCCACACAAGAACATTAAGAAAATTGGAAAGTTTTAGAATTGAAGACAAACTTCTGACAAGGACTCAGAGTTGGTTAGGATAACGGAAGCAGAATTGAATCAATGAATATGTTTTCCAATTTGCAGATTCTTACATCCCCACTCCCCATGCCCCAATTCCAACCCCTGGTCTGCATCTTAATCTCATTTTTTATATATTTTCAATGCTTCATAGAAGGAATGAGTTACATTACCGACTGCTGATTACACAAAAGTAAGTAGCACATTAAGCACTAATCAACAGAAACAAGAGTTGCCGAGGAAAGTTGATAAAGTGAGTGGACAGACGGAGTTCAACTGAAGTGGTTACCCCATTTTGGACCCAAGCTTAATAGTTTGCATATCTTCTAACTGGTGAAAATTAGCAACTATGGAGGAAGAAGAGATATTTTAAGGATCTATGTACAGAATATCACTAAAATTTTGGGGAACAGGAATAAAACAAAAGTAAAAATGTGAAGGGAATGGTAGCCTTCATCTCAAGGGGAATTGGAATACAAAAGAATGTAAATTATAGTGTTTTCTTGAATTTAAGCATATGTGTGGGTGAGAAAGACAGAGAGAGGGGTGGTGGGAGGGAGGGAGAGTAGGGGAGAGCACGCATGCAAAAGAGAGAGCACGAGACAGAATGCAAGCGCGAGAGTGAGAGAGAGGGACAGAGAGCAATACAGGGAGAGCGAGAGCTAGAGCGAGGGGCTTTACATTTATTGTACCCTATGAATATTTCAGGGTGTTAACATGGATTCCGCAGCACAGAAACTGATCATCTGGCCCAAATGGCTTCTGTCAGCATCTGTGCCTGTTTCTAATTTCACATTGTATCTAATCCCATCAACAAATTCTTTTCACAACTTCTTCTTGTTGTTCCTAGCATTTTTGACTTTACTACTCCTGAAAGAGCAAAGTGTACAGCTTTGCTGGAAGGAAATTGTTACTCTCAATGATAGAATCGCCTCGCAAATGCTCAGAATATGTTCTCTCCGTCTACCTCACAATTCAAACCGGGATAATTAATCAAAGGCAGGGGAAATCATCACAATATAAACAGTTGGAGGGATGGGTGGTACAGTACCTTACACTAGGGAGAAGGGAGTCACCAAGCAAGTTCTAGAGATCTTGCTGTCATGGCAGAGCTGCATATCAAGCCACCGTGGGAAACCTCAGCAGAGCTGTTCACTCAGCTGTCACAGGCAAAGCTCCAGAACTCATCAAGCCTCGGAAACCAGAATTCCTGTTGTACCTGAATGAATTTTTCTGTCTTTACTGACTGGAAGAGTAGTCCACTATGTGTAATGCAAAGACTGTGACCCTGTACACGAACTAGGTGATTGCACCAACGATAGAGGCATCTCCTTTCTGAGCAATGGGCAAAAGTACTTGTGTTGCCCTCATCACATTGCAAATCCTGGAAGAATGCACCTATCTGGAATCCCAGTATGACTTCTGAACATGAAGATCTACAATTGACATGATTAAAGAGTTAGCACACTTCAGGATTACTCAGTTGGTGACATTGTTCTGCCAAGAGATGCTGAGGATATGCCTGGAAATGCAGATACTGTTCAGCATTTTCTCTTCCTGTGCATATGTTGTTGAGATCCCAGCACTGTAGAGGAGCACATTGAGGATGTCATTTGTTCCACATTGTCTCACACTCAGCTTGGCCATGAAAACTTCAATTTTTGAAATGTGCATTGATTTTAACATCAAGTGACAGACTGTCGATGTTTGTAGAGCCGAGATTTGTGAAACCATCGACAGCCACTAGCTTCACATAGGCAGTGGACCAATGGACCGATAGTGGTATGGCATCTTCCTGGGCCATGTCATTTGTTTTCCTGATATTGATAGTCAGCGCACACACTTCATTGCCAGAGAGAGTAGGGCTCTTAAGCCATTCAAAGTAATGCTTACCACAGAGTTGACCACCATATTGGATACTTCAAAGACACATGCAACCCAGTTACCTCTGCAAAGCCTTTGTTTCTAACATCTAAGAACTTGTGGCAATATTGGGAAAGCTGTTCACAAAGCAACTGAGTAACAGCCACACTGTCACACACACAGGATCATGCCTGTCAGGCAGTGTCCCAGATTCTATCATCAGGTCTTTTGATATAATGGTGGAGAGTCAGAACAGGGTGGCTCTCTGACTCTTCTATAGTGACTCAGGCAATCTAAAATCTCATGACGTTAGCTCAAACGTGAGTACAGTAATCTCCTATTGATTACCACCTACTACTCTCCCTCACTGAACGAAGCAACACTGCATTTTGAAGATCACTACTTGGAAGAAGCACTGAAACCAGCAAAGATGTGGATCTGCTCTATGTGAAGTACTTCAAGATCCGTCAAAAGTGGCTTGAAAGCACCACTCCTGACAATGCCCTGAAGAATGTGGCTGTCAGACAGGGACTGTAATGGATATGGGAGAACTAATACCATGAACTATCTACTCGATTTCATCCTCACCTATCTGCCCAGAACTTCAACTGCCTCTAAGCATTGGGAGGAGCAATTATTGTCCTATCCCTGGTCCTCTGATCTACAATATAAACGGAAATTAATGAGTTGAATGATGGGTGCAAAAGATGTGGTCTTGCTCCTAAAACACACCACAAGGCAAATTCATGTCAGCTGTTCTGAGTAAGAGTATCATGTGTAAATCACTTTTTTCTATTAAAAGTAAGAGGACTACAGTATTCAAAGGAAAGCAAATAAGAACACTCTTTGCACAACTTCCGAGAGGCTGGTTCAAGGATCCCATGCAGAATGCATTAAAAGAAAAAACTCCAAATTAAAGGTTGCAGAATTTTTGACATGGAACATTTTAACAGCAAAAACCTAACTACACAGTGAGCTTACCAGTGATGTCGTAACAATACAACCAAGTTAAATTTGACCAATACTGAAGACCAGACAAATTTACTACAAGAAAGTGACAGTGTCCAGAAATAAATGGCATTTGAACAAATTTAAAAATGAGCACCAGTAATATGCTGGGAACTCGGTGTTGACAATTAAAATCTAATTCTATTTTCTTACTTGGGTTTTGAGGGTCCTCTCATTGAGCAGCTGTTTGTCAAATTGAAATTTTATGTTTGCTAAATTTGCATCCTCTTCTTTCAGCTTCTGAATCTCTGAAAAACAAAACCCATTTGAGATTTTAACATGCTGGGTTTGCACAGCAGACCTTCATACATTTATTTAGCATGAAATATAAAACTAAATCATGACAACTTTTCTTATTCATTCATGGGATGTGGGTATCGCTGGCCAGACCAGCAGTTATTGCCCATCCTTAATTGCCTAGAGGACAGTTAAGACTCTCCATTACTGCAGTTCTGGAATCACATGTAGGCCAGGCCAGGTAAGGAAGGTAGTTTCCTTCCATAAAGGATATTATTGAACCAGACGGATTTTTCTGAAAATCTACATGGTCATCATTAGACTCTTAATTCAGATTTTATTGTTCTACCAACTGTCATGGCAGGATTCGAACCCAGGTTCCCAGAATATTGCCTGAGTCACTGGATTAATAGTCTAGCAATAAAACTAATCACGTCCACCAACTGATACTTTAGTAGACTAATACCAAAATAACAGTTTTCAATCTGACAGGTGGAATTCAAAATAACTTCTCAAGATGAGATCTTATTAAATATTGAGATAAAAAAATAAGCTTGTATGGTACAGCATAACAAAGGAGAGTGGCAGCAATGAGCAAGGCTGCCAGGTCAGAGGATATGGGAGTGTGGGATGCTGGCAGAATCTGGTGAGGGGAAATACAGAAAGTAAGGCTTCTTAGTCAGGGAGCAGGAGCTGCAAAGTGGGGCGAGAGAGAGAAGACAGGCAAGAGTAGGTAGCTAAGGTAGAGAGGACCTGCAAGGAAACCTGATGGAGCAGGAAAGAGGATCCCCTAAAAGTTGGGGGAAGAGTGAGCGCAAAGATTGGGAAAGAAAGTGCCCACAAAGGGGTGTCACAAACGGAAGAAAATAGTTTTAATCTTTCAATAACAAAAGAATCTGCTAACAGGGACCCAGGAAAACCTGAAATCACATTATGATTTGGTTGCAAATGAATGTGTAGTCTCTAGCTTAAGGCTGCCAAAGTTCAGGAACTACTCTCTGTGGTGGGAAGGGGGGAGTGAATACTACAGCAATGAACACTGTGTTAATTGAATAATTTAACTTTCAAGAGCTTTGTTTCATAAAGATTTACATTCATGTGACATCACATCCCAAGACATTTAATGTGTTGTAAATTACTTGAGATGTAGGAATTGTATTAGGGACAAACATGTAACTACTTAGCTGTAACCTGTGGAAAATATTTTTAGGTGATACATTTCTATAAACAAAATCCATGGCAGTTAATGTTTTTTAAAAAGAATTTGTTGCTCACCTACACCTCTTATTTTTTAATACTGTGGTGTATAGGAGTTAATGATTTCCTTGTGTGATGTAGCTTTTGGTTTGATTGACACTGATGAATTATTTTAATTCTGTTCCTTCGCAGGTCAAAACACCCTATACGGGAACACAAATATACAGTGTATTGCCTAATAAAGGAGTTAAGGAGAATAAGAAAGGAGCTCTTGAAAAACACAAAATAGCCCTCCAGAAAATCTCAAGAAGAGCTCTCAAAAACAAAATTTCTTTGATTGCTGATTTTATCTCAATGTCAAGTATGACACAAAGTTGAAGAGTCTAGTTCAACCTCAATTCATTTTCTCTATAGTCAGTGACACAATACAATATCTGTGCCGCGAGTCAAAGACCTACATGATTTTAGTTTTCCCAATATTCCATGGAAGGAATTTTCTGTTCATCCAGTTTTAGATATCAGACAAAGAGCTAGGCATCTGCTGAAAATACAGTGGAGGTGTTGAGCATGGCATATGACAGGAAAACTGGGTACCCTCCACTTACAAGTGAAAACTGATGCTTTGTTTTTGGATGATATCATGTAGAGGTAGCATGTACGTGAAGAACAGAAGGGAGCAAAGCGAGGTAGTGGGTAAAGATGCCATTGCAGGTAAGCCTCAGACTATAATTATACTGAGAAGAATTGAACATGGTAAAATGCAGTCCCACATTGCTGGATGATATAGGTGCACTGCAGCATGATAGCATGAACAATGGTGTCAAAGGCTACAGACAGATGGAGGGGGCCAGGAGCTGTAAAATCATTTTTAATATTCTTTAGTTTTGGACTGTGAATTCACATGGGAAAATCACACTGCTTTAAAACAAAAACCAATAGAAGAAGATATTGCAGTTTTAAAACAAATCACTGGAACTCGTCGTGAATTTTTGCCTTATTCAAGCAGTGGGAGAGGATTATTGGACAAATCGGCACTATGGATGTGTGTTCATGGCTGTTTTGCCCAGATACAGGTCATTTGTTGGTTTTCAATCAGAATTATTTGTGTGGGGCAGGGTGCTCAGCATGGCAACTCTGACCGGCTCCCAGGCAGGTGGTCAGCCTGTGTACGAACATTACAAGCCCAGACAGCCTCCAAACTAGACAAGATCCTGTCTCTCTCTACAAGGAAGTGATAAAGAATTGGAAGATAGCTAGCTATTCTCACTCACCATTTACCTGTAAGCTCCTGCCTCTAACCAGTGACTGGAACACTGAACAATTATTGTGGCAATTGCCTTGTCTCTGCAATTAAGAAATGAAAGGGGTGTGAAAAATATCACAGGATTTGGATACCAGAGGATTTGGAAGATGCAAAATAACACCTCACTGAGTTACATGAACTTGAACTATTAAGCTTTCTATCCTAAAATATTTTCTCCATCCATATCATGCATGGATCTTTGTTGATGTCTGCCCTCATGAACACGTAGGTGTTTAAGATGGGGTGGTGCGTAAGATGATAATTTAAATTTAGTTTGCCTGTGGTGAGAATCGAATTATTTGTAATAGATCGTAGTTTCTTGATAACTGCAGAAACCTGGTAGCATTTTCTGTTATTCTGACTTTTATCAGCAGGTAAACTGGGAGCTTGAACAGTTTAATTAAATCTTTAACTTTTGTGATGACCCTGAGAGTAGTAGGACTTGAGCATCAGTACACTTTCCCAAGTGGGTTGTGGTACAGTACCATGGCAGGGCAGAAACCTGATTGGAGGGATTCAAATGTAAAATTATTGGGGGAAAAGAACTGGCACATTTTTGGGAGGCACCCATACCGACAAAGACTTTAAAAGAAAGGGATGATGCAAGTAGGGTAGTAGTCTGCAGGGATAAAGTGGTCAAGGATTGTTTGTTTTGGAAGACGTGGCAATGTCAGGTTTAAAAGAAGAAGGACATAGTATCTGAGAACAAAGAATGGTCAACAATAGTAAAGAAGGAAGTGAGGGAGGGAACTTTCTTTTAATAATTTAGTGGGAAAAAGATCAAAGGAGAAACGGTCGGTCTCAGATGTATTGAGCTTGAATAGGGTGTTAGAGGAGATAAAAGAAAAACTTCAGAAAGATGCAAGTTCAGGAAAAGAACCTAAACAGGAATTTTTACCTCGTGGATTAGTGGAAATGGGGGAAGCAGCAAGGCAGTTGATGAGATTATTTTGATCTTAATGTCCAAAATTGTTTATGTTCTCCGTAACTTGTTAAAAACAAGAATGGGAATTTTAAAATCTCAGAAAGCAGCAAATCAAAAGTTATTCAAGGACTTAAAATATGATTTTTTTTGAGAAATGTTTTTCATTTTATGTTACAACTTATGACATATCAATTACCAAACATTACACATTTACAAAGATGGTTTGAAGAGATTGAATAAACTATGCTTCGGCATTCTAAAGTCAGTGCTTAACTCGTGTTCAGCTGCTTTCAGTTGCACAGTAAAATAAATATTACTACTATTTTCAGCCTAACTTTTAATTGCTTGTCAATTTTCTTTTGTTTTTACTAAGAACAGCTGTTAAAACCAGGTACTACAACCAAATGGCAGGGCAGAAACTTGTTTGGAGGAATTCAAATGTAAAATTCTTGGGAGGAAAGAACTGGCACGTTTTTGGGAGGCAACCATACCGACAAAGATGGAATGATGCAAAAAGGGTAGTAGTCTGCAAGGATAAAGAGAATATCTTTGAGTAGTCACTACTTCAATATTGGAAATGTGGCAGCAAGGTCCTACAAACATCCGTCAGATAATGACTAGATAATTGTTTTTTAGATGTTGGTAAAAAGTATAGCCAGCACGCCTGAGGTTTCCCTTGCTGTTTGTCAACATAATGCTACAAGAGCTTTTGCGCCCACATTAGAGTGCAGATGAAAACCTAGTCTAATATCTCATATGAAAATTCGCACAATTTACTTCAGCTAGAAGAAAAAAAACTAAAATCCAGTGGTTAAATGAATTTCAAGCTTTTCTTCTGAACTTTAGCTAAAACTGCTCTAACGTATATTACACAGATTTGCTCAAGAGACCTAATGCTGTCACCAGGAACCATATTCTGTTATGATGGTCCATACACTTTGCTGGGGAAAACAAACCCCTCTATTTTATGTTGGGGTCATGATCCTATTAACAACCAAGTTTCTCTGAAAGAGGATTTGTTGTAAAGGGTGTGACTTCCAGTAAATGATCATGTTACCAGGGTGCCTGGAGATGAGCAAACAAGGCCAACGTAAGTCATAGGGAGGATGGGTGGGAGAGAGTTCTGTGTTAAAGCAGTATCAGTTGTGTGTTTTTGAATGAGCAGTATGGAGGAGAAAAAAGACGACTTTTTCAAAGCGAGTGAAAACAAGAAAAAGAACAAGAGAGAAAAGAAGAATATGTGTGAGTGAGAGCATGACTTTTAGATGCAAAATGCGAGAGTTGAAGAATATTTAAAACAGGAGAGTTCTGACATGAGGTTGCATTGTACCATATGTTTACAATGTATGACTGCTGCAGGAAATTTGAAGGGACGACTTTGTTGGAAGACCAGGAAATAACATCCTAATATGAATCTTCAAAGCAGTATTCAGAACATGTTAGTAAACTTACAAATTACAATGAGTGTCTGACTTGAGTTTGGGGGTGCAAGTCTATTGGCAGAACGAAAGTAGAACTAAGTAGTACAGTTGGATTTTAAGTAACTGAGTTCATTGTAGTGAAGTTATTAAAAATTCAATCATTAAGATATATGCTCTTTGACTTCTTCATAGTTAAAAATTCAGCAGTTGTGTTGGGTGTCTTGAAAAACATTAAGGTGGCTTCATTCTTTTAGTAAATACCTTGAGTTTTGGATTCTAAAAAGCAATTTAAACAAGTAATTGTTCTCTACCGAAATCAGAGCTGGATGTATTTCAAGACACTCAAGAAATCTTGCTACGCTGTTTAGAAAATCAATGAAATTAAAACCTTTTTAACATCGGGAACTATTATCGCCTCTCAATAAAACTGGTCTTTTTACTCATGCAAGTTACTCCATTTTGAAAAATAAATTGTTGTTTGCGAATATATCATGAGTATATAAGATGCTATATTATTGTAAATTGTTCTCCTAATGTCAAATTGGACAGCTCACTGAAAACCTGGTTGACAAGTGCACAAAGGAATTGAACTCTGGCATTTTCTGTTGAAATTTATTTTGTACTTACGGTCCTGAAGCTCCTTCATTTTGTTGTTCAGTTCTTCCTTCTCGCTTGCAAGATTTGCTACATCTGCAGTTAGCATTCTATTAGTCTCCTCTAGCTAAATAGCAAATTAAAGTAATTAAATTAAACCACCCATGTTATACAAGTGTTCAACTTAAACTAGGCACATCTTGGCAAGTGTATAATAGTTTAAAAGTGCACAATCTAGCAGCTTCCAAACTCTTAGACTTGTACTGAACGGAAGTTCACTTCATCAAATTGAAGGAATTTGCAACAAGATTTTATAATATATAAATGTGTATTTGTGTTAGGTACTTGGTGTCCCCGAAGGAATCCATTGAATTGTGACCTTGTTTTAATCGGTGTTACATATGTGACATCAAGAAATCATCTAACGAATGCCAGAGATTTTCCTAATTCAGCAAAGTGACAATAACTTTGGATTCTACTTCATGTTGATTTTACTAATCCAAACATTTAGTAGAAAGTACAATAAATAATAATATTTATCGCAGAAAAACATTTTAAAGCTTTCAAAAAATAATTACTTAATCAGTACCTTCATGAACTTTGGTGATCTTAAACTTTGACATACATTATTCCCTTTTAGCTATGTTTCTGTTTAGAATTTCACTTCCAACTGGAACCACTTTAAACCCACAAATTATATGTGAAAACTGGCGTTTCAGTCCAACTGAGCTTTTGACTCAAGTATGATTGTAATTGGGCAGCTTTGGGTTCAACAGGAAAATAAAATTGAAAGATTTTCAAAGATGAACCCAAGCCACCTCAAATGCATCCACTTTCAGTTTTAACTGAGTCTGGGCAGTAGACAAACAACCTGCTCCTGGGAAATGGAACACACATTTCAATAACTTAATGAGATTCTGTGGTCTGCCAGCTCAATGGATTTCCAAAGCTCTAGGAAACCTGGCAAATGAAAGGCTGAGGGAGGAGGGGAGAAAGGGACAAGAATTGCTCCATGGAGGAGGAAACTACCTTTACAGCCCTGCTTATGGGCCAGGAACAGGACTGTTTACATCCCAGCCTACCAAGCCACCTTGATAACACTTAGCCCACTCAACGCTGCCCCTCCAGAAATCTGTAATTCTCCTGATGTCCATCATGGCCTACCACCTCCTTTAAACAATTTGATCTCTTTCACATTGACCCCATCCCAAAGCCTGAACTCCTCCATTGCCCACCACCCCAAATCTTCTTCCTAGGAGGGACCCTTAATCTTCGCTGCTTTTCCTCCAAACACTTTCATCCCAGTGGCATCCTCCCATTCCCAACCTTCAGTTTCTCAGGGTACCACACACATCGGTTTGGTTGAGAACTGTTCCCAAAAATTCCATAAATAACAAGCCCCCCACGTAATTGCACTAATCACAATGTAAAAAATGCATTCCATTTTTGAATAATGCAAGTACCACCAAGCGGCTGTGCTAGGCAAAAACTATTGGATATTTTAATAATACCTTTAGTGATGCTTATGATTCAATTCTTCTGTTCACAATTTTTATTAATAATGATAAATAAATTAACAGGCAAAATTTACTCACAGATGCAATTGTAGCATCCTTTTCAGCCAGCTCCTGCTTATGCCTCGCCATCATCTCTTTAATTTCTAGCTCCTTCATAATTTTTTCTTTCTCTAGGTCAGAATATTGTTCTTCCGCAATTGAGCGTGCAAGCTGCTCAGAGTCTGCCTTAGTTAGTGTAATCTCAAGTTGTGCTGCCAAAGAATCTCTGAGGAGGAGAAGAAAAATCAGTTGAATCAACATTTGTTTTCTTAGAGTGATGTTCACAATGCAACATGGCATCTTTATCCGAATTTAGGACTAATTTCAGAATTTGACTTCAGTACACAAGCATAGACTATTTAAAGACTAGCCTTCTGTTTTCATAAATAAAATCCTTTATTTCCTAAGATACAAGTTTCAATGCATAGTGACTATTATGTATTTCCTTCTAATTTGTTTTCTATAACAGGAGATCAATTTGTAACAAATATAACCTGGAAGTTCAGGGCTTTACATTTTAGACTTTTTCTTGAACAGCAAGCATTATACACATGCTAAAAGTTCAATGTAGGCAATGATTTTGTTTCAAACTAAACAAAGGTTGTTCTGAGGTTACATTAGTGAACTCATACCTCTCATCCTGCAGTTCCTGCATTTTTTGTTGCAAATCTTTACAAAGCTTGCTTTTCTCCTCACATTCTTCCTTCAGCTCTCTTACTTGTGTCTTGTACAATGTCTGTAGAATTTAGAAGCAAGAAATATAATAGTAATCTGTGGCTTATGTTAATGTTGCTGTAAAAAACCTAGAACTCCATTCTCCATCACTGCAGGTGTACATTCACCACGAGGACTGCAGCAGATCAAAGAGTTAACTCACCAACTCGTTCAAAAGGGAAACTTGACAACAAATTCTGGCTTTACCCATGAATAAAATAGAACAGTTCTAAAGTTTTTAAAAAATACTGTATTCTGCATTGATAAAATTTTGCACTTCAGCCATTATATGACCAATGAACCATAAATTTTGAATTAGATCCATCAAACTTAAGCCACTTTTTTAATTCTCCATTTTTAATTCTCCTCTTCCTTATCTGGAATATGATTTTTCTTTTAATTAGATAGAGTAATTTGAAAGACTATTCAGTTCTTTTTCTGTGTGATCTCAAACATATGATCAATTCATTTTCATCTAACTAATGGGACTTGAATTCATCTATCTAATGGGACACAAATACATTCAGTCGCATATAGTGTCACAGTAATAATTCTTATAATGCGCACACCCTCAGCCGCCTACCCTTCTTTAATAATATCAAAAAGTTCAACTGGTTTGCTCATTTTCTCATCTGTAATTTAGTTAGCACCCAAAGTTTTAAAGTTTATTAATTGATTTAAAGCTACTTTTAAATGTAGGCCAACATAAATTAATGGAAGAATCATAGAGATATATAGCACAGAAACTGAACTGCTCAATCTGCCCATGCCAATCAGATTTCCGAAACTCAACTAGTCCCATTTGCCTGTGTTTGGCCCATATCCCTCTAAATCTTTCCTAACATGTACCTGTACAAATGTCTTTTAAATGTTGTAATTATACTAGTCTCTACCACTTCCTCTGGCAGCGAGTTCCAAGTACACACAACCCTCTGTGTGAAAAAGTTACTCCTCAGGTCACTTCTAAAACTTCCCCTCTCATCTTAAACCTCTGTCCTCTAGTTTTTGACTCCTCTATCCTGGGGAGAAGACCTTGGTTATTCATCTTATCTATGCCCTCAGCTTCCTACGCTCCAGGGAAAGAAGTCCCAGCCTATCTAGCCTCTACTTATAACTCAAACTTTCCAGTCTCAGCATCATACTTGTAAACCCTTTTTGCACCCTTTCCAGTTTGGTTACATCCTTCCTATCGCAGGGCGACCAGATTTGAAAACAGTACTCCAAACGTGGTTTTACCAATGTCTTTTACAACTGTAACATAACTTGCCAACTCCTGTACTCAATCCTCTGACCAGTGAAGGAAAGCAGGCCAAATGACACCACTTTCAACGAACTATGTACCTGCACCCTTAGATCTCTGTGTTCGACAACATTCTCCAGAGCCCTAACCTGGTTTGTCTTACCAAAATGCAACACTTTGCATTTATCTGAATTGAACTCCATCTGTCATTCCTCAGCCCACGGGCCCAGTTGATCAAGATCCTGTTGTACTCTTAGATATCCTTCTTCGCTATCCACCATACCACAAATTTTGGTGTCACCTGGAAACTTACTTTCCATATTCTCATCCAAATCATTTACATAAATGATGAACAGCAGTTGACCCAGCACTGATCCTCGCAGCATACCACTAATTGCAGGCCTCCAGTCTGAAAAAACAATCCTTCCCCACCACCCCGTCTCCTACCGTCAAGCCAATTTTGCATCCAATTGGCTAGCTCGCCCGGATTCCATGTGACCTAAGTTTACTAATCAGTCTATTATGTGATACCTTGTCGAAGATCTTGACAAAAGCTAAAACTTCCACGCAACAAAATCTTAAGAGTCTTATTTAATTATATCAAGCTTTCCCCACTGTGAACTCATAAGTAGAGAACATACTGAAAAATACTGTTCTGCTTCTAGCTGGTCCTGAAGCTCTTTCATCTGACCATCGGCATCCTGGCGTTCTCTGCAACGGTGGACAAAATTCACAGACAAAAGGTGTTATTTTATAAACTGAAGAAAATACAGGCTTGTAATTACATTTTCACGTCATAAATTGCAGTGACAAATGTCTGGCAAGTTGCCTAAGTCACAAAAGACAATTAATTTCCTATTTTGTCAGGAATGAGACTGATCCAGTTATTTTTAAAATGCTCTGCACTTTGAGTATGGAACACTGAAAAGAATGCATGAACATACAGACGAACATATGAGTTAGGAACTAAACAGGCCATTTGGCCCCTTTCAAGTCTGCGTTAATGTTCAATACGACCATGGTTGATCTGACTTTGAGCTCAACCCACTTTTGTGGCTACATCCATGCTGTTTGACTCCTTTAATAGTCAAGAATCTATCTTCCTTTCAGATATTCAACTTTTGCTCATCTCAATCTTAAAAGGGATTCTGTTATTTTAAAACGCTGTCCTTTGTTGCATTGCATATCAACTTGTTTGTGATTCATGGAGACCAAGATCCCTCTGCACCTCTTACTCCAGTTCTGCAATCTCACTGCCATTAAATAATAAGCTGTTCTTCTACTCTTGCTGCCAAAGTGGACAAGATCACATTTTCCCACATTATACTTCATCTGCCAACTTTTTGCCCCTTCACTTAACCTATGTCCTCTTCACAATTTAATTTTCTGCCTATGTTTCTGTCATTAGCAAACTTCGCACCTGTACATTCGGTCCTGCCATGTAAATAATTGATAGAGATTGTAAATAGTTAAGGCCTCAGCACATCCCTATGGCACCCCTCCCATTATATCCTGACAATCCAAAAATGACCCACTCATGCCTACTCTATTGCATGTTATCCAGTTCTATAACCATTCAAATACGTAACCCCTTATTCACGAACTCTTATTCCGTGTGGTAACCTTTGATATGGTACCTTGTCAAATACCTTCTGGCAATCTACAGGTTATTTATTACTCCATGTTGTTCGCTACTCCCTCAATGAACTTTAATAATTAGTCAAAAAACTTCCTTTTCACAAAACCATGTTGAAATTTTCTAAGTATCCTTCTCTAAGAAGTATAACCTCCTTAATAGCACCTTCCAACTATTTGTTGTAATGGATAACTAACTGAGCTCTATCCCTTGATAAAAAGTGTTTCTTTTTTTTTCCTGCTGGAAAAGGATAATAGAAAACACAGGTTTAATCATTGCACAACATATTTGTATGGTATTTTCAAGTGGTTAAACAGAAGGAAGTCATGTCAATTCAAGTTAGGCATCCAGGTCGTCAATTTCGTTATTGACACACAGCACTTAGTTACTTTTTGTCAAAACGATTGCAATCAGAATCTGTGTTTCAGTGGAAGTGGGCCTACTGTCCCATTCACTAAGTTTTATACTTTCAAAAAGAAAAACTAGAGCCTTTCAGCCAGAAGGCATTTCCAAATGTTTTATCATCTTTCCCAACAGCTGCCAGTCCAAGAAAACATGTAGGGAGCATCACTAAGTATTAGAGGAACTTGATACCATTGAAAACCTTTCACCCTCTTGTTGACAAGCTATCATTTACAATCGTACCTGTTTTTTTTAAAAAGGAAGAGAACAATGCATCATCTTCAACTATTTGTCAAAAAGCTGTCCAATACAGGATTAGGTGTAAAGACAATTAAGGGATAGAGTGGATGTGATCATTGTAGGTGGAGTAAAAACTTTTAAGCAATCAATAACATCTATAATCGATAAACTAACATGCTTCCCTGTTTGTTTAATCTCTGCACAGATCAGACATATCTTTGGTAGTATTGTTACACCAGCCTTCGAGTTCTCAACTTTTTCAAGAATTCAAGTACTTACCTCTTGTCAAATTAACTGCAGACATGCCTGAATTACATAAGCAAGTAACTCAACTAACAAGGCAATAACTATTATTGATCAATAAATTATTCAGGCCATCAGAGAGACTCAACTGCCCTAGTTACTGAAATAGAAAAACAGGAAGAGAATATTTAGCAACAACTAAGTTTGTTCAAGAATGTTTTATGTGCAAGTTCAAACACTGGCACAAGGTGGAAAAGATTAGAGTTTATATGAGCAATCTTATGAAGAAAAATAGAAAACAGAAGTTATTAGCATAATAATTAATTAGTAGTAAAGATCTTTATTACAATTTTTGGTGTTTTATGCCTTACAGGACTCTTGCAATTGGGTCCTAACTCGGTATAACTTTAAGAATATCATGCCTTCCTCTGAGAATGCTATCAATCCAGACATTGCATTTGGCTAAACCAATGAGCAAAGAATTCTTTTTGATTATTATTGCAATATTAGATAACTTTATATCCCTCAGGTCACCAAATCATATTAGAGATTTCCACCAGGTGTTCCGGTTTCCTCCCACAGACCAAAGATGTGCAGGCTAGGTGGATTGGCCATGCTAAATTGCCCATAGTGTTCAGGGATGCCTAGATTAGGTGGGTGACAGGGAAAAGATAGGGGGCTGGGTCTGGACGGGATGCTCTGAGGGTCAGTGTGGACTTGATGGGCTGAAGGGCTTGTTTCCACACTGTAGGCATTCTATGGTTCAAGTTCAAAAATGTGATTCTGCCTGATTATACGAATGACGAGCAAGTAAATAATCTAAAAGTAACACACAGTTAATACAGTTACAGACAATCTCCGACGATAGACAAAATAGTAAAAGCAAAACTCTAAAACTAATCATTCATAGACTGGTTCACTAAAAATTAGTAACAACCCGAAACAAAATTAGCCCAAGGCTGATGTCGAAATGTAGAGCTATATAATTAGAGCAGATGCTGAAAATAAATCCAACAATATCATTTCAGTGATAATTTCTCTCGGCAGCATCCAAAATAGCATACTTTTCTATGTGGGAGATAGGAACAAAGAGTTTCATTACTGAGAAAACAATTCTGAAGTTGAACACAAGTTATTTACAGAAACACAACTTAACATTTCACTGGTTCCAAACTGGCTGCTCAAAGAGCAAGCAATTAGCACAACATTTCTAACTGTGATTTAAACAAACATGAGTCAAATGACTGTATGTATGCTTGGAGGAAAGAAATATGCCTGATGCACTCAGAGGACTTGACAAAATTCCTATGAAGCTTCTTCAGTTAGGAGTTAACCAGTTAGTGGCTCAGGTTACATCTGGGTATATTTTCTACCCTGTCAGTTCTAGAATGAAGCAATTGCAGAACTTATTGATAATACTAGTTAGAATATTATGACTAAGACAATGCAACTTTAAAAAAAACTAAAGGTAGCATGTCTTTATCCCATATGTATCAGCACTTAGATGGCAAAGAAAGTACTATTCTACTTCATCTGGAGCAACCCTGCATTTTTTTCTAGCAATGCACACAAAAGTAAATAATTGTTGCACTCACCATTACATATCTAGAGGTCAAAGGACAAACTGGTAACCTCTCAAAATACCAGGTGATAGGATACAATTGATAACCTTTGGAAGATATCGGTTATGCAACTGAAACCTGAAAAGTTGGGAACTTCTTAACCTATTACACTGCTGGTTTTCCTGAACAAGTCTTTGCATTTACATGGATTATTTAGAAAGGAAAAAAGTACTTAAGACTTACTTTCGTAGCTCTCCTATCTGCTTTTCCAAGCTCAATTTTGTCTCCAACAAGTGATTTATCTCCTGCTTCAGTTGTTTTTCTGACATTTTCAATGCATTTACTTGTTGTGTCTGCATCTTCAAGTCATTCTGAGTTAAACTACGTTTTTGTGTCTCCTGCTCTATCTTTAACGATAGATTTTTAACCTGTAAAAGAAAATGTTGTATAAATTTAGAACACACAAGTAAAGTTTAAAATGTAAGTATAAAGCAATCATCTGTTATTTTCCCCCTTTCATGCTATGCCAAGGATAAATTAGTTAGCATTCACCAGAATCACATCAGTGACCCATATGGCAGAATCAGAGGGAGTCACTGGATGAGCAACCCAAAGGCCCAGGCAGCAACCCAAAGGCCCAGGCTAATGTTCTAGAGACACGAGGTCAAATCTCCCTACCAGTGGTGGAAATTAAATTCAATTAACTGATAAATATTGATTTAAAAGCTGGTCTCAGTTGTGGTGACCATGAAACTAACTATTATAAAAAAAATCATCTGGTTCACCCCTATCTTTCAGGAAGGAAATCTACCACTCATTCCTGGTCTAGCCTACATATAACTCCAGATCTACAACAACGTTATTAGCTGTTATTAGTCCACCAAAATGGCCTGACAAGCCATTTATCGAAGAGCCAATTCACCACAATGTATTGGACTAGAAAGAAAAATGGCACGCCTGCCCTGATGACACTGCAAAGCCCTTCTCATCAACAACTGGGGGCTTGTATCAAAATGGAAGAGTTGTCTCTTAGACTCGTCAAGCAACAGGATGACGTCATCACACTCACCAAATCATAGCTTACAAATGATATCCCAGACATCCCATTACCATCCATGGGTATGTCGTGATCCACCAGCAGGTATACAGTCAGGAGGTAATGGACTAGAGTCCTCAAATTGACTCTGGAGTCCATGAAGTCTCAAAGCATCAGATCAAAATTGGGCAAGTAAACCTCCAGCTGATTACTGCCTACATACCAATTTTTTTTTTTCTTTCTTCATTCATGGGATGAGGGCGTCACTGGCTAGGCAGCATTTATTGCCCATCCCTAATTGCCTACAGAGCAGTTAAGAGTCAACCACATTGTTGTGGGTTGAGAGTCACATGTAGGCCAACCAGGTAAGGATGGCAGTTTCCTTCCCTAAAGGACATTAGTGAACCAGATGGGTTTTTCCGACAATCGGCAATGTATTCACGGTCATCGTTAGATTCTTAATTCCAGATATTTATTGAATTCAAATTCCACAATGAGCCATGGTGGGATTTGAACCCAGGACCCCAGAACATTATCTGGGTCTCTGGAAAAACAGTCCAGCGGTAATACCACTAAATCATCATCTCCCTCTGCTGATTAATCAACATACTTTCAATTTTAACACCACTTGAAAAAAAGCACCGAGGGTAGGAAGGCACAGAATGTATTCTGAGTAGGATCATCATCTTCATCACCAAGTGTGGGTTGGCAGCACTATTAATGACACAGCTGGGTCATTCCTGGAGGACATATCTGCCAAACAGAACCTGCAGGTGGTGGTGAGGGAACCAACAAGAGGGAAAACCAACTTGACTTGCCTCTCACTAATCTACCTGCCCAAGGTGTGTCTCATCATGATAGCAGGGTACCCTCATTTAAGCTGGGGTTACATTCCTGAAAATTGTGACTTCAGTGAGAAGACTTTTCAAGTATTGCATTGATTACCACAAAGACGAAACTGGATAAAATTGGAATTAGGTTTTGTGGGCCTTTCTTAGCTGGAAAAAAAAACCCATTATATCAAAACTTTCTAAGTTGAAATATAGACATTTAATGTACAGGTGGTACTAAATTCCTACATTGGTAAATGAAGTAATTCTTAGACCAAAACAAATGTAGAATTGAAAAAGAAAAATATAACATGCCAGAGTTCTGTTGGATGAACTAAAAAGTGAAGCATGGAAATGGTGGTGCAGTGGAGAGTGCACAGTACTGGATTCTGATTTGCGATGATGATAAACATTGATAATGTACACAAACATGCTAAAAAGAAAATAGCAACATAAAATCTAATGAAATGGCCTCAAAGAATAAATAACATTATAACAAAATAATGGTAAGGGGACAGCGCTAAATGAGGACCACTGTATTTGTAGTAGTGACTATTCACCTAGTCCTTTTGGAAACAAAGTCATATTTTCACACTGAGGATACTGTATACTGTTTTCTCAGGTACCACTACCTTACTAAATGGCATTGATTCAGAACGGACATAGCAACTCAAAACTAGGTATCCATGAGGCATCATGGGTCTTTAGAAGCAGCAGAATTCCATTCAACCACCGTCTGTAACCACACAGTCTTGCGCATCTTTCACTCAACCACAATCATCAAGATAGGGGATCACCCTTGCTCAATGAAGCATACAGGAAAGCAAGTCACAGGCAGCACCAATCTGATCTAAAAATCTGGGGAAATAACCTGGTGAATCAAAGCACAGAACAATATGCAGGTCAAACAGTGGAAGAAGCATGTAACAGTCAGTTAAATGATCCACAAACCAAAGGATCAGATCCAAGCTTTGCAATTCTGCCATATTCAATTAAGAGTGGTGGTGGACAATTAAACAACTAATTGGAGGAGAGGTTCCATAAACATTCTCATCCTCACTGACGGGGAGCCAAGAACAACAGCAAAAGTCAAGGTTGAGGCAAAACTGCTGAGTGATTATTCATCTTGATCTCGCCAAGGTACCTACTATCAGAGATGCCAGGTCATCTTCAGCCAAGTTAATTCGTTCCACTAAGGACTGAATATAGCAAAGGCTATAGGCCCTCACAACCTCCAGACAGTGATACTAGCTCTAGCTGCAGCCCTATCTAAACTGGTCCCAGTGATGGCTATGATATTGGCAATCATCTGACAAAGTGGAAGATTGCATTGGCTGGTGATACTCAGCGCAAAGGAACTTGTTCTTGTTTGTTGGAGGCCAATCACCCAGCCCCAAGAAATTACTGTAGAAGTTCTTCAAGCTTGTGTCTAAGTTTTCAAACAATTCATCAATTATCTTCCCTCCAGAAGTCAGAAGTTGGGAAATTTGCTGATGATTGCAGTGTTCAGTGCCACTTGCTACTTTTTAGATACTGTACTGAGAAAACCTCCAAGCTTAGGCTGATAAGTGGCAAGCGGCAGTTATGTGACACAAATGCTAGGCTATGGCCATCTCCCATAAGACAGAACCTAACTATCGCTTCTTGACATTCAATGGCATTATTATTGCTGAATTTGCAACCAGTAGCATCAGGGAGGTTACCAGTGACCAGGTGATTTATAAATATTGGGGTTATACGACTAAGTCAGAGGCAGGGAATTCTCAGGCAAGAAAATTACCTCCTAACTCACAAAGCACAAGTCAGGAGTTTGTTGGAATACTTTCCATTTGGAACTCCATGTCCACCACCCTCAAATATTGACTCCCTCCACAATAGAAGCACAGTGATTATAGTCTACAACACACGCTGAAGCAACTCACCAACCTTCTTTCAATACCATCTTCCAAACCCATGCTCTTTACCAGCTTGAAGGACAAGAGGAGCAGATGCATGGCATATTACCATCTGTAAATTCCCCTTCAAACAATTTTCTCCCCTAACTTGTATCGGTATCACCATCATTCACTATTGCTGGATTGAAATGCTCTAAGTTCTTCCCTAACTAGACTGGATATACCTATATCAAATGGACTGCAGCAGCTCAACAAGGCAGCACATCACTACCTTCACAAGGACAATTAGGGATGAGCAATGAATTATGGCCAGGGCAGCGACGCTCACTTCCCACAAATGAAAGAAATTAATAAATATCAAAATATTTATGCAAAGTTGCAATTAGAATGAGCCAATTAATGAGAAAGTGCTCACACTCAAATTCTAGCACACATGTACAGTTTAAATTAAATAAACTGAATAATTTTCATTGTTAAGTAATGATACTCACCTCCTCCGTCAATTTCTCCTTTTGCCTAAGCAACTCTTCAATCTTTTGTTGTGCTTGTTTAATATCACAGTCCAACATTGAACGCTGCTTTTCAGCTTCCAATAAACGGTTTTCAACTTTTTGCTTTGAACTTCTCTCTTCCTGTAGTTTCTTCTCCATTTCTGTTCAAACAACAATTTTATAAGAAGCTAAACAGAACATGTTCCATTGCAGTAGCAAGACACTGATTCTGACAAAACAAGAATTCCTGCAAATTACACAGCCCCAGGTCTGCAACAAAGCTGTCCTATCATCATTTATAATTTAACGCTATTAAAAAAGAACAGAAAATAAAAAGGTTCTTCAAGTATATAAAAAGGAAAAGAGTCATTAAAATAAATGGTGGTCACTTACAGGATGAAACTGCAGAATGCATAATGGGAAAGAACAAAGTGGCAGAGACATGAACAATATTTTGTACTTGCCTTCACAGTATATGACACAAAAATGTATAGTATACAAGTGTGTGTATATATGTATATATAAAGAAGCATAGTCGAAAATCAAGAGGCAAAAGGGAGGGAGGAATTTGAAACAATCATGATCACTAGAGAAATGAATGGGACAAAAGGCTAACAAGCAATGTTCCCTCTACACTGTGCGTGGAGGGCCCTCGCCAATCCATGTGTGGATGCATTAATTTTCAGTTCTGAAAGTCTCTGCCATGCAAGCATCTTGGAGGTCCATGCAGAGACAGGAAAAAATTAGACTGAATGCAGGTGACAAGTCCCTAAACCAGAAAGTTTGTATCCTCAGGTTTTAATAAAAATGGCAGCACAGATAATGAACACATTAATGGCAATCATTCAAATCTCACTAGAATCTGTAAAGATCCAGTAGGCTACAAAAGTGCAAATGTAATACCATTAGTCAAGGAGGGAGACAGAAAGCAGCAAATGATAGGTAGTTAGGGGCGGCAAAGTGGCTCAGTGGTTAGCACTGCAGCCTCACAGCACCAGGGACCTGGGTTCGATTCCAGCCTCGGAATGTCTGCGTGGGTTTCCTCCAGGTGCTGTGGTTTCCTCCCACAGTCCAAAGATGTACAGGCTAGGTGGATTGACCATGCTAAATTGCCCATAATGTTCAGAGGTGTGTAGGTTATAGGGGGATGGGCCTGGGTGGGATGCTCGAAAGATCGGTATGGACTTGTTGGGCCGAAGGGCCTGTTTCCACACTGTAGGGATTCTACGATTAGCCTAACATCTGTGATTGGGAAAATGCTAGAATCTATTATTAAGGAAACAGAATTAGAGGGGCTTCCCAAAGTGGAAGTAGGGTTGGGAGATTAAAATTTTGGCGTCCAGAACTCTGAAGCAGCCAGTGCCAACATGGGACTTGAACAGAGTTAAGACAACTTTGCTCCTGTTATAACAGGGTCCTGGTCTCTCAACCCTCCTATTTCATTTTTGCAGTTCTCACTGAGGAGTTGAAACAATCAAAAAACAAATTTTTACTTAAATGGATGGAGTACTAAATGTTGTAATACAAGAGGATCTTGGGGCCCTCATGCATGAATTACAGTAAACAATTAGGAAGGCAAATGGAATGCTGACATTTACTGCAAGGAGAAAGACAGTCTAAAATTAGGAAAGTGTTCCTGTAACTGTACAGAGCTTCAGAGAGATTTCTGTTACACTGAGTAATGGAGGCTGGATCACTGAGCATATTCAAAGCTAACTTAGACAGATTTCTAATTGACAAGAGAGTCAAGCGCAATAGGTGCCAGGCAGCAAAGTGGAGTTAAGCTCACAATTAATCAGTCATAATCTTGATGAATGGTGGGAGCAAGCTTAAGGGGCCACATGGCCTATCTTGTTCCTATTTCTGATGGTTTTCAAAGCAAAGTGGAAAGAGACGGAGTCCTCAAAAACAGAATTAGTGCAAAACTCTGGGCGCAGAATTCATAATTTCTCTTTGGATGGGAGCTGAGATGTAGCATACATCTCGATAGACAGAAACAAAATGAGAAAAATAATCACTTGCAAAACATGTACAAGCTCAAAGTATAAATGCAATGTTGCAATTGCTGTAAAAAAGGCTTTTGAACTATTTAAGAAAATGATACGAAGTTCAGTTAAATTTTAAAAGAGAACCAGCTTAATAATTCAATCATGTTAAAATGATGCTAGAACTTTGTAAATCTGAAATGTAGCTCTTTTCTTTATGATACTATGGTTACTTATTCTCATGTTTCTATAAATTCAATTTTCGATGTACAAACAAAATTTTCTTTTCTAAATTTTTTCATGGAGGTAACATGACTAGCTGGATCAACATTTACTGACTATCTCCCATTGCCCTTGATAACGTGGTGGTGAACAATCTTGAACCACTGCAGTGGTTGTTGGATAGGGACACCCACAGTGCTGTAAAGGAGGGAATTAAACTAGCAACAGTGGAGGAATGGCAATATAGTTTCAAGTCAGGATACTATGCTGCTTGGATGGGTGTCCGTTGATGTCAGTCCATCTACTTTCATTCCCTACTTTAAAATTTTCTCTCATGGCTTGATTGGCCATTTCAGAAGACATTTAACAGTCAGTCACATAAGTATGGGTCTGAAGTCTGAAAACAGACCTGGTAAGGACCTTAGTGAGCATGTTGAGTTTCTTTTAATGATAGTGGTATTAAGTAATCATAACTGAGAATATTAATCCTTAAAATGTATTTATTAAATCTGAATTCCTCCAGCTGCCATGGTGTATTTTGAAACCATGTCCCCAGAGAAATGGCTGGGCCTCCAGATTGCTAGTCCAATAATATTAACACGATGGGACCACCTCCTGGAGGTGGACTCAACTCTCAGTTTGTCTTCAACAAGAAGCTGGCTCACCTTATTTGTTGCTTTGAGATGAGCAAAATGTCCAATTGAGTAAAACTAACTCATTTGCAAAGAATAGCCATTAATGCTGCATTAATCAGCAGCTTGGGCATTACTGAAACAATTCATAATTAACTCATTAACTACCATAATGTCCAGAAATAGTCTCAGTGTCATCCAGTAGATCAGATGTCACACGACACCAGGTTCAACAGGTTCATTTGAAATCACAAGCTTTTGGAGTGCTGCTCCTTCATCAGGTGAAGTCCAGCAGGCAGACTTGTGTCCTGGTGCAGTAGTTTAAATGCCCAGTCTACTTTCCCAACATAGTTGGAAGAGTTAAAAAAAATTAGCAAGTCACAGTATTTGCTTCTACTAATATTAGCCACGGGACACTGTAATTTTGAGGTGAAATGGGAGGAATTCTTACTTAAAGAAAATCGCTAGGGACCCAGCTGAATAGCTCAGCATGGATAGGAGCAGGGAATCACTAAGAGAAATGAAGACTATACAGTTCTATAAAACTAGGTGCACCATGCCAAAGTTTTGTGGCATCGTTAAGTTGGAGGCAAGGACATTCAAGCTGTGTTACAAAGAGGTGCTGCACTTTGGAAAGTCAAAACAAGCTACGGCTTATATAGTAAATAGTAAAGTCCTGAGGAGCATTGTGGAACAGAGGGACCTAGAAATATAAGTATATAGTTCCTTGAAAACGGCGTCACAGATAGACAGGGTGGTGAAGAAGGCATTTAGCACGCTAGCTTTCATTGATCAAGGCACTGAGTACAGGAGTTAGGTCGTTATGTTACAGTTGTATAAGCCGTTGGTGAGGCTGCACTTGGGAGTATCGTGTACAGTTTTGGTCACCCTGTTGTAGGAAAGACACAGTTAGACTGGAAAGTGTGCAAAGAAGACTTACAAGGAAGTTCCCAGGACTAGTAGGCCCGAGTTATAGGGAGAGGTTGTCCAGGATAGGACTTTATTCCTTGGAAAGTAGGAGAATGAGGGGGTGACCTTACTGCGGTGTATAAAATCATGAGGAACATAGATAGGATGCATATAATCTTCTTCCCCAGGGATGGGGAATTGAAATCTAGAGGGCACAGGTTTAAGCTGAGAGGGGATAGATTTAAGGAGGACCTGAGGGGCAACTTCTTCATGCAGACAGTGGTACACATATGGAATGGGCTGCCAGAGAAAGTTGTTGAAGTAGGTACAATAGCAACATTTAAAAAAACATTTGGATAGGTACATACAAGGGAAGGGTTTAGAGGGCGATGGACCAAATGCAGGCAATTGGAACTAGCTGAGTGGGCACCATGGTCAGCATGGACCAGAAGGGCCTGTTTCCATACTGTATTATTGTATGACTGTATGTCTATTAAAGTAAGTTCAGCCCACCTGATACTTAAATTAAGTTGTTTACAATGAATGCTCTTTGCACAGCAGCAGATTTAATTCGCTGAAACAAAACTCCCCTGTAAAGTAAATAACCTTTCCTTCCTTAAAGCTATTTCTATGAAACAATGATTCCATATAATGTAGCTTAGTGTAATCACACCACGGGGACATCATTCATCTAACCCTCCAGGACACCAGCTTAGGTATTTATCAAGGAATTATGCACTAAAATAGAAGAGAATGGGTTAGACATGAGAGGTCCAATCAATCAATATTAGTCAATCATTTTTCAGTTTGCAAACGTATACAACAGAAAAAGACGGATATGGGAGGATTAGGCACAGCGGGGGAAGGGGGTCATCTGCTTTTGTTACTTTGCTATTCGTAACTCAATGGCATCACAGCTGTTGAATAATACTACATCACTCAAGGAGAAACGGCATCTGGAAGGTTCTCCTAAGGACAGTATTTTTTGCAAATGTCGCTCTCCAATTTGGGCAAAGGAACCAAATACACTTTGAGCAAGCCACATCTCCAGCCTGTTGCATCCTTCATTCTAATTTTCCAAACCAACAGTTTAAGAATATCTAATCCAGGGGAACTGCAGTTCTGAAATAGAGAAGGGTGGCTTGGTTGAGAAATAGCAGACCCAAGCCTTTGCACAAAAATAACTGAATTTTTATGCCAAAATGAACACAGTTAGATCAAAAGAATGGAATAAAAAAATTAAAAGGTATCAAAAGATTCTGAAAGAAAATTCAAATCTCTAACCTGATCAATCTGAAAAAAAGAATGTTTGTATTTTTTCTACACTTCAAAAGGCAGTGTTAATTATACCACCTCAAGTTCAAGTACCTCTCCTCAGGAATATTATAACTAACCTTTCATGGCTTCTGATTTTGCTTCTTCTATTGACTCATAGATCTTATTTTTGTCTGCTAATCGTGCCTTGGTAGCTTTGTGCTCTGCTTCCTCCTGTTCAAGTCGTTGCTGTAATACTTTCTGCTTGTATGTCATATCTATTTCCATATTATTCTTCTCCTGCAAGAAATCCAAGACAAAAAAAGAGTTACGTTTAAAGTAAAATGATCAGACCAGTGCACCTACAAACTACACTATTTCACAAGTGACACATGATTCTCAGGGAAAAATCTGGTCTGTTAATTTCTCTTCAAAAGAAGTAAATGCACTTGCGAAAAAGCATATCATATGGGCTTAAGTAAATCGATTCCAAAACAAAAGCTGTTTTACCTTCTCTAAATCAGTCAGTTTATCTTGCAGTTGTCGTTTCTCCATTTCTGTTTTGGCCATTGAGCTCTTACTGCTTTGCAATTCGTCTCCAAGTGATAAAATCCGCCCTGTAAATAAATTGATTAATAAAAGCATATTAAAGCATTGATATACTGGCAAAATCAAAGCACCATTACATGTGAACATAGAACAGAATCCCTACAGTGCAGAAAGAGGCTATTCACCCCCATCAAGTCTACACCAACCCCTCTGAAGAGCATCCCATCCAATCCCAGGCCCCTCACCTCACACATATTTACTACGGCTAACCCACCTAGCCCGCACATCACCGGACACTGCAGAAAATTTACTCTGATCAATCCATCTAAACGACACATCTTTGAACTATGGGAGGAAACTGGAATACCCAGAGGAAACCCACAGTGACAGAGAGAGAATGTGCAAACTCTATACAGACATTCCCCTAGGGCTAGAATCGAACCTGTGTCCCTGGCGCTGTGAGGCAGCAGTGCTAACCAACAAATTTTATTGTAAGGTAAATTCTCATCTCAAATTTGTGCATTCTGTACCGTTTTTTTCAAACAGAGATGCAAAGGATATGGTAAATAAGCTACTCATATCTATTCTTATCATGCCTCACAACATTTTAAAGATCTGCATTGTCTTTCCTCAAAACTTGGAACATGTGTGCAATTCTGGATCTTGATATACAATGGCTGTAGGGTTTTGGCTTTCCACCTTATTTTAACTCTAACGGTGTAAGAGCAAGGAGATGATGTCGAACTTGCACAAGATACTTGTTAGACCTCGGCTAAAATACTGTGCCCAGTTGTGGCTGCACATTATAGAAAAAAATGTGTGTTCGTTGGATATGGTGCATACGTGCTTTACAAGAACACCTCTAGAAATGAGAAAATTCAATTGAGGATAGACTGAAGAAGTTGGGACAGTTCTCCTTGGAGAGGAGGTGGTTATAGGAGAGTGGATAGAGGTTTTCAAAATCATGAGCTGGCTGAATAGATAGGGAGAGTTGTTCTTGGTCACAAAAGAACAAGAACAAGAGTGATTAAAGAGTGATTTGCTAAAGAAGTAAGGGTGATGAGGTTCTTTACTCAGAGAGTAGTAAGGGCGTGGAATGCCCTGCCTGCAACAATAGTAGACTCGCCAACTTTAAGGGCATTTAAATGGTCATTGGATAAACATACGGATGATAATGGAATAGTGTAGGTTAGATGGGCTTCAGATTGGTTTCACAGGTCGGTGCAACATCGAGGGCCGAAGGGCCTGTACTGCGCTGTAATGTTCTATGTTCTATGGGAGAATAAACTTTTTCAATCAGTGAGTACTAAGGGTACAGAATACACTGCCTGGAAATGTGGTGGACACGTTTGAGGGGCCACTGGAAGATTATTTATTTATTATCATGTGTATATAGCAATAGTGTGCAAAGATACAAGGTGAAAGCAGGACATTGATACAAGTTCATTTGAAGAGCGAGTGCAGGCACAATGGACTGAATGACTTCCTGTTATACCATAACAGTTCTGAGATTCTAAATTTAACAGAATTCGCTACTGTTTTAATTTGAAACCATAGTACACAATTTTATGTGTAAAAATCCATTCCAAAGACATATGAATCTGAGTACTGCTGAAAAAATACACATTTTTCAATCTTGCACTCATCACTACAACTTGAAAGAAATACCAATGTAACAGGAAGGCAATATTTGAATTGTACGAGAGGAATGTTAACTGCTTGGCAAGAGGACTCGGTATGGCAGAGGCGTTGCCAAAGGGTATACACCAGGTAATGATGAGTGACATTAAGATGACAGTTAACTACCAAGCTTTGTTTAAATTTTAAACCAAGCAGATGAACTCCGAGTGGTCAAGACTGAGAAGTGAACCTGTGAATGATATCATCTATTTATTGAGCTAAAACAGGCGCAGTGTGCGTGCGTTTTCTTTCTGTCTGCAAAGTACATGGCTCTGTATATTAATGTATATAACTTCAAATGCATACAAGTACGCCACACTTGTTTCTGTAGTTCTTCACACAATCAGGACTATTTAAGCGAATGCGATCTAATCACAGAAGCTATTGTTGGACAGTGTTGAGAGTTTTGTAAGACAGGTTGGTTAGGTAAGATCCCTACCTTGCTGTTACTAGCAGTCGAAGGGATATGTTGATATGATTTGCAAAATTCTTTGACAAAACACGCAAGCTCGAAGAACAGCATCTCATCTTCTGCTTGGGGACCCTGCAGTCTTCAGGATTCAATGTTGAGTTCAAAAATTTTAAGGCCTGAACGCTTCCTTCCACACCCCAGGCTTTGACATCACATGGGCTACTTTTAGCACAGCCAATCCATTTTCACCTACTCATTGCCCCCATTACCAGCTTTTCTCCTTCCCCTGAATTACTAACACCCATTCTTTTCTTCATCTGTCTTTTTCTCTCTCTGGACCCAATCTCCACCTATCCATTCATGCCTTTATCTCCCTCCTGGCCGTATTCAGTTCCACTTGGACATCACCACCATCTTTGCTGTCATAATTCGGTGCCAAATTTACCAGTGGTTTTACCATTCAATTTTCATTTTTTAGTCAATTCCTTTCGCACCAGTTCCCCTCCTGATCTCTTGCATCTCCTCAAGCTGCATAATTGTGAAGATATCTTCATTCCTCTGTGCTCTTCATTGCATTCTTCACCCTACCACTAGTAGACATGCTTTCAGCCCTTTAGGGCAATATTCTTGAATACTGTCTGCCTCTCCTAGTCTTTGTTTTTCAAAGACCCACCTTACAGCATTTTTCTATTCCATGTGTCTAAATGACCTTCAAATAGTTTTTGACACTGACATTATTCTATATACACAGGCTTTTTTTAGTCACAAACATAAATTTGCAATGAACCAGCCAATCTGCCATACTTGCTCAAAACAATAGAGCCATTTTTTACAATTTGATATGCATTGGATTCATGATCTACCTTATCTCAGCGTGGAGCATAGTAATGCCAAAAAACTTTCTGATAAAGCCAAACAAAACGACAAGATTACTCAAATTTTTTGAGGGAGGGTCACCATATCTAAAACGTTAACTCTGATTTTTCTTCAGAGATGCTGCCAGAACTGCTGAGCTTTTCCAGTAACTTCTGTTTTTGTCCTGATTTACTGCATCCTCTGTTCTTTTGGTGTTTAATCAAACTGTATCCTTCCACCAATACTTCCAAATCAGTGGCCAAATCACATTCCTAACCCTCTAAACAAGAAATGGCATAATCTATTGCAGAGTGACAGAGACAAATACACTTAAACATATTTTTCTTAGTAAACCAAATGATATTTAGGCAAACCTACCCTTTTGTTAATCTCATATGGGATGAAGCCTTGGATTAAAGATATTAAATGGTATTTGTTCATCTAAATATGACCAAAAGATACATAAATTCCTCATATTAATGAATGATGAAGCAGCTGATGCATTTGTCAAAATCAGTGCATATGTTAACTTGAGATTAAAAATAAAACAAAATAAAAACCGAAAGAACTGCAGATGCTGTAAATCAGAAACAAAAACAGAAGTTGATGGAAAAGCTCAGCAGGTCTGGCAGCATCTGTGATGATAAAAAAATCAGAGTTAACGTTGTGGGTCCAGTGACCCTTCCTAAACTTTAAAAATAAAACAATGGATTATGGTTACAGGATGGTTGGATACCTTGTGTAAAAGATCCCTGCAAGAATAATGATCCAACTTCAAGGTAGATGGTGTTATCTACCACCCAAAACACTCTACCATAGATTGAAGATATAAAGTGAATTCTGAATTTCTGAACAGTTTTACATTTAATGAATAATTATATCTCCCTTCTGAAGAATGGTAAAATAAAATTTAGTTGAATGGCAATAGTTTTATAATAATTTCATCTATTATGTTGGCTTCAGAGGAAGAATTGATAGTTGGGCAAGTTCTTGGAGGTCTGCTAGGATTTAAGAGACAGTTTCTTTTTCTTCTTCACCTCCCCCAGCATGCCCAAAAATCAGTTTTGAGACAGGAGAGCCTGGGGTGGGGGACAATATTATGTAATAGATATCATAAACTAATGGAAGTATTATTAGTATGAGTATTATTAATAGCCAAGGTCCAATAGTTACAGAACAATCAATTCTAATCACAGACATCGTGACATCTGCTACCACATACACGGTTCAAAGCTTTAAAAGCAGTTTCACGTTTCAGCCACATTAAGAAGTAAAGAAATCTAATAGTCACATCTGTCTTAATAATTGATGCAGGCATTTAGAACATTCATCATACCTTGTAAATCACTGATCATCTCAGAACCGTGAGTACGGTCTCTTCGTTCAGCTTCTAGTGCTGACTGTAAACTTATGTAGTCCTTTTCAAGTTTCAGCTTGGTATTATCCAATGTAGCATTTTTGTCTTGTAGCTCTCTGTTGTTAGTTTCCAATTGCCCTAATTGCTTTGAAAGTTCTGTTTGGTTCTTTCGTAGCCTCGCTGCTGTCTCAGATTCTGTCCGCAGTAAGGCATTAGCTTCATCCAACTAGTTTTCATGAAGATAAAAAAAAAATAAACAGTAATGATCATATATTGTCTGAATACACCTTCCATACCTTACTTGTAGGTGATGGGTAAATGCATACAAAGCATTTCACACACAAACATCTATCATAGCTTATCATCTGATTGTATATATACATTTATCATACATAGCAAACATACATTTATAAAGGGAAAGATTGAAAGTGAAACATAGCACTAGGACAAAAGGCCTGATTGCAGAGCAGTGTTTTATGAAGGAAGACACTTAAGAGCGTTCTGCAATGAATTTCTCATCTTCAAGACTGTGATAGATTGGGATATTCACCAAGTGAAATTCGATGGAAGCAGCTTTTAGACATTGATCTGCAAGGGCTGCACACCAAAGTTTCTGAATATCAAAAATAAAAGTTGCAGTTCAAGTTCTCTGACACATAAGTGGCTGATATGTTTAAATAATTTGCCAGAATCCAGTGCTGAGGTGCGAATGTATAAATTATGTCATGGACAAAGTACCAAGGGATAACAGTAGGTGAAATTGCCCGTTAGCAAAAAACCAATCATCTCATAACAGACGACAGGAGAAAATTTGCAACTATAAATTACATGACATGTTTCAAGTGGAACAATAACAATGAGATGATCAAGAGGCAGTACTTAAAGCAAACTAACCTAATTGAACAAACTTGATGCTAATATTGAAATTCACACTTGCCCAGCGCACATAGCTACCATCAACTTTAAGACAACAAAATCTAATTGCTGGCATATTTATTTTGCTGCTTATGCAAATGTAAAAGCTGCCATATGTTTACAAGAAAATCTAATGATTGGGTTGAAACTTTAATTAGCTGACAGTCTGCCAAGTGGAAACCTATTCTGAAGGACTGTGGGCAATAATAAAAATAAACACTACAGATATGCAAAGGGTTTTATTGCATGCATTGCTCCATTATCTTAGGAATGCCAATAGAGATGAGCTCTACACTATTATAAGCCAAAACTGTTTTCAGACCTGAAAACAGAAGGAAGATCATTGAGGGAAAACATTGAAAACAATTGCAACTTGAGGAATACATTAACAGAGATGACCACATTGCAAAAACCGTAACTATCTTTCTTTGTGCCAGAAATCACTCCACCTATGACATTGTTTCCTCCCTGACTCAACAGATTGGTTTTCCTTCCTGCCATCTTTGGTTAAATACCTTGATTTTGAGGGCAATGGCTCTCATTTCACTTCTGAAATTTATCTCAATTTTAGACTCAGGTTGTAATGAGACAAGTGTTTCTCACGGAACCCAAAAGAGCATTGGTGGGCATTTTTCACATTGTCACATCAATACCAGCATCATAGCTGTGCTGGAACAGTTTAACAATATGCTTTGGCATACAGGTCTCCATCACGACATCCATTCAGATGCTTCTTGATATCAGGTAGGCTGAAGTGAACTCAAAGATAGCCATCTATACTGGTGGGGCAATTAAGAAGCAGCCAACAAAGATCAGCTAATCTTCAGTTCTGTCATAAGATGACTGCGAAAAAGTATTGTCTTTGGCACATGCACTTCTTCCTTGGTTACTTGTATAAATGTCTGTCACCATTTGTGAAGGGACTGCAATGTTTTGACCAATTATATTGACATGAATTAAAATGAACTGAGCAGGTACATTTTAGCTCAGAAAAGTTTAAAAAAATGTAATCTGAGAAAGTAAATCTTAATTTTATTTATTGACATGAAACAAAATTGATTGTTTTTTTTCCTCAAACACATCAGTAAGATTTTGTTATAATTCATCAATGCTCTACTGGGGATAAAAATGGAAAATGTTTAGCTAAGGTTTCAGAAGGTCAAGCCACAGGAGGGCTAAAAGGTCAAACAATACAGTTCCAGTAAGATATTACACATATACAGTCAATGCACAAGTACTTCAGTTCCATTGTCTTGGACCAATTTCACAAAATTACTTGCAAAGATAGTTTAACTAACCTGTCTCTGTAATTGAGCCATTTTCTCATTTGAGATTTGAGAGTTCTGATTCCTTTTCTTTAGATCTTCAAGTTGATCCTTCAGACTATTAACTGTGAAGCACAATTTTCTTATGAGTACCTAATGAAATGACATATTCCAACACAGGCTAATCATCTGAAAAGTAAATCTTGCTCTTCTATACAACACTAACATGCAACTTTAGAAGATCTCTCCCTCTCTGTCTTCAGGTTGCATCCCCTAGGAAGGCATTGGCAACCACGGATATCCATTTGTTGCAGCCACAGGCTGCCCAAGTCAAGTGCCCAAGTGCTGAATGACTTCAACCTAGGGTTTTACAAGAAGTGGCTAGTGAGCGAGAGGCCTTAATTTTTAAAAACTCCCTGATTCAGAGATGGTCCCATTAGATTGCAACATAGTGAAAGTAACTCCTTCATTCATCAAAGTTGGCAGACAGAAGCAGGAAACTGCAAGCCAGTGAGATTAACATCTGCGTCGCACGGGGAAAATGTTACAAGCTATTACTTAATAACTTATAGGTCCAAACATGTGCAGGTTAGGTGGATTGGCCATGCTAAATTACCCATAGTGTTCAGGGATGTGTAGATTAGGTGGGTTATAGGGGGATGGGTCTGGGTGGGATGCTCTGAGGTGCGGTGTGGACTTGTTGGGCCGAAGGGCCTGTTTCCACACTGTAGGGATTCTATGAGGTGGGCACTTAGATAAGTTCAAGGTAACGAGGGAACATCAGCATGGATTTGTGAAAGAAAAATCAAGGTTGACCAATCTACTACGGTTATTGAGGAGGTAACCAGTGCTATGGATAAGGTTGAACCAGTGGATGTACTTTGCATTGATTTCATGAAGACATTTGATAAGTTGCCATATCAAAGGTTATTGTGTAACAAAAGCTCATGGTGTATGGAGTAGCATATGGGCATGGATAGAAGATTGTATTAATACAGGAAGCAGACGGCTGGTACAGATAGGTTTGTTTTGGGGTTGGCAAGTCATAACAAGTGAAATGTCACAGAGATTGGTGCTGGGACCTCAACTGTTTACAATTTATACAAATAACTTAGATGAAGGAACAGCGGTGTGTTGCTAAATCTGCTGATATGTCATGATAGAAAGGTAACTAAGTTTTAAATAGATCATAAGGAAGCAACAGAAAGATACAGATTAAGTCGGTGAGCAAATATGTAGCAAATTTAGTATAATGTAAGAAATGTGAACTTGTCCATTTTAGCAGAAAGAATAAAAAAATTAAGAGGGTGAGAAATTGCAAAGCTCTAAAATGTCGGAGTGTCGGGCATGAACTGCAAAAAGTTAGTATGTAGGTACAGTTTTCCTAATTACTTGCTAATGGAAAGCACCATTTGTCATGACAGGAGTTGACTGCAAAAGTTGGGTGATTATGCTTCAGTTATAGAGGGAGCTGGTGAGACCATATTAGGATTATTGTGCAAAGTATTGGTCACCTTATTTAAGGAAAATGTAAATGCGTTGGAGAACGGTTTAGAGAAGGTTTGCCTATTACATGGTTTGGGAAAGTTGTCTAATGAGGAAATGTTGCATAGGCTAGACTTGTATCTGATGGAGTTTAAAAGAGTAATGGTTGACTTTGATTCAAATTTAAAAGATCTGGAGAGTTGCTGATGGTGGGTCGGTGGGTGTGGGGGTGGGGGGTGGTCAGGGGAAGTCGTCCTGAGATGCTAAATGGCCTACTCCTGTTTATAAGTCATGTGTTCATATTTGATTTATGTTGCGTCAGAATTATGCTTGGCAAGATACTGCTGTGGTTTGCTGCTGCTTTCTGCAGTATAGCTAACCTCTTACCATGTACCATCAGGCACACTGGCAAGGTTTAAAGGTTGATAATCAATCTGTTTGGTGATGCTATGAATGTACCACTAATGGCCAGCAGGGCTTGGCAGGTACTTAGCTTCCGGTTCAGAGGTAGAGATGTTACCACTGTGCCACAAGACCTCCGCACAACCTCTCAATATATTTTAAGGCGTCATGGTGGAGAGATTTTTCTGACAGAAGTTTCATTATTTCAAGTTGTTCCACTAACTATTCTACAAGATCTTGGACTGAATGGTGTGTGATGTCTCTCATGAGACGCTAGACAGATTTTGGATACCTCCGAATTTCAGAATCCTCACTCCACACCCATTCACCTAGAAACTAAGAGACCTCATTGATCGCAAAGCTTCGAAGATATTCAAGAAGACAGAAGATGATTTTCAGGAAATAAATCTGAACATCAATTCCAGGTCTTCAACCAATCAACAAATTAGTAATTTTCATTGAGCAACACGAGGATGAGGTCAATTCAATTAAGAATCTTCCAAATGAACAATTTCAGGCACTAAGCTGAGTATTTGATTGAGGTTGGATATTGGTATTGGCAACCCGTCTCCATAATTTAACCTTTTACGCCCAAGTATTACCCCAGTGAAGATGCAGTGAATCATTTCCAATAAATCTTTCCTGAGGCTCAATGCCTAAACCAAGAATATCAAATTTCAAAACAGTCTGATCAACTTGAGTAGTTCTGTACAACTTGAGTGCCTCATTCTCATTTCCAAGTTCTAATATTTTAAAATATATTCCATTAATGCACTGATTATTTTTCAAACCTCTGCAATAGCTTTTAGTTATATATACATAGATACATTAACCCCTGTTATACCCCCACATCTCCTAGCCTGTTGTCATTAAGCGAATATTTCAACTTGTCTTTACAGATCCAAAGTGAATATCCTCACACTTGAACAACGAACTTCAGACCCATAGTTTTGACTATGTCCCTTTGCTAATTCCTTCTTTTATCCACCCAATGTGTAATGCCTCCTCATTTTGTGTCATCTGAAGTGTCAGCTAAAACATCAATTTATATAAACAAAAACTGAAACCCACTGTCAGGTCATCTATTTAACTGCTATTTTTAAGCACAGTAGTACCTTGCCAAGCATAATCCTGGACCAAGATTAACACTGCAGACTGCAGATTGGCTGCTGTGTTTACCTACAGTACAGCTGCAGCTACACTAAGTAATTTATTAGTTGGGAGATACTTTGGGTTGTTTTGACGACATCAACGGTGCTTTAGTGACGCAAATTCTCTTTTTCTTCAAGTACAAAATCAAATGGATGAGGTGTCTGTTCAATGAAAATACAGCAGCATTTTCTTCTAAGAAAGTGGTTAAGTTCACTTTTAGAATCTTGTTGCTCCCACAATAGTAAGGTGGTAACTCCAGAATTTTTACATAATGATGGCAAGAAACAGAAACATTTATGCAAGCCAGGGCGGTGCAAGATTTACAAAAGAACTTGGAAATCACTGATTAGTAATTATTTAGTTGTTCTGGTGGAGGAGATCAGCGTGCTGAGAGCTGTTGCCAAAGTAGCACTGTGAATTACTATTGGGTCACCTGGTTGCTGAGGAAGCCATGGTTTACCAGTGGAGTTTACACTGCAGTTAAGCAGAAAGATTTAAAAGGGACCTGATGGCCAACTTTTTCACAGAGGGTGGCGCATATATGGAATGAACTGCTAGGCAAAGTGGTAGGTACAGGTACAATTGCAACATTTAAAAGTCATTTGGACAGGTACATGAATAGAAAAGGTTTAGAAGGAAATGGGCCAAAAGCAGTCAAATGGGACTAGTTTAGTTTGGGAAACTTAGTTAGCATGAACAAATCTGTTTCTGTGCTGTATGACTCTGTGACTTTATAATAGCATAATGAAGATCAAATAGACTGTTCTAGTCTGAATGGTATCAATATTGAGTTAACTAGTGTCTGGCACCTCCAAGAAAACGATGAGCATTCCATCACAACCTTGAGTTGAGCTTCGTTGATGGTAGGGAGCCATTAAAGCATCAGGTGGTGAGTCATTGGACAGACAGCTCTGCCTCTCTGAAGCTCTTGCTGCCATTGTGTTGGTGACTGGTCAGTCTGGATGACTGGATATGATCACTCAACAGTTTAGCTTTTGGCTAATGATATTCAGGGTGGGTAGGACTCAGCCATCATGCTGATGTTGAAGCTTAGGGGAAGGGAGTTGTTAGAGATAATTATTATCTAGTGCTTATGAAACCTGAGTATTACATATACTTGTCAGTTCAAGCCTAGCTGTTCTCCAGGTCCTGCCATAAATTGGCATAAGTTGCTTCTTTACCAGAGATCTTAAAAATTGAACTGTTTGTCAAAAGACTTGCGTGATTTTACAAAGGCTTTTTGGTGCTACATTATCAAGTGCTAATGCAAAGCTGTTCTCACCTATCATAGCTTGAGGAGATGGCACGGAAAGTCAAAAGACAAACGGCTTTCTACAAACTACTCAAGTATCTCCTAAGTAACAATCCCAAGTGAGGTAGGTGGAAAACGATTGTAGTAGAGAACTGGTAAAAAAAAACAATTTAGCTAATAAGCATTTTCCAGGTTTGTGCATTTTAGGTTATTTCTCCCTTTTTCCAATTTGTTATGCTTCCATTTAAGAAGGGAGAATATAGGGATTATAGTAAAGAGGCTCGATCACGAAAAATCTTTTGTGTTAAAGCCACCCCCTACTCAAAGATCATAAAGTACAGCAAACTATTTCCTTAGACCTTTCTGCCACGTTAAGGTCAATCCAATCAACTATCCACTATTTTTATTGTTTCAGGCTGACACTTCCATTGTCCTACCTCTGATCGGAACTTGTAACTTGTCTAAGCATATAACAGAAGATAAGGCGCTGTTTCTTGGGCTTCAACCGAGCTTCATTAGAACAGTATAGTAGGTTAAGAACAAAGGGATCAAAGAGGGAATGGGACAGAGAATTAAAATGACAGGAAATGGGAAATTCATCATTATACTTGGACTAAAATAAATCACCCAATCTGCATTTTCCATCACAAACTGAGGAGACCACATCATGAACAGCAATCTCAGTATAAAGTATAAAACAAAGAAATTGTTGTCTGCCTTGCTGAAGGAACAGCACCTACCTTGCAAGTGGGCACTATATAGTTAACCAAGTTCAACACTGAATTCGATAATTTCAGATCACAACTACTGCTTCTAATTTTAGTGAGTGGTAGGGGTTATGATTTTTGTCATTTTCAATTCAAATTTGTTTATTTTAGTTTCCGTCACCACCTTGTTTTGTATTGTGCCATAACTACCTTTGCCATTTTATCACTCCTGTCTTCCAACCAGCATAAAACATTCCCATTTGAGCATCTCCCTGCCTGTGTAGTCACTTAAAATCTGTCAAAGCTCTGATGAAAGGTCACTGAATTAAATGTTAACCCTTTCTCTGTCCGTAGATGCAAACTGACTGCTGAATATTTGTAGTTTTTTCTTTTATTTCCAGCATTTGCAATATTTTGCTGTTGTTACATTTGTTGGACTATACATCAGACAGCGTTTAATCTGTTTAAAGTTTCCTGGTATAATTCTTGCTACAATTGAAAACGTACAGTGATCTCATATAATCGAGCCTTACCTTCATTTTCTAGGCCACGCTTTTTATCGGCTTCCATTTCAGCTTTACGGTGATATTCTGCATTCTTGTGCTGAAGAAGTGCTTTTTCTCGTTCCAACTGCCTTAATGCTGATTCTGCATCTTTTCTGCAAGTTATCTAAATGTCAGAGGCTTAATCAGTAAACAGAATCTTTTGTAAATCTTCTCAGTATATATACTTGCGCTAAAATTCGAGTTCTAAATGAGCACAATTTTCAAATAATTCATTTGGATTTATTAGTTATATTTTTACTTATGGTTATTGGAAAATTTCAAACCAATAAACTAAAAAGTGTGCAAAAAAAACCTAATTATGCAACGTGAGGAAATTAATAAATCTGATAAAGTGTATCACAACTTGTCCCATTTCAAAATGCAACATGTTATTTAAATATTGTAAACTTAAAAAGGCACTGACCTCTATGTATAACAGAAAAGCACTAAATAAAGATTATCAGAAGGAAACTTACTGTAGGAATTACAGACCAAATGTACATTTTTTTGCACTCCCAGTGACTGGAATCATATTATCAGTCAGGAACTCCACTACCTTCCATCATTTAAAATTAACTCTTGAATTTCCACTACATTCTCCTATTATGCAAGCCCCTGAAGTCAAAGCCCCATGCTCAGTTATGCAGTAAAACAAAAAAAAATTGAGAGAATACAAATATTTGTTGTGATAGATTCACCCTGCATGATGTAATCATATCTTTAAAATTATTTCTCTTACAAGTTTGGTTTGTATGCATGTTATGGTTTTGCTTCAGACTTCTGGTGGAGAACTACAAAGTAATCTAACCAGTTGTGTTACTACAGAAAAATAAATCTTAATGTGATTAAAAACAAAATATCCTTAGAATCTAGAAATATTCAGAAAGTTTTGCAGGTTTTCTTTCTAGAACATTGTCACTTTATCTCATTTTTATTTTTCCTCACTATTTATCTATCCTGAATACAAGCATGTGAATGATAGAAGATTTCTTGCCAATGCCACAATACAAGAATGAGTGCCAGAGCAATATAACTGGTCCTTTTTTTTCTATTAATTGTGGCCACCTTGGATCTGGGCTTCTGTAGAAAGTTTTATTGGATCCCTCTCCTCATGCACTGATCACCATCCCTTAATCTCCTTCAAAAACCTCAGGATTAATCTATTTTGACCCATTCAACTCCAATATCAGCATTTAAGTTTCATACCTTTAAAGAAGCAAAGTAAAAACTTAAAGAACTGCAGGTGCTGTAAATCAAAACCAAAACTAGTAATTCCTGGAAAAGCTCAGCAGGTTTGGCAGCATCTGTGGAGAGAAATCAAAGTTAATGTCTCAGGTCCAGTGAACCTTATTCAGAACTGTCTTCTGAAGAGGGGCCACTGGACCTGAAACATTAACTTTAATTCCTCTCCACAGATGCTGCCAGACCTGCTGAGCTTTTCCAGCAATTTATGTTTTTATTTCTGATTTCCAGCATCTGCAGTTCTTTCGGTTTTTTGTTCAGTGTTTACACTTGCTAACTTCGATTTGTTGGGAATTTTTTGAATCTAAGCAATTTTGAAAATCATAACCAGTATATTTACCACCATTGCTGACAAGGATGTACACCATCATTTTAGCTTTTAGCCCTTTAACTTTCTCAAATAGTACTCTGATATTAATTACTTTCATTTCTTCAATCTCTTCCCCCTGGATTACCCTCTATTTACAGTATGTAGTTGTGTCTTTACTATGAACAGAATATATTTGTTCACTGTCTCGGCCATTCCCTTATTCTCCATGATAATTTATCCTGCCTCTGCCTCTAAAGGACCAACCTTAGCCATTCTCCACCTTTTTATGTACCTGTAAAATCTTTTACATATGTTATCATATTCCTGGATGATTTAACACTGAGCTCATCCCCCTTTATCGTCAAATTTTTAAGTCGTCCTTTGCTGGTTTCTAAAACACAGACAATCCTCAGGCTTGATGGACTATAAGCTTCTTACTTTAACTAAATATCATCCTTAATTTCCCTAGTAGTCCCCAAGGATAGCCCTTTCTTGCTGAGATTTAGTTTTAAGAATAAGTATTTTTGTTGAACATCCTGAATTATTTAATTGTCTTCCACCATTTATTTACCATCACATCTTTTTTCCGCATTTAAGTAACTAACACTAGCCAGCACTTGCCTCATAGCAAAGTAATTGGCTTTTTTGCATTTTTTTTTGGCTACTTCATTTTCAAACTTAATCTGGAATTTAACTGCATTATGACTGCTTTTTCCCATAATTCTAATTGTACAATGGAATTACAGAAAAACTCTGCTTTATTTCACATCAGATCCAAGATATCTTCACCCTAGTTTGTTCCACACCATACTGTTCCAAGAAACTGTTGCAAAAATTCATCTTTAAGAAAATCTTTGCCAACTAGATTTCTCCAACCTCTATGAAAATTGAAGTCATTGACTTTATTAAATTGCCATTTTCGCTTAAGCAAGCTCCAATTATTTCTGAAACAAAAACAGAAATTGTTGGCGAAACTCAGCAGGTGTGGCAGCATCCTGGAAAGAAAGCCAAGTTAACACTTTGAGTTCAGTCTTGATGAAGAGTTACCAGACTCAATACATTAACTCTGCTTTCTTCTGACAGATGCTGCCAGACCTGAGTTTTGCCTGCAATTTGTTTTCATTTCAGATCTCTAGCATCTACAGTTCTTTGTTTTATTTATTCAATTGTTTATGAACAGTCTGTCCAAATACTATGTTCGGAGGCCCATAAACTACTGCTACCACAATTTTCTGTCTTTCGTAATCCTAATCTCTACCATACTGCTTCTATTTCCTGATATAACAAGTCTTGTCACTGTTGTTCTTACGTCAATTTTTTTACTGTCAAGATTATTACTTGTCTTTTTCCATTCAGCCCTAGCTTTGACATACTGTGGACCCTGGAAAATTTATTCCCCAACCTTCTCATCTTGTAACCATGCCTCTGTAATAAACCAATTTACATTTAACCTTCTCAGGAAGGGTCACTCAACCCAAGATGTTAACTCTGATTCTCTCCACGGATGCTGCCAGACTTGCTGAACTTTTCCAGCAATTTCTATTATTTGTCTGTAAGTTTAATTTTGTATCCTTTCCAAGTCCTTGATATCTTTCCTTATGTTTGGGGCTTGGAATTGTCCACAATACCTCAGCTAAGGCCTAGTAAGCAATTTATACAAGTTCTAGAATTATCTGCTGTTGTTTGCCATTCCTTTACTTTTAAATTAAGCAACTGTTTTTTTTTAAACCACCTTATTATCTTACCACTTCAACTCTACTGACCTTCTATATGGGCAACAAATCTTTTCTGCTTAGACAATTTTCAGTTGAGCTACTTATAGTGTAATGAATTTCTATATATTAATGCCTCCAAAAGGGCATCACTTAATAATTCTAGGTAATACCCACTAACGTACTTCTGTCCATGCCAATATGCAATGTCAAGCCAAAGCTTAAAAACTACTCCCATCTCCACTTAGAGCTTTATCAAGTTTTGCATTATCTGTAACAGTATAATGCTGTCCCCAATCCTGGTCTAGGATGCACATAAAAATTGGAAAGAACAATGGATCCAGACAGAGTTTAGGGAAACACCATTGCAAACTATCTCCCATTCTGAAAACATTCACTAACCACCAACTTTGTTTTATCGTAATTAAACCAATTTTATATCTTTACCACCACTTTCCCCTTAATTCCATGGGTTCCCACCTTAGTAGGCTTCTATGTGACACTTTATTTGGTGTCTTCCAAATCTACATACGCACAACAGCTATTACAGTATCTTAACCAACCTTCCTGTTAGCTCAACTAAGAATCCAATCAGGTTAGCCAGCTTGGAACAAATTTGTGCCGATTCTCCATGATAAATTCATATTTTTCCAAATAGCAGTTGATTTGGCTCTGATAATCATTTGTATTAACTATTACACCACTGATGCAAAGTCTGTAGCTTCTCAGTTTACTTCTTCAGTCCTCCAGACTACTATGTCATCCAATGAGGAATGACAGCCTTGAAGCAATGCCTCTGTCAAATCAAACTTAAGATACCAAATTTTCAGCAATGCTAATCTAGGGCATATCTTCTCTATCTATTCCTACCTTGTTCACAACTTTCCTCTCTTTTACTGTAATTTTTACATCATCTGTTTCCTTCATAAGTTGATCACTACATTTGTATTTTACTCTGCCCTTCTGCCAAACCAAAAATCAGAAATGAAAAATCAAGATGACAGAATATTTAACTTAAAAATGCACTAATACTGTTTATATATCTGAATATAATGCATTTAAATTAGAGAAAAAATTAAAATGCACTTGGATTAGAATACAAAAAACAGTACTATACCTCATCTTCCAAATCTTTGGATACTTTTTCCAGACGACTGCTTGATGTTCTACAAACCAGAATTACAGTGTTGTGACTGAGGGTGAAAGAGTGCACTGTCTCCCTAATCCTATTACTCCACCAGTTGCAACTTAAATAGGAATACTTCAGCCAGTTGCCAGGCTGACTACTTAATTACCATATATCAGGTCTTAAACAAAAAAAATCCATCAACGAGGTCTCATAATAAATACACTTATGGGCTAATTATCAAAACAAAAAAGATTTTTTCTATAAGGTTATGCAGGCAGAAGGTACTAATAAGATAAAAATCAACAAAACAGGATAAAAAAATTAAAAGACAAAACATGGCTTGTTTTTGAAAGAAATATTCTGTTGTTTGTAAGTACTCTTAAAAAAGGACTCACGGTCAAACAAAAACAGATGTTTAGTTATAATCAAAAAATTAAGTATTTTACCAATTTTATACCATCATTTGATTTCATTTAAAATGCGTACACACCATTTTATATTTAATCCATTACAATATTACACACCCTTTAAGATGCAGTTTGACCCCATTAAGAATAATCTCAGATCTAAACCTGAAAACCTACCTGGTTTATTTTGAGTATAATACTGTATTGTCAAAGGCAGTATATTTAGGTACATTTATTTAGGTACAACATTAAACCAAACATTAAACCACATATGCTTGTTCAATAATGGTGTGAATTTGAAGAAAAGCAATGAGTTCACCCATATTTGGGTCAGCAGTACTCTTTTCATCACCAGATCAATTGAATAGTAATCACATTTGTGCAAAGTGTACGAAGTGGCTGCCCCATTTATCTCTATAAGCAATAGCCATATAAGCCTGTGACTGGCTGCAAATTATTGAAATGGCATTTTGTTTTGCCTTCAGGTTTTCCAAATGAAAACTGTACCTCTTATTCACAGTCATGACAATGCCAATTTAATGAACTACAGGAAAATTACTTTGCACACGTAATTTTAAAAATCTAGTACAACATCGGTTATAACACAAGCAAAACCAGATAATGCTACAAATACTCAGCGGGTCAGCCAGTACCTGTGGAGAGAAACAGTTCATTTTGGTTTGATCATCTTTCATCAGAACTGATTAAAGGTCATCAACGTGAAACATTTAACTCTGCATCTTTCTAGAGATCCAGCCTGGCCTGCTGAGTATTGCCAAAATGTTATATCACTATTTCAAGTTTCCAGCATCTGCAGTATTTGGCTTTTGTGTTACAATATGAACAATTTTCTTAAAATGACATGATTTCTTCAATATATATTTAATTCTTGCAAAAATAATGTCTTCTAAAATGAAATTGTAATTAATTCCCGATCTTTTCATGTGAATTGTGCTCAGCAAGGTGATAAATATCAGGACGAGCATCAATCAAATTGCTATTTAGAGAGAAAGCAATCAATGGCAAACATGCTCAAATCACAAACAGCATGGCCTAGATTCAGACTAAACTTGCTGCTCCAGTAATCCAAAAAGGACTTCAGCAATAGCCGCAGAACAAAGAGAATTGCTGCACCAGTAAGAAATGTACAAGCTTCCATGCTAACCTCCTTCAGACAAATAGAGATAATTATGCTTAAAAATATTCGTTTTAACAGGCATAAAGCAGATGACTTTCAATCCTTCAATATAAGCTGGATTCAAACACAAGTTCTACAGATGATGGGGCCACTGCCCATGTTGCGACATACCTATATTTTTGTTCCATTTCATCTTTGGCTTGCATTTCATTGTTCAATTGTTCTTCAAGCTGATGTAACTTCTTCTGTAGTTTTGCAGACTGCAGTAATAATATGAACACATGTGCAACATGCAATAAGTTTGCACACAATTATTTTTCCAAAAAATGTTGCCAGAGACAAAGACAACATACTTCTAAATTATGCTATGTATGGGTACAAATGGTTTACATAGTTCAGTGTTATTTTATATTGCACAAATGATTAAATATTGTTGTTTCATTTACAAATTATCTCTGTCATTTTTATGTTGAATTTGTAAGATCCACAGTTTTTACACTTGTACTGCATTCTAATTTTTAATGATGGCTTTTTAAAATTGTGTAACACCAATTATAAATGGTTTACTTGCATCATACTACTCTGCATAAAGTAATACTGTAGTTCTCTTTCTATATTGTACAACCAAGCTGTACAAATCAAGAAGAATGAAATAATTAAAAGTACAAAGTGCTGGAGAATCTCAGCCAGTCTGACAGAAACTGTGCAGAGAAAAACAGAGTCAACATTGAGTCCAGTATGGTTCCTGTGATATAAACTGTGTGACTTATCTAAATTTTTCACATCATTTATTGCAAGTTTAGGACTTTGGGTTTGAATTTGTAATATGTAGTTTTTCTATACATCTGAAATGAATAATTAACTGGTGACTATTTCTATATAATGGTGATTTCTTTCAGAACAGTTTGTGAAGCCAAGATTTAGAATTAGTGGGTTTTTTGTGCAAATTGGTAAAGTTTTACAACTGAATGTGATAAACAAGTTCCAGTTTCGAAGGTCAAGAGAGGATTTTTAAACTTATGGGAAACACCCTTAGCTTAGAGGGACAGAGGAGTTTTTCTTAGTTCTACTCTTAGTTTTGAACATTCTGTGAAGTCCTTCAATGAACATGCTTGTATAGACCAGTGCTCCTGGGAAGAGAAGGACATAGTGATAGTCCCTCACCAGATGCATCGGGGTAAAACCCTGAGAAGGTTACTTAAAGCTTAATATGTTTAGGCTGAGGTGCATAACAGCTTCAGAGTGAAGCTATCTACAATTCCACTCTACAAGTTAAAGTCACAAGTAATTTAAGCTTACCAAGCTGTTAAGAATCAGGGACATTGATGTGAGCGACGCTTTTGCTGTGTGCTTATGTGTACTCAAGATGTGTTTTGGGTACTAAACAAAAGCTGTTACATTTCTTTTAAGCTTATCAGGAAGTGCCTCTGGATTAATGGAATTATACTTCCACTGTGTTTAAAAATCTCTGAATTTGTATTATAAGTAGATAGTTTGGTTTATTTTGTTTCATCTTAATTGCTTTTGTTAATAAACTTCGGTTTTATTATTGAAACAAAAGCAGCAGCATTACACATATATGTTTTAGTGAGAGACCACTTTGTTAAAATGAAAACAAATAAAAGTATAATCATTGAGTCAGGTTTCAGTCTTGGGTCAAACTTGTCCAGTAATAACATCAGCTGGGATCACAACACATTTCCTCCCTAAAGGACAGAGATATTGGATTCAAAACATTAGCTCTATTTCTATCTACACAGAAGCTGTCAGACCTGCTGAGTTTCTCCAACAATTTGTTTTTATTTCAGATCTCCAGCATCACAAGTACTTTGCTTCTATTAGAACAAAATAACTTTTCTAGTTGTTTAATAAGTACATCACGGAGGTCTATGATTTTTAGCAAGTTAACATTAGTAAGCTTGGCTTACATAATTCAAATGCTCACAACTTTTCATCCTGACAATGTTTGTGTGAATCAATTATTTATTATCTATTATACAAAATCAAAATGTCCACTTGGCACAACATAAATTTAAACATAGCAAAGTCAACTCAATGTAACCAATGCTGGTTTAAACAGGGAAATTTTACATAATACATTGTTTTAAATTTCTGCATTAAAAATGTTATTGTTTGCACTAGTAGTCACTTTTTTCTTAATTTGAATAAGTAAACCATCCTTAATCCTAATGTCGGCCTCCACAAAATATGTACCATCTGACTATTTACTTCTAATGAATAGAAATATTTTAACATACCCACACATACTTTGAAAGAAGTCCACAGAATCAATTTAGCTGACTTCTCTAAACAGGCCATCTATTACCTGGTGGACAGTCAGGATTCACAAACCAAGTTCAAGGTTCAACCCCGGTCTTTATTGGGGCTAGAGATACATGAAAATTGGTCTCACTGCTGCAGGCTGGAGATGGAAATGTTCCACAGTTTCATCTCAAAACACTATCCAAGAACCCTTAATTGAAGTATCAATACGAGTCTCAAATGAAAGCATTGGGCTGAGAGGAGATCCATAAGAATTGCATCTTACTCTCTCCTCCTGTTGTCTGATAACCTATTCATGTTCAATATTTAACACTCAAAAAGAATACTCAAGTTTGCCGAATGCTTATGGAACCATAAATCCACAAGTAAACAACTTCAATAAAAAGCGGGGGAAAATACAGTCAAGAGAAAAGTAAAATCAATTTTCAGTTTTTTTTTCTATTTCACTTTCAATCATCATTTCTCCAGCATCCTCTCCCTTCCAGAGCAAATACTGATGATATCAACTGAGTATATGGTTTGGAGGACATAGAAGCATAGTGTATGAAATCAAATTGAAACTACTAATTTCTTGCAGGATGGATTAATATGTATAATATGTTAGGCCCTGCCTAGGAGGAGGAGCATTAATGTTTACGCAAAAGATAATCTAACAGAAAAAGATGTACTATCACACCACCACCATGACCTCTACCCCACAAAAAATGTTAATGGTCATACTTTTCTTTAATTCTTACAGGGTTCTTGTTGGTATTGATTTGATCTATCCACTCGTAAGATCATTTCAGTTCAATCGACAGGCAGCGACACCAGCCTAAATCTATGTCAATCATACTTTGGTCGCACGGTACTTAGTTTCAATTCAATGAGAGCCGAGTAACAGTACCAATTAGCATATTGGAGAAGATAGCTTTTTTGCTGATGTAACTTTATATTTAATTCAGCACACGTTTTCATATTCGGTTACATAACCATTCAAACTATCTGGACAATGTTTATTTAGAATACAATGGAAGTGTTATTCTTAATTGTCGCCCAGCAGAGGCCCCAAACATAACTGAAAAATAACATTAAATAAAAGCACTAATTAGTAAATACAATGCAAGTTGCATGAAATAAACTAGGTTTAAATAGAGTGCCAATTATATTAATACTTCAACAAAAAAACTTTTAACGTTATTTTACATTTTAAGCATAAACCACATTTACACCCACCTCAATTTTACTGGGTAAATTGGGCTCATTCTCTTTGTACGATGCAGGCGAGTCACTTAACAACCTGGGGGAAAAACACAACCCTTCTATTCAACATTTGATAACTTTTGCGATCATTCCAATGCACTCATGTTTTTTAATTAAAAGCTCTCTTGATCTCCTGTAGCTAAGTGGCTTTATTAAATGATTAGCTGAATCACACCGAGAAGGAATTTTTGCAAAAATTATTCATTCAAATGACTTTGGCATTGTTACCAAGGCCAACATTTATTGTCCATCCTTGACTGTTGTTAAGAAGGTGCTGGTGAGCTGGTTTTACAAACTGCTACATTATAGCGAAGGCACAGTTAAGAAAGTAGTTTCATGATTTCTGATCCAGGGACTGAGATAGTTTTCCACATCAGGATTGTGTAGGACTTGGAGGGGTTCTTAGAAATGGGGCTGCTTCCTGTCTGCCTGCTTCCCGAGATGGAACAGATCATAAAGCTTGGGAGATCTTTCAAAAGGTGCCTTTGCAAGTTGCTGCAATGCATCTTATAGGTGGTACACCTGCATACATGTTGCAAAGATGCTGGAGAAGTGAATATATTCATGGATGAATGGGATGCTAATCAATTGCAATTCCCTGGAGGACTGCAGCTTTGCATGATATTGGAGCTGCATCTATTCGGGCAAGAGAAAACTATTCCATCACACTCCTGATTTATGACTTGATGGTAGCATTCAAGTTTTTTGAAGACACCAACGAATGCTCATCTTCTGTAGTTGGTTGGGTTAAGTTCTGATTAATAGCAATCCTAGGATATTGAAGTTGAGGCTGAGGTTCAGGTTAGTGAACTTAGTAATGTTAATGACATTGAATGTTATGGGAATGTTCAGCACTCTTTTGCTGAACATGCTCATTGCCTGGCACTGTGTGGTACAAATGTTACCTATCGCTTATCAACATAAGCCTGAATTTTTTCTGGGTCTTGCAGACTGCTACATTATCTAAGGAGTTCTGATCAGAATGGAATGCAATTACCAGCCAGCCAACATCCCCACATTTAACCTTATGCTGGAGTGAAGGTCACTGATGAAGTACTGATGATGGTCACCCTGAGACAATGCCATGAGTAACTCTTTCAGCAATGTTCTGGGACTGAGATGACTGACCTCCAACAATCAAACCATATTCTTAAGGACAGAGTATTCCCTACTTCCCACTTCTTCCATTTTTCTAGGGTTTCTTAATGCCACACTCAGTCAAATGCTACCTTAGGAAAGACTTTGCCACCTCACTTTCCACTTTTTCTGACGGAAGCCAGTACAATAATTGTGTGGGAATATCTAGTACACGTCTTCTGCAGTGTAGTCAGGATGCTTTCAGGGCAAAATCTGGTGTTGCATCCAATGTCCTGAGTTACTTTTGGATTGCACGTGAGGAGCGACAAAATGAAAATTGGTATTTGTGATCTGAGAACCTCAATAGAAGGCAGAAATGACTGACGGACACAGCTCTTCAAGCTGAAGATGTTGGAAAAACTTCAGATTCATCTTCTGCAATTTAGTTCAAGTGAACTGGAACACTGGAATATGCCCTAAAATCCACCCAGCACTGCAGGTGGGGCGGGGGATTAATGCAGAGAAACAATGCAATGTAATTTGCAATGTAATTTGCTATGCAATGGCAGCTGATTACAAAGCATAGCCACTGCAGACAAAAGTAAGATTGCCAACATTCAGTCTCGACATTTAAAAAATGTATGATTGGATTATTCTGGTGATTGGCTGGTCTTTAAGAAATACAACATAAATGTCAATGCGTGGGAGACCCTCATTCAGAAGAACTGACTTGGTAGAAAATTAAGGGCACAATTCTTCGAGAACATCCATCAGAAGAAGTATAGAAAAGAAACCAGAGAAAGGAATGCCAACAATTTCAATGTCAAGGACCACTTCCACCTTGTGGAAACATCTGCCAAATGTGTGGTCTGAGATGCGGCTCTAGGATCAGGTTTATCAGTCATGCAAGGATCCACAGAATCCATGACCAGTGACATGGAACTCCAAGGTGAACAATCATATTCATTAGCAAGTTATTCCCGATGAAGATAATATAAAGGTTAGGTAAACTATCTGAAGTTGATGCATAAGCCTTCATTGAAAGAGATTGCTGATGTGGGAGTGGGGATCAGTGACTGAGGTCAGTGGTGCAGTTGGAAGGGCATAGCAGTTAGAGTTAAATTTAAGCATGAGGTTATAGGCCATCTACCAGCACTGTATCTACCCAAGGCTCAACTCCTGACATTGACCTTCACTGACTTCTAAGCAGGTATCTGGAGGGCCTCATAGCCTGAACGTGTGCAACGCTCCCTTCTTCCACCAAGTCTCCATGCATTGTTTGAAATCCTTGGAACACCCCTTCTCCCACACCATTTCCGTTTCTCAGAGCACAGTGACTTCTGCATGATTGCCAGTCTGCTCCAGCCACAACTCACCTTGTCATTATGAGGTGCAGGCTGGTTTAAGCAGGCAAGCTAGCTTTTAAGTAGTGCTAGAAAGAAAAAGATTCTGCGCTCTCTGCCAATGCATGCAGCCTACATGCAGGCAATCATTCCAATAAACTTGGAGTTGGTAAGCTACTGAATGACATCAGACAGGGATAGTAGGAACTGCAGATGCTGGAGAATCCGAGACATCAAACAGGCATGGGTTAAGCTGGTGTTCCTATAACTGTGCCCATTTTCAGTGATTATCTGGCACGATTCCCAGAATCTCAGCAAAGGAAGAAATTGGAGGTAGGAGATGGAGAGAGGGGCAGGGAGAGAGAGAGAGAGAGAGAGAGAGAGAGAGAGAATATGTTTGCCTATATATCAATAAAATAACTTTTTGATTTTAAGCACTGCTGGCAACAGACACCAACAAGCACATCCACCTGGTACCTCACCAGTATATTTATAAAATGATGAAAGTATTTCAAACTTTGTAACAAGTATAATACATGCAAACAAATTTAGTTTATTTCTAATTATTTTAAATAAAGGCAGGTGGCACTTTAATTTTTTTTTAAAAAACGACTGGAATTATGCAGAAGTAAATGCTACAATAATACAAAATATGAAGGAACTTTTCGTTCTTACCAAGAAATTTACCTAGGAATTTTGAAATGTTAATTTAATCCACTGAAGGCAGAGAAGGTAAGAAACAAATGGAACAATTAACCAGTCCCACACTCAAATAATATGTTTATTTAATTTCAGGTATGAATCTACAAAAATACTCACTGGCTGTCTCTGAAGTAAGTGAATCCTACAAACGGTAACTGGTTCCCAGCAAAGGCTTTTGGGGTTGGAAAGGTTTCCACTTCTCCTTTATCATCCTCAATATCATCGAAGTTACTTGTATCTATGTCACTACTCAATTCAGGCACAACGGGGGCAGCAGCTGTTTTACATAACAGGAGAAAAATATCAAATACCGTATTAGCTATCATTTCTGTTCTCACCATTAAATCAGGTGCAAGTGCGTTATCTTACTTATAAGCTACCAGCCACTCATATTAATTAAAGGTTGGTGTTTTATTGCAAAACCCAATAAGTTAAACATAAAACATCAATATCTGGGAAAACATTAGTGCTTTGTTTTAGTGCAACATCGAAACTGCTAATTGTCATAGTGCTTTGTTTGAAAATGTAAAAGTTGTATTCATGGTTTCATTTTGCAAAATTATTTTTCTCTTCTGTCAAATCGAAAATTTATCAAAAAATCCTCATGTTTGCAAATTTAGTAATTGTCACTTCTAATTTGCAAATACAATTATTATCGTAGCTCTTCAGTTTTTCAATTACTACCTATTGAATATAACAATATATTGCTAAGTTGCCAGATTTGTATCTGGTTGCATCACATTTCCATGTTCAAAAATCACCAGCAAGCAAAAACAGGAGTTGCTGGGCATAGGCACAGAATAAAGCTGAAGGACAGTTACAAATTTTTGCCAATGATCATTGTAATTTGCTATGTAGATGAAGCAAGAAACCAAAAGCTAATTATATTTGCAATACAAAAACTGAAAGAACTGCGGATGCTGTAAATCAGGAACAAAAACAAAGTTGCTGGAAAAGCCCAGCAGGTCTGGCAACATCTGTTGACAGAAAAAACAGAGTTAACATTTCAGGTCCGGTGACCCTTCCTCAGAAGGGTCTGAGTTCTGAGGAAGGGTCACCGGACCCGATCTGTTAACTCTGTTTTTTTCCTTCACAGATGCTGCCAGACATGCTGGGCTTTTTCAGCAACTTTGTTTTTGTTCCTAGATTTGGAATATTCTGGGGTAACCAAGGAAAAACCCACCCTTTTTCATAAATTCTACATTAGATATCACAAATGAAAGGAAAACGAAAAGGTGTAAAGCCAAAAAAATTAGGAGACAAACTAAGAAATACAGGAATAAACTATTTCAATGATAGGCTAGGCTGGCACATTAAGCATTCTTTTTATCAACACACAGTGTTTACGGAACAAAAGTAATAAATTCAAATGTGGGCTTTGACAACCCTAAGACAGAACTGCGACAGGACAAGGAACTTAATACACTAAATGGTCTATGGGTAAGAGGGAGAAAATGGTAATGATGATAAGCAGTCTGAGCAAATTAAGGACAAAATCTCTTCAACTAAATGAGAGGATATAACGAGAAACGTTTACAAAAATGAAAACCATGTAAGGCTCCAACGGGAGACATATATATGGCCCAGTATCGACTGTGAAGTGGTAAGTTGCAAAATTGCAGAGATTTGACAAGTGTATTACAAAAGGTAGAGCCATTTAAATGGAGAACTTCAACTTTCACGTAGACTGGGATAAGCAGACAAGGACATATCAGAGAGGCAGTGACTTTGAGTGCGTTCAGAGCAGCTTTCTGAAATAATATATTATGAAACCAATAAGAAGGTATGCCACACAAGATATCACTATGAGTGATACAACCAGATTTAGTTAACAGCTGTACTGTGCACGAACATTTATCTAAAACACAAACTAGTTCATTTAACTTTTGGCATATAAAGGCAAAAATTCAGTGGACAATGTTAAAAAAAAGTGATACAGAACTACTTTGCACTTCTACTTAGCAAAAGAAATGGCCATTGAATACTGAAGTAGTATAGGACATCACAAATCAGAAGACAAAGCATACAAAAAAAACCCAATACTGGCAAACAGAAAACAAAATCTGCAATAGCTAGCAAATCCAAGCAACATTTTTAAAAAATCATATTGCGAAGAAAAGTGGAGGAGATCTTGTGGCACAATGGTAGCACCCTACTTCTGGGCCACAGCTCTAACTTTGTGGCCCATACAAGAGCTTTGCTGGCCATAGATAGTGTATTTTTAACAGGGCCAAGCAGGTTGATATCAACTTGGAAATGCTTGGTGGAACGCAGTAAGCATGGCTCCAAGTCAGTCATCCTACAGAAGGCAACTGCAAAGTACTTTGCTGATGGACAAATCTAATGGAAGCTTTTGGCTAAAACACTGGAAACAAGGACAGGAGATAAGACAGGCAGACAGGCAGGAACACTGATAGTCAGGAAAAACAAGGGTTCCTTGAAAGCTGGCAGCACTGATTCCAAAGCAAATTAGGGAATAGCAGGCATTTTATAAACTCTTACAATTCAAGAATCATCCTTCCAAATTTGAAAATTGTGCATGTCATCCACTATTTTAACAAGGAGAAAGTCGGAAATTAAGGAATTACAGACAAATTAGACCAATATTGATTGTTTTGAAATACTAGATTCTATTTTTTTTTTGCCAGAACTTTGAACTAGATTCTATACTTAAGGACCAGGAATCTTTAAACATTTCCCAATCAAAAGGCAACATGAATTTGTAAAAGAGAAGTGATCGATTTATTTAAAGAAGTAACTAAAGTACTAATCAGGGAAATAAATGTTTGTTTACATGGACTTCCAGAAAGGATCTAATAAAAGTCTCTCATTACAGACTGTTAGCTGAAGCTAAAGCTCATGGACTTGAAAGCAAATTATTGATCTGGTTAGAAAATTGGCTGAATGTAGGGGACAGAGTAGGTTTCTGATTAGCAGGATGCAACTAACAGTGACCACCAATAATGTGTGTTAGTGCCTCAACTATTCATGAAATTTATTCTATCATGTAAATCATGGAATTGTTAGCAATGGTAATGGAAGCATTAAAATTACAGCGTACTAACAGAGTAAGCAAATTGGCAAAACTGTGACAAATGGAGTTCAAAGTAGGAAATTCTGAGGTAATTCACTTTAAAGCTAAGGACAGATCAGAGGATTTTCTAAATGGTGAAAAACTAGAAATAGTGGAGGTTTGAAGAGACTTGGAGATCCGGTACATAGAATGTACTGAAATGTCATGAAGTGATTAAAAGAATCAAAAAGATTAAAATTTAAAAAGACAAACTGTCGACATCATGCTATATTATATCAGGCTTAGACTAGGCTATACTTAGAATACGATGAGCAGTTTCAAGCGTCGGACCTTGGAGGAACTGTAGCATTGATTTACTAGAATCATACCTGCACTCTAATGAGTGATTACACCCCCTGGAATTTAGAGGTTGAAAGCATAAATTAATCAAGGATTTTAAGACACTGAAGCAACAGATCGGATAGATAACTAAAAACTATTTAATTGATTCAGGAGGCTAGGGTGAGGGATCACAGACCAATATTTACAGGAACAAAAACAAAGTTGCTGGATAAGCTCAGAAGGTTGGCAGCATCTGTGAAGGAAAAAACAGAATTAACGTTTCGGGTCCGGTGACCCTTCCTCATTTACAGGTTTTGACTCATTGTATCCACGTACATGGATACAATCAAAAGTATTGCTCTGCATGCTAACCAGACAAATCATACCTTACATAAGTACATCAGGGTAAGAGAACAGAATGTAGACTATAGTGTCATAGCTACAGAGAAGGAGCAGAGAAAGATCAACTCTAATATACGAGAGGTCCATTCGTAAGTATAACAGCGGGGAAGAAGTCATTTTTAAATCTACTGGTAAGTGTTTTCAAAATTTTTATTTTCTGCTCGATATAAGAGGGTGGAAGACAGTATAGCCAGGGTGGAAGGGGTCTTTGATTATGTTGGTTGCTTTCCTGAAGCTGGGGCAAGTGTAGGTGGAGTCAATGGAAGGAAGGCTGGTTTTTGTGATGGATTGGCTGCACATTTCCCACACTAGGGCGCTAGGAGCTCTTCACCACAGATGCTATGCTCGTTGTTAAACTTTCAAAACAAATTCGCTACATTTTTATTTATCAAAGACACTGGGATTAGGGCAAAAGACAATATGAAGTCGGTCACAGATCAGCCATAATGTCATTGAATGGCTGAACAGCCTACTCCTGGTCTTAGGTTGTCCATGAATGGTTTTACGTTTTGTGGAATTTATCTGCCATGTTATAGCCAAAAGAGGTGCTTGGTCAAACAACTTTAATTTGCTGGTTTAGTGAATTTCAAACTCGTGTCACTGCAATCTGTCTAACTAATGACTAGAATATCCGATTCAGACCACAGATTGTCAAACACTTAGGTATGACTGAAAGGTAAACTTTCACAAAATTCTCACCACACCAGTGGGCTGTTCTCTCATTACAGGGACAACTGATGGTGGTTTAACCTGAGGGTCACCACCTCAGGTAAGGGAAGAAGCTGAGAAGGGGTGTCCTTCATGGTAACCTTAGCCGATGTGGGAATTGAACCCACACTATTTTCTGCTTTGCAAACCAGCCACCCAGCCAACTAAACTAACTGAGCCCCGATGAATATTCACTATACACTGAATACAGCTAAGTATGCGATTCAAGTATCCAATAAGAGCCTTCAAAATTCACCAGACAACTGATTTTCTTTTTAAAAACCAAAAGAACTGCGGATGCTGTAAATCAGGGACAAAAACAAAGTTGCTGGAAAAGCTCAGCAGGTCTGGCAACATCTGTGGAGGAG